ACACCTGCATTTTCTACAATCCAAAGTCACTGGAAAATAGAAAGTTGTTTGGGTTTGTTTGTTTTTTTTCATAGACAAAGGAAAGCCTTCCTCCGTCCCAGCTGCAGTTACTGCACATCTCAGCCTCTTCTGATTAATCCAGAGCTTTTACTAAATCAAACCCCATAATATAAGGGATATAAAATTAACTTAAGAAAGCCCTGTAATTCTGAGTGCACTTGCAATATGAAATTTTTTTAGAAGTCCAGAAAAAAAACAATCCTCCTGTAATCCATCATTTACAATAATATTAAGATTTAGTCACGCTTCAGAACCACTATATAGTATAAACTTTTATGCTTTCCTGCTTGCAAGAAGAAAACTTGCTGCAATGATAATGGAAATTCCAAACAGTTCACAGTAAAACCTAAAACACACCCTAAAATCTCCTGGCACCACTTGGAAAGGATGCAGATCCCCTGTTATTAGTGCATGGATTCCTAAATGCCAACTGTTGCTTTATTGACCTGAGTATGTCATTATTAACTCTATTTGCATAAGTTCATTGCAGTACTGCCTCAGAAACAAAACAAAATTAACTACATGAACACAGCCTACAAGTGCACAAAGCATCCCATTTAATATTTTTCTGAGCAAATCTTTTAAAAATTATGTTTCCAAAATATTTCTTCTTCTTTACTGCTACATAAACGCAGAAGATCTCAATTCTTTTCATTGTTGCATTTATTTTAAAATCAATCAGCAGTACTGCTAATTTAAATAACCCTTTTTTTTGGTGGGGAACATAATTTCAAAAACATTTCATGAAACAAACCTCTTGTAAGAAAAATGATCATTTCGGATCAGATAGATCACCCTGATTTAAGCACTACAGTGATAAAAATGTATTTTACAAACATTCTTTCAATAATAAAAGCAGATTTTCATCCAACAACTACATCCTGTGTAAGTTCAGAAATATTCCCCACAAATCTTAGAGCTTGTTTTCCCCTCACAAGAACACCAGGCCCTGACCAGGAGGTCTAAACGAGCCTGCTAAGGACACCTGGCACAGAGGAGCAGGAGACAAATCCTTTACTAGCTATTGCATGGAACTCACATGCTCTGACTGTTAACACACCTGTATGTACTCCCTCCAATCAGCCCTCTGAAAGAGCAAAGCATGATTTTTTTCTATTAATCACCAAATAGCACCTTAAATAAGCCAGTGTCTTCTTCATTAAGACACTGAAAATGCGTAAGCTGGACATAAACAAAGCCCTTTCACATCACTGAAATAATTCTCACTGTATGAGAAATATAAAAACATTCCTGAGCGCAAACAGAGTCTGTGTGAGAGGAACAGGAGCAGCAGTGCACAACTGGAAACAGCTCCTTTAGGAAAGCGACATTCGTGGCACATCTATTTTATCATCAGAAAAGAGAGTGAAAACGCAAAGACTGCGCAGCTAAATTCGGAAGTGCTAATATGAATGACCCTGTATTTAATTTCATGCAGAGAACACGAGACTGGGCACCTGCTTTAAATCAGGAGGCAGCACCTCGATCTTTCAAGATCTTCCTGTTAAAGAAGGAAGAAAATTCCTTTATGGATATTGTCATTATTAATCTACTCTTTTGAGGGTTATTTATAGGAGACCTTTTGGGTTTGAGAATTCATAGTAAGATTAGAATGTAAGAAAATATTTTGGCTCCCTCTGCCCAAAAGAGAGCAATTATAAAATTGGGGTAATTATTCCAAAGAACACAGTCAATTTCGAGATATAGAAAACACACTGGAAGATGAAACTGAATTTTTGACAAGAAGGTTTATAGTCACGGAATGTAAATGTTTGGAGAGAGCAGAGTTCACAACATCCAGAGATATTTCTGGTTCTTAATATTCTTTTAACCGCAGGAACGCTTGAAGCTTTCTGTGAGCTCCCTCTCGTGAGCAGCTGCTGAAAGTGCAGCAAAGCACCACCAACAGCGGGACCTGAATTACCTACGAGCTGCTATTTCCTACGACTTGTTTCTTGATGTGCCATGCCCCAAACGGCCTTGCAAATCGCAAGGTTTGGGTCCAAAGATATTTTTCATACAATTATCTTTCCGAAAAACAAGCAGGATATAGATAGTAATACGGTTTATCTATCTGGTGTTTATTTTCCTCATCTCTCACTGCAGCAAGAAAAAATTACAAGTGAGGGACAAGCTTGGAGACACTCGTAGAGTGCAGAGAACAAGCGCTACCACTTCTGAAGTAAAAACACTACACAGTTTTAAAACACCGAAGAAAAAAAAGGTATCTTAAAAGCAACCACTTAAAGTTTCTATCTTGAAAGAAACTTTTTCATTGCATAGGATGTAAATACTGGCTTCACTGTTGACTGAACTACAATTAATTGATCTCACTTTCCCACTTGTACAACAGCCTGCATTACTCGATGCACTGCAATAACAAACTGAGGTGACTCCATGCTGTGCAAATGGAGTGGTACTGCAGCAATATGGATTTCTGCATCAAGGATGTAGTTCAGCCTGGTACAGGCGTGACAGCTATTCCACAGTTAGTAACTTGATCTCATTCTGAATTGGACCATTGGACCATCTTAGCCTAAGTCATCCAAAAGGTGAGGAAGGAAATGGTGTAAACAAAACAGTAAAGTCACCCTTATCTGTGTGACTGAAAACTACATCAAGGAAACCACCTGCGGCCATCTTAGAAGCAGCACTACAGTCCTCATAGGTGTTCAAGCCCACACTTGTGCACAGCTGTGCTTCTTCAGTCCTGGTACGATGCCTGCATTGCAAAGGAGGTCTGGTAAGAAACCACTATCACATCCAAGCAAATTCTACTGTCGTTATTTGTTGTACAATTCGGGATACTCCAAGAAATTGTGCCAAAGAAATGTCAAGTATCCCTGGAAAATTTTGGTTGTTATGTATTATTGGAATGGGACACCAGTGAGCAAACACAACGAGCTGTATCAACGCCTGATCCCACGAAAATGAGTTCAGACTCTTTCTTCTCACAGTTTTGGGAAAGCAATGAGCTGGAGAGGCAAAATTTAAATATCTAATATTTGTCATCTGAAGGTAAATAATACCTTAAATAAGGTAACAGCCTAAATTGCACAATTAGCAACTAAAAATATGTTTTTTGCCTTATTTTTTATTTTTTTTTCTTTTTTAAATCACACATTTCACTTGCCAGGTGGGCAATTACTAGTGAAATGCTATAGCACTGCCGAACACCATTCTTCAAGGTATTCCTGACCAAAGAAGCTCAGGGCACTCAACCACTTTGCATACTAGCAAGCCTGCAACCACATCACAGCACCAACAGGAGCTTGGAGATTTCTCCCTGTCTGGTACAGCAGAAAGCCAATAGAACAAATCAATCAATCAATGCCACCAGCAAAAACAACAACAGCAACAACAACAACAACAACAAACAACAACAAAAGAAAAAAAAAAAAAAAAAAAAAAAAAAAAAACAGTGTTACATGAAGGAAACAGAAAGCTTCCACATCTCATAGGAGGCTAATTTGGTTTCTAGTCCACGTTTAGCTGAAATAGACCTGGCCTTTGAGATCACACAGGTTTATTTAGCACTGCTTTGTTCCCAGAGAAAGACTGCCTGCAATTCTGAATGTCATGTAGCAGTGAGGCAGTGCATACTAGCCATCAAATTCTAGCTCTGTTCCACTGACAGGAAAAATGCCTACCCTCTGATCTCTTTTACAAGGCCACATTCAAGCAAGCAAAGTTTATAGAGATGACTTAGCTAATTAAATTCAAAGAGTGATTTGCTATCTCAGCACGAGTTTTTAGATGTACAAATCTAGCCAGAGAGACATTTTGTAAACAGGTGCGAACGACTCTGCTCCTTCAGGCATTAAATTGGAGCTGCTCCTGAAAAATCCTATCATTATGCATTTAAGTTACCAATATTTTATCAGCTGTGGCATTTTATACCAAATATTTCTCGTGGTCTATGGACAACGCCTTTGCAGCAAGACCTCTCAGCCCCTAACACCGACCTGAAGCAGGAGCTGTGTGCTCCTGCTCTCAGAAGGGCTCGTCTGAAAGTCTCACCGACTCTGTAGGAGCGATCTGCCTTTGGCACAGGGCTACAGACCAGCAAACATCCGAGAGCAGCGGGCGCTGGCTGTTAGTTTTGCACTTCCAAATGCAGAAAGCTGAGGAAGGAGGACGTGAGTTACTCCGTCCCGCTGCCTGGTGGCACAGCTGCAGCACTCACCGTCGGAGAGAAAGTTTTGCTCTTCGCACTTTGCGTCTGTCATACCGCAGAAAGAAACAATGTTGCCACAGGACGAGCAAAGTGCGTTATATCGGGCGCGAGTCGCTGCAGACGCGATCACAGCGTGCAATACCGGTCTCCACCGCAGGACTAGCAGGGCGCTTAGCTTACCTGCAATCCGTAACGCCTCCCGGCTGCTTCGCACCGCCACGCTCCCTAACCCGCGCAAAGCCCAGCCGCGCTCCCGCCCAGAGGCGGACCAGAACTTTCTGGAACGCTCCCGCCCAGCGCGAGGCGCCGTCCCAGCTATTGCCGCGCGGGGAACGCGGTCCCACGGCGGGAAGAAAAAGGGCGGGAAGCTGCATCCTGAGAGGGGTGAGCAGCACCCGTTGCTGCAGCGCCGGGCGGCTCCGGAACGGTTCCTTCCTTCAGTCGTGTGACTGACGGCTCGCTGTAAGCATTTAAATGGAATTTCAGTGCCTTCAGCCCTTGTTTTACAGACACAACACATGAGTGAGGCTTGAGTTTTGCTGTTGCACTTGAGTAAAAGAAAAAAAAAAACACAAAACAACGCCACCACAAGAATGGCTGTTTCTCACTTAAAAAAAAATAAAAAATTATTAAACAGGAAAGGCTTTGGGGTACAAAGACAAGAAAATGAATTATGGACAAGGGAAAAAAGCCAATGGTTGACACAAGCCAAGTATGCATCAGTTGATCACCAGTTTTCCAGATTAAAGGTCCGACAGATCCATCTGTTTTATTTATGTTTTATTAGAAACATTACACAAAGAGGCATTCTCCACTAGCACGTTTAACCTTTATCTCTGGGGAATGTTAGTTTCTCTGGCTTTACGCTGTTAGGAACTCTGGCAGAGCCAAGCAGAGCTGCTGCTGAGATGTGCAGGCAGCGCTGGGGAGCTGCGTCAGTGGTGAAGCAGGGGTAGAGGCAGGGTTTGCATGGCGGCTCGATTTTGTCACGGGTTACAGTAAAAGGAAGAGCAGAACAGGCATGTCTCTGCGTTTCTGTTTCCCACATCACAGTTTTCAGTCCTCTCCACCACACAGGTTCAGCAGCGCCCTCTGGTAATCACCTTTTGTGTCTTGCTATAAAGGGGAAAAAACGCAAAACACGTATTAGGAAACAGCTACAAAACATGAGGGTATACACACTATATTCTAGACCTGTGGGGATGAACTGATCTTCACAACTGAAGCCATGCTAGCCTGGAGGAAACTATCTAGACCAAGTTTTACTTGTTTGTGAATTGAGATTATCGTTCTTACAACATATATATGCAAGGCCCTAGGGAGATCTAATGCAAAAAAGAAAAGCAAGATAACAAAGGAAAGCTGGAGGACTTGATTCTGTTCCTTCTCACTGATCACCACAAAAAATTTTACAGTACATTCACTGTTTTGAAAATTTACCTATAATTTCAAACTGTCATCTTACTTCAGAAAAAGATTTGGGCTCCAGGTTTTGATGCAATTACATCCATGCAGATGTAAAGGTGGGCAGAAGACCAGGTTTAAACAGATGCATGGCCTCTTCTAATATATTTCCTAACATATATATAACCTAACACTTAATATTTCCCAATATCACAAAAAATCACTCTCAATAAAAGTCTGCTCCTTAGGCACTGGAATGAAAGAAGTGACAATTTAGAAGATCTATGTTAATTCAGCAAACCCAGAGCAATTCTTTCCTTTTGGGCTGGGGATAGAGACAGGTGAATGGAATTTTGGTTTGCAACACATCAACCGAAAGGTAAAACTTGCCTATGGCAGTCAAATGGCTGCCAGGAATTATACTGGTGGTAGACTACAAAGCTAAACATTTTTTCAATTGTGCATGGTAACAACCTACTGTTCTCACTGCAGCCTCTGAAATACCGCACATGAATTTTAATGGAGAATTAATGCAAAGAAAAGGACTTGGAAGATCCATACAATCAATATATACAGAATGCTGAAAATTTACCTGGATGAAGTAATAGAGGGATTTTCCGTATTTCCTCTTGAATTCACTCTTAATTTTCAGCATGTCAACCTCGCAGCGGGAGACCATAATCCTAATCAGGACCTTGTCACGGGTTCCCTTGCCCTATGAGCACAGTGACATTTAGAACTTTTAATAGATAAAAGATAGGAACTTGATCATGAACATCCCTCTCTCATTAGCAGTGTTCAACTAACTTCTAGATACCAATCTAGCTACTTAGACTGCAAGCCACAGTTCTGGCTCTCCAGGAGGTCGTCCTCATCTTCTGTTATTGCCTATATATATTGCCCATCATGTATTTCTCTTTCATACCTTTTCTCAATAAAATGTTTTGAGGCAAACTTAGTTATTTATTTTTCCATTTCAGTAAACAGATTTGCTGCTATCAACTTGTGTTTACCTACAAAAGATGCATCTAACTTTGGTAATTTTGATAAACTGATATAATGAAGATAATTATTATATGACTCTTCCCTGTATTTCCATATACCAGATGCATATTAATAGATAGCCTATGAGTTGAGCTATTAAAGAATGCTTGTGAACAATACGAAGTCATCACTGTGTATCCACACGGCAGTTACACATCATATGAACGAAACCACCTAAGGAATAAAAATTTGATGAAACAATGGTTAGAAGATAATGAGTAGAATGAGCAGTCTTTCTTACCTTCATGGAATCATAGAGTCTGTCTGCAAAGTATAGCTGCTTGTTCTGAATGCACTCAACTAAAGAGAGAGATACGATAAATGGGTAAACATCCTGCCCACGTGAGAATAGAACACAAAATATTGGAGCTTTTTCAAAGGCATTGTAAGCTGTCAAAATAAGGTATTCTCCAAAAGTTTCCCCAAAAAGGGGCAAAGAGGAATTGTTTTTACCTGAATTGTTATTTATAAATTGGTTGGCTACGCTTATGATTGAAGCACAAATGCTCGCAGTTGGAGAAATATTTCCCTCTATTGTTGTGTAATTTCAGAAGGCTAACCTTCCTCCACACAATTCACTCTTAAGTCCATCTTTCACTTTTATGAACAACCTTTTTTTCTGGAAGCATTCATTGTATGCTAATAGGTGAGAAGTGTCCCTGTCAAGGTTGAGCTGTCTTGATTCTACACTAGCCTTAGACAGCTCGTTTCCTCCTTAGTCTGAAATGGATTCTCCTCTTAAAGAACGTCCTGGGAAACCTGGCAACTTCCTCTGTATTCTCGTCTCATCCACAACAGCAGTCACCCCCACCTTATTTCACCTTATTTATCCCCCTCATTTACCCCTATTTCAGAGAATTCAGAGCAAAATTAGCTTTTTTCTTAGCCTCTAGTATCCTCCACAGCCTGTCTTTCCTCACGCACATACTGCTTGCTTTCCAGCCTATCCATGTTGAATAATTGATGTGCACAGCTAGAGTTCCAACCTTTTTATGTGGGGGAAACAAGCATTAAGCTTCTGTATTGGACAAAACTGAAACTAACAACAGATCACAGAACATGTGCATTTTCCTTTTCATTTGGAAAGCAAGATCTACATTTTGCAGAAGGACAAAGTTTGTTACCTCTCAATGCCTGTAACGTCCTGAAATACACAGATCCAATAATACCAGCCCTTCCAGTTTCTTTCTCCTCTAGCAATACAGAGGAAGCCGAGCCTATTTTCATCACAAGTGCAAGAGCACTGAAAAGACATTATTTAAACATAGTGTTTATTTTATGGTAACTCACCAAGATTAATGAAGGCATTCTCCAGATCTCCCTTAACTTCCTTCTTGATGCTCTCCAACATATCATACGGGCTGTAGCTCTTGTACCTTTCAAACACTGTTACAAGAAAGCAGATCAAATCAAAACCAAACCAGGAATGGTTAAAAGTAACCACACAAAAAATGCAGAGAGAGAAATGTGCTGACATGGTTAAAAAAACCTGTCCAAGTCCTTCTGGGAACTGTCTCTTCAGTACAGCCCAAGATACCCAGCTGATGGTACAGTTTTTTGTTTTCCTTGAGCACCTCCATTAGCTCACAACTCCATTATCTCACAACATACCGTGGTAGTTGTGTCACGAGTATTTCTTAAAGCAACAGTGATTTGCTTCCTGAAATGAAAAATCTTCAGTTGGTTTTCCCCTGTTCAGATTTGAACACATGATATAGCTAATTTAACCAGGATGGAATGAAAAGGTCTCATGCAGCCCTGTTTTCTAGGTTTCTGACATTTTTGTTCTTGGAGTACATGACACCATTAAACAGTGGTTGCACATGTGTAAAAATAAAGAGATCTGTACACAAATACTTAAAAAATTGTAACAACTTGTGTGTGAATAAGATCTGATTGCTTTTCACACTTACTTGAAAGCCACGTGGAACAAAATAGTTAGCGCTTTGACTATTATTTTCTTACAGGAGAAAAAATGTAAATCTGTCTTTCAAATTGTACCTTTCTGCAGATGTGGAACACTTCTTTCAGTCATAATATTGATCCACTTGGGAACATCAGTTCCCTTTCTCTTGACACCAGCATCATAGAGCTCCTGGGTAAAGAATGAAAATCACGAGTTACACAGAAAGCCATTTCAAACACAGAGCATTTCTTTACTGGAAAAACAGCACTACAGGAGCTGTGTCAGTGGGAGACACCCAAAAGGACAGATTTGGGCAGATCACTCAGGACAGGATCTATGGATCTACCCTGTAACTAAGACTAAGTACTTTTCTATTTACCTCTATTTATAGGTTTTGCTCCAAATTTAGCTTTGTTTACCTCAGCAGAACTGCTCTTAGTAAGGTACAGATATAATCAACAGCATTAGCAGCCACTAAGTTCAAAGATACCTCTTCCTTAATCTTTTGTAACTGCTTCATTGCCATCAGTCTTCACAAGGCACGTGTTTCCTTCTGCTAAAAGACCTACAGGGAATACCAGAGTGCCTCTGTATAGATCCTAGGGGTAAGTGTCCCATGAAAACTGGTATCAGGACTGCAAACAGCAGATACCTTGATATCACTCACACGTTGCTATGCAAGAGAGATCTGAAATACATCTGCTTTCATAAACTCTTCATTTTCACAGCATCTGCACCCTGAATATCCCCCCAGGTTTAATCAACTTAAGACATTTAATGGCCATTACTAGGACTTACCCTAGCATCTTGGTCAATCAGCTCATAATCAATCACAGAAGTATCTTCACACCTTTTGCCCTTTAAATGAGAATAGCAAGATTAAGAAGAACTTTAATAGATTTCAATCAGTTTATTATATTTCTTTCACTAATCAGTAATTAGTCACTATTTGCTACATGAGCCTGTTTCATCTCCATGTGAAGATGCTGTAAACAGTGTCACTGTCAAAATACATTGCCCTTCAGTTTTTATGTTATTTTTTGTAAAGTGAAAATACAAGAAAATTTTAAGGTGAGTTAGAAATCCTATTATTTTACTGGCAATCAGCAGAGAACTCCCAATGGGCAGGCATTTGGAGAAGTGGAGGGATATGAAGAGATCTACCTTGGCCAGGGCAACCATTAGCTTGCGGAAGTCACCAGATGTGTCTGATATAATGTCCTTCTCCAGTTCTGTTTTGTACACTAGAAAACAAACAATTATTTTGCATTTAAGAGCATCCCACAAACACCTGCTTACAAGCACAGGAGTTAATCACTGCATTTTATGACATCAGCAAACAGCAACCATATAAAGGTCATATATAGAGGGGAAGGAAAACAAACACATGCTTGCATACAAAAGAAAGAACGTTGCTATCAGCTAGTCACTGGAGATACCAGGCAATCAAAGCCTGCCTGCCAAACGTGGAACAATAAAATATTGAAACTGAGCATATTGAAAAGAAGGGAATATTGCTTTAAGCTGAACCAGTGGCCACTTGTTTGCCAACCACTGCATTTAGACCTTCACTATTCATGGATTTACAACTAGACAATTGTAACTGCAAGTTTAATGCAAAAAGACAGAAACCGCTATTATAAAAGAAAGGAATCCTGCGTAAGATTCCAGTACGTGTCTCAACATCTTTGTTTTTCAAATGATCACATGCTACATTGCTACAAAATCACTTTCTGTCTCCTGTTCAACAGCAATCTAAACTGCAGCAGCAACATTCTCCTGACTGATACACATTTTTATTCAGTATGCATCATTAAGACCACATTGATTTTGCTCGTCCTTTCTGACTCAGCCAGTACCTTAGCAGAACTGCTGGACAACATCACGCATTAACTGCCAGCAGTTTTCTCCATTTCAGTCTATCTCTGGTGAGCTCAGTTCTGAAGCTCAGGGAAACAAACAGGCACTGACAGCTGCACTACTGATTATGATGAACATGACCAGAGTAGTCAATATCAAAATATAATGAATATTAAAAGAGGGGAATATTTTTGAGGGTGGATCTTACATCACTCTCAATTCCAGTTATAATCAACTAAGAATTATACCTGAAATCAGATAAAATGCTTTGGAACAGTTACAAAAGAGAATATATACTTCTGTGAAGTTTTACCTCATGTCTTTAATGGCAGGTCCCCAAATAAACTTATAAACATGCTTCACTGGTTTCACCTACTTATTACGTAACTGAACCTACAGCCCATGAGTCCGTCATCATCCGTTCTGTCCCTACACACAGGACATCTGTAGCTTACGAGAGAATATTTGTATGCAACTTATCAGGTGAGCAGTATGTCATCTCCAATTTGTTTGCTACCAAGCAACAGGTTAAACTATATAAACACATTAATATCCAAGATGCCAGTACAACATTTCTTATGCTCCAGCATAAAAGAAACAGAGCAGATGTGGCGTAAGAATCTCAGTCAAACCAACCCTAAAGGGAACTTAGCCAAGCAACTTCACGTACAAACAAACTGCATTAAAACTTTCAAAATAAACTTACTTTCCCTATAGACTCTATTAATTTCATAAAGCTCCTGATTTGTCCGTGAGCAAATGATTTCGATAAGTGTGTCCTCATCAGTCCCCAGGCCCTGGAACATATGCACAGGTGAGTTAGATGCCAGAAATGCACAGACATGCTTGAACAGCCTCAAAATATTTTACTGACGTTTCATTATCTTTTCTCCTTTCTCCAACTCCAACAGTTTCACAACCATTCAGGGACACTTTTGGTAGCTGTAGAGATGCTTTTTAATGTGTCAGAAAAACACCAGATTTTTAGCAGCCAAATATTATTCTAACAGTTTTGACAGTCTAACTGATGGTACCTCTGTGTAACATGTTTCTTACGAGTGTCTCCCATAATACTCAGCAACCTCACCACCACCATAAATGAGAGAGGTCCACTAACTGCAGCCCACGTTCATTCTTAGCATGCAAATGGACAGCAACAAATTTGTTCTTTCCTGCTTTTCTGCCCCACCTGCCTCCACAGGCTTCCTCTACTACCAATGCAAGTCTGAGCACGACGTGTTCATTTGTCTCAGCTTTGTTTCTGAGTCAACAAAGATTTAAGCATGTCTGGATTTCCAGCTAATAAATACAAGCACATAATCATTTAGGTTGAAAAAGGTCCATAAGACCAAGTCCCTTCTTCACTTGGCCACACTGTGTACTTCTCAATGCATAAATACAGATGTAACTGTATTACCATTAGAGATATTAAGAAATAAAAAGGTATTTGGGATGATAACCTACATATATATATATATATATATATATATATATATACACATAAATGAAATCTATATGTATATATTAAATAAGCAGAATGGGTTGAGATGACATTTCAAAGCAGTTTTTGCTTTGGAACCAAGGTCCATCTTATAGTAATAAAATTTCTGTTTACCTTTCTGCAGGACTAAAATCAACTTAATGAAGTCAGAGTACTTTGAGCTAAGCAGCAGTACTACCATTTGATAAACAATATAGGTATTAGCACTAAAAGAAAATAACAAACTACATAAATGCATCAGCATCTAAGTTAAACCTTAGAGGAAATTCAGTACTCCAGAATAACATGATTCGATCAATGTGCTCTAAACTTACTCAGTTATTTTATATAAAAACATATTTAAATAAAATATGGGTATCTTGCTAACAGCATCGCTATCATCTTGTTACTGGAGTGAGACAGGAGCCTCTGAAAGATCACTTAAAATAGAAGATTTACTTGGATATGTTGATGATTCTTCCCTGTGCAGTGACCACTGAGTGCATCTGAGCTGCTAGTTAGTAAAGCCATCTGGCAGACAGATACTTCAGTTTTTTGAGAAGAACCTGTTCTTTGAATGGACTGAGTTTGTTTTTGTTCTGCCTACCAGTGAACCATTGTTCATGCTAATCCCAATGCCTTTGTCTTTCAGCATCAAGAGCAGGCAGAAAAAGCCTCTGATGCCTACTGTTAAGAATTTGTTAAGCTTCTGTTTAACAAAGTGTTTGGTATCTGGCAAAAACAGGCAATGTTTGCACAGAACTGAAAGAGAAATGTGCAGGGTAACATCCTGGGAAATTTTCTCATGCTTCATGTTTGGAAAGCTGAGGTAATTATGAGAAAAACTGCCTTCTTGGATACAGTTAGAGGACTAAAGCGGAATAATTTTATAGAAATGGATCACAGCTGAGAGAATCAGGAAGGCTTTCTACAGAGCGCTTCTAATAAATATCTAGGGGAGAAATAAAGGCTAATGAAACTGAAGATTTTCTATGTGTTTTCAAAGCATTTTGTAAGCATATGTTCCAGAAAAATAATTAACTCTTCAGTGATGGCCTGTCTTTACCCAACTTTGGTTTTCATGTCATAGCTGTAATTTAAGAACAGTATCAAGATAAACTTAAGCTCAGACTGAGTGCTTGGGAGATGAGAATATCTGATGAACCAAGAGAATATAATACCTATGGCTACAATAAGGTAATAGCTCAGGATACAGGTTGTAAATGCAGCAGATACACTGTATAAGTATATGGCCATCCTAGACATTTGAAATGTAAAATAACTGCAAATAGAAAAAAAAGGAAAAAAATCAGATTTGCAGCTAATTATGGATAGTGCACATTGAAACCAGAAGAGGGCAGCACCTGATTGCTGAGGAATGGATTTGGCCTCCAATTACAGGATTACCATCTCAGTACTGGCATTTTATTTTTTCTACTCATTTTTCATTGATTGGACGAATGAGTCCATCCGCTCTTTGTCTTGTCACAAGTGCCAGCAGATGTACTTCAATGCTTGTTTTTAGTTATCAATCAATCAATCAATAATCAACCTAATAAAGAAGCTGAAATGTAAGGGCTGATTATAAGTACAAACTCCCAAACATACACGTGCTTAGAAAAGTAGAAGCACTGGCATAAGCACGGCTCCAAGTCTTCTTTCAGCAGAGCAGCTGTTTCTAAACTAGCCATTTATTCCACGCCTGCCTGTGATCGTAGGGGTCTGAACTCAGCAAGTTCAGTCACTGCTGTGCAGTTTCTCCAAGATTGCTTTGATATCTCATTATCACATTCTCCTCCTCCTCGTATTCTTTGCAGAGGCAGATCTGGTACAGGATGTTCTGTCCAAATCAGCAAAATGACCCAGTAAGCGGGAACGACTTTTTCAGTCTACAAATGCCAAGGATTTAAGAGTTGCAGCAAACAGTTTCTTTCTTAGGCCATTTTGTACTACAAACCTGTATGTTATTTTTAAGGGCAGTACTGAGGGCAGCAACCAGCCATAGCAGCCGATCAATTATTCCTGACTGTACTTCTTCCCTAAAAAGAGGATTTAATTACCATTTCAAAAACCACACGGTTCCAGAATCTATTTTATTTCACACTCGGATGCTGTATGCTGTGCAGATGGATATGAGAACTGTGCTACAAAAACAAACAAACAAACAAAACACTAACAGTGGACATACTTGAAAACTGCGGCCTTGGATACAAAGGCCAGACTCATTCTTAACATAGTGACACCAGAATAACATTTAAAGTCACACCAGAAAAACATTTGAATTTCAAAGCTCATTTACCTTCATGGCAGCTTTCAGTTCAGAGGCATCATACTGTGATGGTGTCTTCAGCAAGCCCAAGATCACTGCCTCTAAATGACCTGACAGAGCAGACTTAAGTGCTGCAGAAAGTTCCTGTAAAATAAAGGAGGCAAGATGGAAGAAGAAAATTAAAGCTCACTTCTGATCTCCTGAAAATTTAGCCTGTAGCACTTCAAGTCTCCAAGTCTGCACAGTGTTTCTTACACAACTGACAAGGAAGAGGAACACAAAGAGCTTTTGTTTTGTGAAAGTCTAAGAAAGAAGCCTGGCAAATGGAGATTTTCTCATCCTTTGAAAATAAGAAATTCACCGGCGGCTGGCAGAGTGCTGGGAGCACGATGCAGAGACATCCAAGTGACTCTGAACGGCTCAGCTCCAGTCTTGAAGCACTGACACTTCATTAGATCTAATAAGCGCCGATGGATCTCAGCCTGACTCCCTGCAGTCAGTGCTTCTCCATCAGATGCTCATATTTTCCTGTAGCACCATATTATTTGTGTTTTTCCTATTATTGCAGCCCCACATTAGCTGAGAAGTTGGAAAACTGCACAGTTTTTCCATTGTAAAGGTCCAGTTCCTAAACGGCTGGCTGAAGGACAACAAAAATCCCTGAAAGCAGAAAAATTCAAGAACTTCAAGAATACAACCAGGATTGTGTATCCTGAGTCTACTGTGAACTGTCAGTCCTGTAGGAAGCAACAGGCATGTTTGCTTCATAGAATGCATGCAAATCTGCAGCAAATAAAGTCAGTGGCATTTCATCTTTTACGAGTTCATATGTAGTTTGAATAAAGCTAGCACCAGCTTCATTATAGTGCAGTTCCAAAGTTCAAATCCCTGGAATCAAGTTCAGGGTCCACACAGGCCCATATCGTTCCTGAGTTTAATACTGTCCCATAAGTTAGGAGATGCTGCTTTTCATGTGAACAATTGGTGAGGGTGGGGACAGCAGCTAACTGCAAGAGAAAGTGACCTCAGCTAAACTGCAGATACGTTTATACCAGTGAGATAAACAGCCAGGGCATTTAACTTGCTTCCAAAGCCACCAACTCCATCCAGAATGTTAGTGTATGCTAACACTCTATGTGCTTACTATGCTGACTGACCGAGATAGTGAGCTCGGGACATCTGTCTACTTTAGTCCAACAGATATTCTAGTATACTGTTCCAAATTTGGATCCAAAGTTCCACGCACACAAAGTTTTGGTGAGACACAAATGCAGACTCCCCAGTAGTCAGTGATAGTTCCATTGATGTTGGTAATAGGGAAGGACTTCACAAATCAAAACGTTCCTCAAGATTATCAGTAGTTCCCATTAAACCTAGCTCAACTCACAGGAATGTAAAGAGATGTAAATCTGTGGCTTTTTATTATAATGAACTATTTCAACAATACACAAAACAAGCAGCTATATTGAGCAAAATGAGCAGCCGAGTACAACACACTGCCAAAGAAATCCATGAGACACTTGCCCTGAAACATACATATTAGTTCAAGATATGTCTTTTTGTATTTCATTTCCTCCTCTCTTATCATGCAATTGCTTATTTCACCGAGAGATTTCTAATGCACATTTCCATTCTTTTTGTACTTGCTTATCCTTTGGCACTTGTTATACTTGATAAATTCAGTTTGCTCTTGGGTTGCAGCGCAGAAGAAAAGGTAAAAGAAGAGATAACACTTAGATGAAAGAAGCTGTATATTTTCTTGATTGTACATTTCTGCGGTCATGCAAAACATTTAACAGAGCTTTGAGTGACACACTTCATTACTAACGTCCAGCCTACATGGGAAATGCCCCCAGTGCTCACAAGAGAGTGACAGTCAGGGTGCAGACAGGAAACACATGCATATGTCCAACTGTACGTGCTCCTGCATGTATGTGCCTGTATCAGCCATGCATAAAGCTGGTGAATTTCCAAACGTTAACTCTAGATTTACATTTGGATGTGCATTCTGGGCTGCTATTGGAGGACTACCGTTTGGGGTCTGGCAAACCTGGAAGAGATACATTCATCTTAACCCAATTCTACACAAATTTCTTCTTCTATGTGGGCGTAAAACTTAAATTATAGTAAGACTCTCAACTTCAAAAGTCAAGAGAACATCTCTTGCCTTCCAGACAAAAAGACTTATTATGCAGACTGCTGCAAACATTTTAGAGATCTCTTTCCATCAACAGATGAGTGCATATATTTCTGACAAGTTCAGCTCAGTATATCACTTAGTTTAATGCCTATGGAACTTCAGCACAACTGGCTGCAATCCTTTCTCATTTAAACTACCCATGTGAACAGAATGTTTTCCTTATGCAAAGTTGCCATGCAATAAACAAATGAGTAACTATGCTTCCAAGCCTCTCCACTTCTGCCTTCAAATAGAGACATTCCCTGAGATTGGCTTTTCACTCACATGCCTGGTGGCTAGCTGGCTCATTTGTCACCCATCGTGATCTCTGCAACTGCTAGGAAATCTTCAACAGATTCGAACAAAGTAAATGCATCTTTGCTTCCAGTGAAACAGTAAGCCCAATAATATGATCTCATTTGTTCACAGTTAATTGTGAGATGTACAAGGCCTGAAAGTCTAACTACCCACAAGAAAAATATTAAATAACTGTTATTTCTGCGTATTTTGCTACCTTTTTGGTTCTCCTCTGATAGGCAAAGGCAATATCCTGCCTCTGTTCATTGCTGCGGTTTGTCAGGATGTTGATGATGGTAACTTCATCCACACCTACAAAGACATAAGATAAAGAATGAAAGCAGATCTCTTCTCTTTGGATTACCGTGTTCTCTGACACTCAAAACACAGCATACGTGCAGTCTGGAGCAGAGCTCAACTGCCCTGGTATTATTAGTTGGTATGTGTAACATCCTGGCCTTGAAAGCAGCCCAAATTTTCAGTGCAATGAAGATCTTTACGTGCACAGGCATCAACAAAGTCTCATCCATGACCTGCTTCACTGCTTCTGTTTCCTGCTTCACTTGTTCTCAGTCAACACTCTGCAAAGAAACTTGCTCGAGAACAGACGCTTTAAAACTGACACAAATGCAAACTCATTAAAGCCTTTCATCTGAGTGTTTTTAGTTAAGGCTTCTTAATAAAGCAGCTACGTTTTCTAATTCACCTCAAGTCACTTAACTAACATTCCAAATATAAAAATGAGAAAATAAAACAGTGCACTATGTTGACTCAGAATGTAACAGGAATGTTTGTTGTGGGTTGCTTTTTTTGGGGTTTTTTTTTTTTTTTTTTTTGGTTTTTTTTTTTGGATACTGGAAGGAACTGAGCTTTTTTGTCCTTATTTTTACACAGTGAATTGCATGCCAGACTTTGAAGAAAACAGGTGGTTCTGACATGGATGTCCTATTAAGCCCAGAGTTTTGACTTGGATCTCTGTATTTACTACAACAAACACAACAAATAGCTTCTTTTACATTTGTATAAATGAATATTTTCAACAGAAACCAGACGGTAAGGAATGGATCAGCAGCAACTGGCAGGTCTCAGATCCCCTCCAGAACCCATCTACACTTATATTCCTTAGTACCAGAAGCAACCACAGCAGATATAGGAGGCATTTCTTTCAGAGCAGCCCTCCTACTTTATTATGTTGACTCATGACATGAGAGGTGGATGCTGGTGGTATGGCAGTAGGGGCTGAACCTTCCCACCAATATGCCATTTTGCTGCCATGCAACAGAGGGGCAGGCTGACAGAATGGTGTCTGACATGGAAGTGCAGATGAAGCAAAGGTGTGGAACTGAAATCCTCCGTGTAGGGAAAAAATAGCACCCATTGGCATTCACTGACACTTGCTGAATGTGTACAGAGACCCAGCAGTGGATGTGAGCACAGTGAGGCAGTGGGTGGTGTGTTTCAGCAGTGGTACTGAGACACGAGAGACAAGCCACACTTCAGGTGGCCATACAGATATTTACAAGTGCAGCATGCGGGCTCTTGCTCATTGCTGGCAAAAATGCACAACTAATAGTGGTGACAAAGCTGAAAAAGAGTGTTCTGTAGTTGAGTTTGTTATATCAAATACTGTTGTTGTGCCCTTTGTTCCAATTCCCATGGAAATAAATAGGAGGCATTACTTTCAGAGTGACCTGCATACAACAAGCCTTTTAGCCACTAGTTACAGAATATGGAACAAGGGGTCAAGTACAAAATATTCAGACTTATTTCTCCCTCTTGCCCACATTTTTCATGATGAAATGCTGTACTCCATGACCTTAGCTCCTATTGAGGCAGGCCTACATCTGTGCTCTTACAGAAGCTCAGCCTGAAACGACAAAGCTCTGGAAATCATCATGTCTCAGTTAGAAATTCTGGTTTGAAAACATGCTGACTGTACATTTCAGCCATAATCTACAGCCAGTGTGTTTTAAAGTGTTTTTCTTTTGTAAAAGAAAGCAAACTCTCCCAGTCCAGGAACAGCCATGCATACACACACAGCTTTTCAGCCCTGGAGAGAGCTACAGCACAGAGCAATCTCTTAGGCGTTTTAATGAGTTTTAAATTTAAACCATACTTTGCATTCAAAACTACTAAATGACATTTTCAATTCTTACAACAATTGTGACAGACCCACAAATGACTACATTCAAGTTTCTAATTCAAATGCTTTGAGGATGGAAACATGAGCTAATGCATTGCTCTGGCATTTCATGGAAAATGAGTGCTTGCCCTGCACACTTGGGAATCATGCTGCATGGACAGGATGCTGACTCACATCTGCTGAGGCGGGGTGAAGCAGTTGAGCTGCTCAAACATTTTTCTTTGCTGCTCACTAAAATCTCTGGAAGTTTCAGGGTGGATTTCATCAGTGCATTTCTATCAATGAGTAACAAGAATGGACATTGTTGCTCACTTTAAAAAACACTGAATCTTGACAAAAGTCCACATATTCACAAAGCATTTTCTGTCAAACACAATAAGCTTTACTCCTCTCTTATAAGAGGACTTTTTAAAACAGACCGTAAAATGATTAAAAGCCACTACTTAGCCTACTTCAATGAGTATGCAAGAGATGTTTCCAGTTAAATAAAAGAAATCCTGTGAGAGGAAGCCTCACGCTTGTTAGGGAGGGGCAATTTCACATTTTGTAGCAAGTCAGACATGTGCTTTGTTGGCACTGACTTGGCATTTCTTCCTGATGAGAAACTGTTTGGCTTTTAAATTTCTCCGTCTCCTGAAATGTAGGCAACAGACTTGGCAGGTCCAGCTGGGCCCAGCCGTTGCTCCTCTGGCCTGGAGAAAGTCTGGAAAGCCTGGCACATCCCTTCTGCAGGATGAGGATCAAGAGTCACTGCCCTAGGAGCACCAACAAGGTTCCACTGCTCGGGAGCTGCAGTTGATATTCCCTGTGCTCCTGCTTTCCATGGGACTGCATCTCATCCGCTCCATCCTGGTCTCCCCCCCAATCAGTGGATGCTGGCACAGACAAGGAGATGCCAGCCTACCTGGTTCTGTGAAGTGGGGAACTCCCACATTGCCCTGCTCCTGGAATACTACCATATCATCTCAGAAACTGGATTCTGTTTCTAGGACTTTGACCTCTACAGTAACACAAGGTGTACTTCAAACCACCCCTGTTCAGCTGCTTGGGAAGCTGTAAGGAAGGAGAAATGTCCAATCCAATAATCCCTTAGAAATCAGTTGTTCAGAGCTTTGTCTCAAAGTGCTGCCACTTCATTTCCAGAGGAAAAAAAAATATTGGAATTGGAAGTGCTGACAAATCGAGAGTAAAAAAGTGGGCATTTTTAGCAACAGTCTGAACAACTTTTGGGCACAGACTTTTAAAACATATTCTAAAGCACGGATTTACGCAGTTCAATCTAGCTCTGTCACGCTTATGTGAGGTCAGAGAAATCCTAAATCTCCTAAAACAGGTGGCCAGATTAAGGATATTAACACGGCGGTTGTGAGACACTGTACTTTTTATTTGCATGCCAGTGTTCTAACTTTAAAAACAGGGTCAAAACCACAGCCCATGTTCCTCACCTTTGGTCTTGATGGCTGTTTCCAGGGCTGCAGCATCCCGGTCAGCATCAAAGTTTGAGTAAGCCTTAACTGTGGCATATGCACTTGGAGGGAGAGAATGCTAAGGGAAAAATAAATAAATAAATAAATGAAATAAAGGAAGAAGAAGTCCCAAAGTTAAATTATGCAAATGCAATCTGTTCTTGCTGCAGTTAATATATGCAGCTGACTGTTATTTACTCAAATTCTTAAATGCAAGAATTACTGTTGGGTATTCATGAAGACAGAATTCTGCTAGCAAACTCTGCTCTCTCTGCTCTCCAGAGGTGTACTGTCCCTAAGTCCATTCAGAGACATGCTTATTTTAAAAAAGAATACGTACAAACTGGTGCCATACAGCAACAATCTGACATTCAAAAATTATTCACTAAATCTTTATTTTCCCAGATTTGGTGCTTTCAGGCTAGAGTAGAAGGAAATTGATAAGCAAAAGCTAATTCAACAAAAGTTTAAACATCTGTTGCATTAAGTCTGAAATATTTAAGATTTGAAGCCAGCTTTTTACTTCACATTTCAGGCCACAGTTACACAAAGTAAAGATTAAATAAAAAAAAGACGGGGGAGACAGAAGATGAAAATTAACAAGGCAGAACAAGTTTCATGCTCTGTCTCACAGATTCTAAATGCAAGACCAAATCTTTTTGAGCCTATACTTCTATAAAGCACAAGCTACTTACCATCTCCTTCTCAAAGTCCATGCCTCAGATGACTTGGTTTAACCATCATGAGGCTAACAAAACTGAATGACATTTCAAATTACCACCGCTAAGAAAATGAGGACATTTAGGTACCAAGCAAACAGCTGGAATGCTCTAGAAGTTACCAGATTGTATCAGCTGTTCCTGATTACTTTTCCTGAGGATTATAGCTTCAAACAGGAGATCAGTAGAACAGAAGTTGAAATCATCTCAGCTGCTTTGCTGCAAGTATCAATATTAGCTCACATCACCTTCCATGGGCAGGTTAACCTAAACCTCAGACGTTGGTATAAGCAGCTGAGAAACACAGTGAGTCCAACTTAGACACTTAAAACTGCAGCAGAGATACATAGTGACTAACATCTGAAATTGCCATAGCTATTTCCCTCGTGAATGAATGACTAAGCTTTTTGGTAAAGATCCCTGGAAACATTTGTTTCAGTCCCTAAAAGCAACAGAAACAGGGTTCATAAACAGTACTAAGTTATCTTAGTACATCTGGAGGACCTTTTTACACCCAAATTATTAGAAAGAGGACAAGTTTTAACTAAGAAATCTAAGAGGTGGTTTTTTTGTTTGTTTGTACATTTGATGCTGTCCTGTAGAGGTCACACCACCTGGAACAGATCCCTCCGGCAGCAGGCACTGCACCTTCTTGCCTCAGAGAAATCTGGGTGCCTGAAAGATTCCAAGGCCCATCAGTACACCACGACCACGTGGCACTTCTGTTTAACCACTGCTGGATAACCTGATATATGCCACCCGGTGAGCTCAGCAGAGTCGGATGTCTTTATTCCACTTGTTCTGAGTCATTTGGACAAAGGCTGGACTGTGAGACCATATCACACATGGAAAAAACACACAGCAGCTTATCTGCTGTTTGAGAGCCATCTGGAGGCCGGTCAGAGCCACCGTGTGTCCCTCCACACGTATGTAACCAGGTAGATTCAGACCCCCTGGCAGTGATCAAAAGACCCAGCAAGTGCCATGTCCATATGTACAGGTAAGGCAGAAACCTTCTGCTGGCTGCTCCACCAGCAAATGGATCATCTCTAAATTCAGCATCCGTAAAGATGTGTGACTCTGTGAAGTGATGTTTATTGACTCTTGTGTATGTCAGTGGAATAGGGAAAAGTCTTATCAGGATTATTATTCTTCCTATGAAAAACAGCCACTCCAGACACTGTGGTCTGCCACTGTATGATTTCAAGGGAGTTTTTCCAACTGACTTTGCATTTGGTTCAGTACAAACATTTCCAGGATGTGGCACTGAAAGTTGTGTAAACACACCGGCAGTTTGGGCAAGATTACAGCAGAGAAAGATTGTTCTCTCCACACATATTTATTGTGTTTCACAGGTCCTACAACTGGTTCACTTGCTCCAAGATTGAGGAACTGAACCATATTGGGAAGAAAGGAACATCAGGTGACATGTATCACTAACAGGAAAGCTTATAAGGTTTAATTTCTTCTTTAAAAACAAAACAAAACAAGAACTTCTCAAGACATTTATATCTCAAGAGCTCTTTGCCTTCAAACAAACCATCAGTTACATTTGAAAATTGAGTTGCCTGCCATCATCAGGCAAGTAACCTATAAAGTCATGACTAAAAACAGAGGCTTCCAATTTCCAGTGCAGAGAGCACATGATGAGACGCGCTGGGGAGATCTTTGCCACCTAATTTCTCTAGTCTCTGCTGCAGACAGAAGCAGAAATGGCACACGCTGCTTGACTTCAGCTCAACCCCTTCCTTCCCGTATTAGGAAAGAGAAGACAGCCCAAGCCAGATGGTGAATGCAGTTTTTTGGTCCTAAACAGATCAGTTGCTAGACCAATGATGCAGAATGTACAGATCCCTTAACATGCAATACAGGGTTCAGCTGTGACCATCCTTTACCATCAAGGTTAAAAAACTGTTAAGAGAAAAGTAGTGGCTGAATGTTTGCATTTAACATCAGTTAATAAGCTGCATCATTGCTTAGGGGAACTGGGCAGAACATTTATATGGACTAGCTACTCAGCTCTGGCTTCTAACTGAGGCCCTCCAGAACAAACACCCCCCAGTATCTCTTAGACTCTATGGTAAAATCTGATGAAAATGCTGATCCAGCAGTACTCAAGTTTGACTTCTGCCATTATTGATTTGTATCACAGAAGAAACAGATCTACTGCTAATATTCGACTGCTAAAATATTATTCTAAAAGAAACTCCCCATTTAAATGGAAATTGACAAGAAATCTGAAGTTAACTGCTTTTGCTGTACAAAATCAGCTTTGCTACTTACCCACAGTGCAGTACTCAGTTCTTTTCAACAGCGCCTTCTCAGAGATCAAATACAACTTATTTCACAAGTAACTCACTTCACGAGTAGCAAAAACAGCCAAAAAGTTTGCCTGTACCATGTTCAGGTCTGCATTTGCTGGTTATAAAAATCACAATTACAGTAAGCTTGCAAGCAGCCAATGAAATGATGCATAGATGAGATTCACTTCCTCTTCAGTATCAACTGCAGAACCACAGAGTGATGACACAATATCTTCACACTGCAACGGCAACTTTCCCATCAATGTTGCAGTACAAGAAATCAAAGTGTGGCTGTCCTGTATTTTGATGAAACTACCAAGTAAGTGTAGATGTGGTGGAAAATACCCAACCAACACCAGGATTTTGAAAGCTCTGCAACAACAAAAAATGAACGACCAAACTAGGCAGCCAGTTTGCTCTCTGGTCTCCATACGGCCTCTAGCACATGAAGATTGCTCATGCTGCTGGTCAGTTGGTTGAGCTGTCATTAGATCTCGTCACCTCACACAACTTCCCTGTGGTTTACAGCAGCTTTATGGCTGAAAGCAGACCATTGCTAACTAAGTTTTTAGTCAAGATAAGATTAAGTAGAAGAAATGTGTGGAATGCTGAAAATTGTACAGCTCAGCACAACTGCTGGAAGAAAATCCTGTAAAGCAAGAAAATATATGGCATTTAAGGCAAGCAAACTTTTCTGGTTTGAATAATAATACTTACATCTCCTTCCAGGCTGAGCTTGCTTAAAATTTCATGGACAGTAGACATCTTGACAGAACGCTGGAGGAGAGAAACAAGCAGACATAAACATATTTACAGACATAAACATACTTACAGTTACAGTCCAGGCTATACAGCCCTGAAATACTGCACCACTGAAACCAATACAATCCAATCTGCTAATTGCAAGCAAAACTGCTGATTTAAGGGTTTCCAAGCCACAGTGCCATTAATAATGCAAGTGAGAGGCTTTTGTCCTGACTGGGACAAGACTGCAAACACCCATTGGCAACACGATCATTAGACAGCAGGTAACAGACTCTGACAGCTAGAGTAACGCCTTGCAACATAAAATAATATCACTTGTCCACCTCCCTAAACCACATGGTATCTTGCTAAGACATGCAAAGAAAATTAGGGGAAAAAAAAATCACCCTGAAACAAATTATTCACACTGCAAGAATAAACATCAATTTGATAACTGTGCTTTACAACACCACAGTTTTTTTCAGCTCTGCTTTCTGGTCAGTTCACCAGTGCTGTAAAGCAGTTTTGCTGAAATGGACTCTCTTTCCCAAAGATTAGAAGCCAAAGGCAATGTGTAAGTGACTTACTGTAGACCCAAAACTCAGCTCACAAATTCTTCCACTGACAGGAGAGAGATTGCCCATCGTATTTCCAGCTAGTCAACCAGGTTGGCAACTACAGCAAACGTTACCAGGTCTTTCAAAACCAGAGCTTGCTCTTCAAGAACTCAGCCATCTGTACAGACAGCATTATCAAACAGGGAAAAGAGCTGGCTGGATAGGAGACAGGACAGGAGATCTCAAGATCAGAGACGTTTAACTAACTGATAACTGGGCCTGGAATAAAAATGGTATTATTCTCGGCCACACGGAGCGCTCTTCCCTTCATTTCCATGCACATCAGTCTCCCCACTCCCTTCCACTCATCAACAGGATCTGAACCCAGGAGCTCAGAGCACAGTAAGAGGTTGGAAATATTTTCCAAATAACAGAGACCTGGTAAAGACTCCAGAGCAAGACTTTTTCTTTGTTTAAACACCTATTAATCCTTTTTTTTCATGAAGTCTTCTACGAGGAAAAAGCAGAGAAATTCTGGATTTCAGAAATAAAGTGCAGTAACGTATTTTGATGGGGTTATTTTTGTTTTGGTTTTTCGGTTTCTTTTTTAGCATAAACGCAGTAATTGCGCATTTCCTTGCTTAAAATACAGCAAGAAAACCTGCTATCTTCTGTCATAACCTACGTGAGTAACAAACACCAAATCTATTTCAAGGGAAAGTAAGATCCCAAGGGAAGAAAATGAGAAATGCAAAGCACAGTAAACATCAATTTCCTTCAATAAAATAAATAATCCACTAAATTAAATAAATAAATCCTCTTTGGAGCAAAACTCCAGCACGGCCTTTTTAAGACAGGCAGCAGAAAGGGCAAGAAGCTGCTACCTGCTGTTGGCACAATGACACTGGTTGGAGGTGGACAACACATTCCTGCACTGTGAAATTCTTCATGTCTATGTTAATAAAATGAAGTGCCTAACAATGAGAACTTTGTACTCTAACAGCTTTACAGCCAGTACCAGAGAGGAGCAATTCCGGTCCTTCAGCCTTCCTTGTTACAAAGAACTGGAAACCACCAGTGAAAACAAGCAAAGTGATTGCAGTGTAATCTTTCTCAAAGCTTTTCGCAAGACTCCTATTTTTAAGTCAATTAGAAACCACATTGAATCGGGCTTGCTGGAACAAAGCACTTGAACAGCTTCCAAGAACAGAACGATCACACCCTCACGTAGGGCTGGAGCTGGGAGGTTTGTGCCATCAGCACACAACAATGCTATAGCAACCGCCTGCTCCGCAGAAGCATGTTGGCAAAAGGAAACCCGCATTTCTGCAAGAAACTGCAGAGCTTTACTCAGAACAAATGCACGTCTTGTCACACCCTGCTTTGTAACGCCGTCATATTTGAGAACTGATTCTGATGCTGTTTGGACAAGTTCTGGCTGGGTTTGAGCATGTAAACAGAAAATACGTGCACTAACTTGTTCTTCCTTACTTGGAAACGACCAACACCTACCCTCCTAAGCTAACACTTCAATACCTTCAGGCAAGCTTCTGCAATTGGTTTTACTCCTAAATACAAACTATCAGTTCTAAAGCACAATATTATTCTACTAAGGGAGATTACCTGCGTTGAGCCCCGTCACCACTGCCAGCAATCTCTGACTTCCAAAGCTACTCTTACATTGTGGCTGGCCTACACGCAGTGCCTCATCCCCTCAGCTGTTTGGCGACAGAAGAGCATACATAGAAGCAGCTCTGTATCTTGATTCCCAGGGACAGCTCAGGTACACAAAGTTAGGGGAGAAAAAATAAAGCACAACACCCACCATGATTCATGCAGGAAAGCCATGCCAGGTATGCACAATCAATATTGCTCAATAAGCAGAGCTACCATTTTAAGAATTTAATCCACCCTTCAAGTCAGAAACTGGGCAAAGGGTGTTCCCAAATCATGAGCCAAGGAAACGGCATCCCCAGAATGAGAGAATGGAAACTAGAACTCAGAGCATATTTGTGTCAGGTCTCAAACCAGGGCGAAGTCTGGCAACAGAGGAGATGCAACAGGGAGGAGCTGCAATGCCTCAGTGTAAATGAATTAAGGACTCAAAACCATTCACTGCATACTGCTGACTGCTGGTACAAATGGCCAGGTCCTCCCCCTGCAGGGCGTGCTGTAAGGTTTAGCAGGACATCCAAAGTCAGTCACCACTCAGAGAAAAACTAGGCTTAAAGGAAAAGATCCAGAAAACCATTCAACCACACCGTTGCACACCTTCTTGAACTGCTCTCATCCTACTAACAGCCCAGGAGATGTCCCAGTCCAAGAAGATGCCATGCACACACAAAAATAAGGGCCTTTAATTCACTGAATTCAAGTTATTAAATTTTCTACATTTAACGGGAAGAGTTTTCCTGCCAGTGGAAACCATTCCATGGTAATGCAAACCACACACACTGGGACTGCTTAGCACAGGCAGCTGCTACAGAAGGAGCGCAGAGGGATCACCCAGCGGCACAGAGGACCTGAAAGATCCTTTAACTCTCCATTTGCACACCAGGGTCAATGTACCGCTATGCAGACACAGCATTTGAACACCAACATCCGAACAGCTAAGGTAAAAGGAACTAAGCCCACTATGAGTAAGAACGCCACCCTGAGAGCGTTTCGCTTTTCCTGCGGCTGAAATAAAAGTCTCCGTCCCTCTGCCCTCCGGCTCAGGCAGGAGGAATCGCGCCAGGCCTGACCCAGACGGGCAGCAGCCCCTAGAAGAACCTCCGCCGCGGCCCAGAGCGCCACGCCCGAGCCGGGCGCTGCCGTCGTGGGCGGGGGGAACCCGGGGGCAGCCCGAGGAGCCCGGCCCCGCCCCGTGCAAGGGCTGCGGGGCGCCGGCAGCGTCCGGGGCAGGCAAGGGCGGCTGCCCGAGGCCGAGCGCATCCCGCCGCCTTCGCCGCAGCCTCGCACGAACGCCGCTGGCTTTAAACGGCAGGAGAAGCTTCGGGGTGGAAAGCGAATTTACGGCCCCACCGCTACTTCTGCCGAACCGTTACGTGCCTTCGCAGGAAGGCTTTTGGGGAAGCCCGACGACGTACGGGACCCGGGCGCTGCCGCACCCCCAGCCGCGGCGCGGGGCGCACGGAGCTCCCGGCTCAGCTCCGCCGCGCGAAGCCGCACACGGGACAACGGCGGGCGAGCGAGCGAAGGCGGAGGAAGAGGAGCGGGGCGACCGCACCCAACCACCGCCCCGCTCCGCTCCGCTGCCGGGCAGCACCCGCTCCGCTCCCCCCGCGGCAGCCGCCGTACCCCGGCTCCCTCCCTCCGGCCCGGCCCCGTTCCGTGCCGCGCTGGCAGCCCCGGGGCTCACCTGGCCGGGGTGGGCGAGGCGGCTCTGGCGGCGGCTCCGGCGGCGGCTGGGGCCGGTGGCCGCGCGGGAGGGGTTTTGTAGGGTCGGGCGGGAGCTCCCCGCCCCGGAGCCCCCACCCGCGGCGCTGACTCACCCGGCCGCGCCCTCCGAGAGAGCAGGAAGGGGCGAGGGACGGGGTGGGAGAGGGCAGGGGAGGGGCGGTCGCTCCGCGCCTGGCGGAGCCGCAGCCCCCGGGGTCGCGCTAAAAGAGCCGCCCAGAGCGGCGCCCGGGGGCGGGGCGCGGGGCTCAGAGATTCTCCGGAGATCCTCCGCCTCCCCCGCGCGGAGTTCCCCGGAGCGGCCCGGCTGCGGTGGGTCAGGCCGGCAGGTGGGGCGGCGCCGCTCCTTAGCACGCAGCAGACGAGCCGCGGCCGTCGGAGGTCCGACACGTCAGCCGCAGCGGCCCTCTGCCATGCACCGCGCTGCCAGCGAGGCGCAGCCCTTAGGGCGGCTCCCGTCCGGCCCGGCCCGCGCTCCCTGCGGCGTGCAGGCGTGCAAGCCCCGTTCGGAGCAACGCTATTGAAGGAGCGGCCCTCAGAGCTCGGTGTGCGAAGTCCGAAGTACAGGAAGTCTGGGTGCCGCAAGCAGTGCGTACGAGAAGCCCGAGATAGACAACCTCTGCCCCCACGCTCCAGGGTGCACGCTCGGTTAACCCTAACAGTGTAAACCCCGCGTAGAAGAAGGGTGGCAAAAAAAGGAAAGAAACGGGAAAAAGAAACCCAGACTCACGCTACTCTAACGAGGGAAAAACAAATTGTCAAGGCGCAGATGTGACACCAGTCAGAAAAAAAACAAGATATAGTTAAAAAGAAAAAATACATTTCTAGAAAGCGTTAGTCTTGGCCATAAAAACAGCAGTGGTAAAAGCAGGGAACCACCAGAGGCAGAACACAGGCTATGGGAAAAAGAAAGCAGTAACGCGGGGATGGAGCAAGAACACTCAGAAGGGAAGGGGCGTTAGACTGGGCTTGCATGGACCAGTCATTGCAGAATGTGAAAATCATGGTAACAGTTCTCCCGAGTAAAAGAAAATAAGGCATGGGGACAGCCGTCGGAAAAGGCTTGTTGTGGCACAGCATTCTGGCGGAGAACCTCACTGCAAGCACTGCTCTCACTTTGTGAGGTTTTATTTTTGGTGAGACCAGGGACCAGCTTTAAAAATCAATTCCTGGGCACCTCGGTTCCACCAGTCTGCCGCCAGCAGTTAAACACACAATTTCCCCTCCTCTTAGGTTTCTTAGAAAAATCACTGGAGACTTGGAAAGGTGATTCACAGATACTGGAAGTAACAGCCACTCTGTGCTGCAATATTCATCGGGGGCTCTAAATAGGGATGAGCAGCTGAGCAGATGCCAGACAGCCATGTGCTTACTAATGGCTGCTCAGGGACAGTCTGGGTGGTGGGGCAATTTCTTGTCAAACATTCTCAGAGCAAAGCAGCAGGAAAACAATCAGAACACCCTCAGCTGGAAAAAAAATATTTTCACATAACAAACATAATGCCAACATGCAGCATATGTTGCATTCTTGTATAAAACCTCCCAAGCCACATACTAACCAATCCATCCAATCTCAAAGAGCACATTCACACTCTGAACAGAAGGTCCATTTGCCTTTCCGTCCTCTACCGCAGCCTCTCCTAATGACACTTCTACTCCCACTTCCTTAGAAAATTGTTCTATTTTTAATAACTCAATACTTCCAGAAATAAGCTGTACAGCTCACACGGTACCATTAATTCTAGTTAACTAGATCTTCACATGAACAGGTTGAAGAAGCTCTGATAGCAGGTGAACATTTATTGGTCTAGTTACATTCAGTAAGCACAAAAGGATTTTCCCACAGTTCCAACAGCTTCTGAAAGAGCACAGACACATTGGCTCTAATATCCAGCTAAATCATCAGTTATTCAATCTTGGAATCGTAGACTCACCTCAGCTTAAAACAGTCTCTCACATTCAGCAGCCTGTCTGAACTTCCACAAGCTTCAGTGATCAAAAACAAAAAACAAACAGTAAGGGAAAAGAGTAACTGCATTTACAGTTATGAATATATGCACATTGTGTTAATATCATAATAAATTACCTGAATTGGTCTCTGCTTGTGTAGATCAACCGACATCAGAGGCACTTGTACCAGCTGGGGAATCTAAGCAGTATGAATTGCAGAAAAGACATCAGCGTTTCTGGCAGACAACCAACCATCTCCTAACACCAAAGGCTGGCGCTCCTGCCCCTGGAAATACTACACATTCCTCTCTTCTTTGTGGAAAACACTCTGCAAAACCAGTTAGCTGAAAAGAAGGCAACAGTCAAACTGCACAAATAGGAAAGACCTGTTATCTGCCAAAAAGGGAAAGGAAATTAATTCAATGGGAGAACAGCAGCCAAGTGCCTGAATCACTTTTTAAAATGAGGTATTAGCTTGTAAGTCACACGGGTTATTTCTGAAGATTTACCTCAAAGCTTGGAGGGTAAATCACAATGGGTTCTGATCCACAGCCACTGCTCCTCAGCACTATTGGTGTAACTGCAGTTAGCGTTAGGCTGGATGGAGGGTTGGGACAAGGACTGCACTTATCACAAGCCCAGATATTTAACTCGAAGAGACAAGCTGCAACTAGCCTGTAAGTTAGGCAGTGCCAGGAAAGGTTTTTACTTGTTTTTCCATTGCTTAGTTCCTACAACCCCTTAAAATTTTTGCACAGAAAGTGATTTTTTAACCTGCTTTTTAATCTACTTTAATTTTTTAATCTACTTCAGCTCCAATTACCTGTTTGTGATCTCTGGCTTCCTGTGTGCTGACCACAGAAGAGAGAGCACTTCTGTTGACTGCAGCTCCCCAGAGACCTGAGAATGGAAAAACAACTGTGACTGTGCTAATTCTCATTCTTCCTTTCCGACAGCCGACTGTGACTGTTCATCCTATGGACACGTCCATCCTTTTAGTCTCAAGTGACATTTACACTGCTAACTTTCCAATTATTTTGTTACTACTAAATATTGTTTGACAACTACTTTCAATTATTCTCTTCCACTCCAGTAACAACTTTGATTTTTCTTGTCATTACCTGACGTAACACTACTGGAGAATCGATGTGTCTAACCTGAATGTTAAGCTCCCCTCTGATCCAACATTTATTTTTGCAACAGCATGAACACAAACGGGGTCAATCGCTCTGAAAAGATTTTTCTCTCACTCGTGTCTGCCCATGGAATGCTTGGCTCCTTCATCTACACAGATCTTGCTCACTCTCTTTCAGAATTCTTTCTACCCCCAAATGCCCCCCCCAAAAAAACCAAAAAACCAAAGCTGCATTAACACTGTAGTTATGAAGAACACAATTCTGTCAACATCTGCTGCCTACTTAAACATTTTTCTTGCATACCAAAACCTTGGGAACGGGACAAAAGGACTTTCTAGTTTAGGCGTGGCTGAACCTCTACATCCAGTATTGCTTCACTGAATGCAGTATGTTGCAAGAGGGTAATATAAATTCCATCCTGCATGATCAGGCAGACCTCTGGGTATTATTTTTGTATCTTGGTTATTTGGTTTATCTTTGGAACTGCTCTGATACAAATACATGGAGATTTGTTGTGAGTGATCACAGGTTTCAAAGATAGTAAAGTATAACCTCAAAGTCATGCTAGCTGGACTCCCAGGACACTACCTTGGCAAGTTATTCAAGGTACAGCTATGGCAGACTCCTAAAGGCACACCTGAACTAAATGAGGAAAGTTCTTAACACTGGAAGTTCTGAAGTTCTTATTTTTCTCTGTGAAATGCAAAATTTTTCATTTGTGACTTCCTCTAAATCTTACCAAACTGTAACAGTGCTGTATGCTTTTGATAAGTGTGCTTAATACCAAGTTCATCATTTACCTAATAGAATACCAGAGAAATAGACATAGTTCTAGATAAATGTTCCTCTTAATATCCTAACCTTTGGGATCAATTCTGTTCTGTGCAATCTAATTCCTGCACACACAGGCATATCCCTGTACAAACATGACTTTCTACTCAGAGCTGTACTTATTGAAAGAGCTCTTAAAGAACTGGCTTTCCTTCTGGAGCGACCTTTTGTGTTGGCCAGCTCTCACCTATTTTGCTACACGTGCTCTATTAGGCAGGCAGTGTGTTTATGAGCACACCATCCAGTCAGAAACAGGAACCCTGCACTGTACGCCCCGTAGTGCTGCGGTATGGCGTGCAACCAGTCGGATCACTGCCTTACTGATCAGGTCCTGCCTTCTGACTCTCCAAGTTACTTCAACAAAAAGAAATACAGTATGTTCAGTAAATTGTATTCGGTTTATCTCCATCTGTGTAGTATGAAGTCCACACTAAACAAGGTTACATCAACTGTCTTATAAAGCATGTCTTTTAGAAATATTTTTAGCTGAAGAAGTGCCAGTTATATCCTACAGTTCCTACTGAACTCTAAGGGTTTTACCCGTAGCACTAGAACCTGACAGCAACTAGCTTCCATGGCTAGTGAAACGCTGACCTCTCCCCCCAGTTTCTTAAAGAAGTCTCCATCTCCTGATACTCTGTTATCACTGCACTTGTCTTCAGCTACTTCTCTACTCCTTATACATGCAACTTCACTTTCAGCTGCTCATAGACTGAACTCTAATCTCTTTCCAGAGATCTTCTTCATCACCAATGGAAATATCACACCCATCCTCATTAATCTCACATCTCAGTGGACGCCTTTGGGTAGCAAGGAGTTTGCCTCCACAAGGAAATGATGCCTGGGTGATGTGGGATCTGCATTAAGGCAAGGGAGAACCAAAGTAAAATATCAGCTAGGACTACAACCACAGGACTTGGTCAGAAAGAAGCTCCTTTAACTACACCCAGAAGTTAATAAAAGCTGCCTCACAAGGCATACGTACAGGCTAATGAAAGTCCCTATCAAAAACAAAGCCAAAACCGAAGTTTTAACACTATAGTGAAATCTCATTGCATAGCTGTCCACTGCTAACAGAAAATGAAATGGAATCATGTATGCTCCAATCAAGATGCTCAGAAGGAAGCAAAATCCTTCATTACTTTCATCTAGCTGACAAGAAAACAACACAGGCCAGCAAAAAGGCACAGCAGGCTTGTTTGCCCCATGCCTTGAAGAGCAGGCTATCACGTATTCCTTCCTTCTGTTCATCGCGCTCACTGGAGTCAGTCAGGTGAGGTAACACAGACATTCAGTGAGGAATATACATCAGGAACAAATGATAACACCTTAGAAAACCTTCTGTTCTTTAGGACACACGTAACTTCTCCAGCATACTTTCTTCATAAGCAGTCACGGTGTCTGGACCTCATTTTGACTTCCAAACTGACATGCTAATCCCTAGCATTCTGGTGTTCAAGGGTGCCTCACAGAAGCAACCATCGAGTGCTGAGTAGGAGGCACTGCCTAGACAAATACACAAACAGAAATGAAACACACTTGCCAAACTCCTTGTGCTGGTGGTATTGGCAGCATGAATAAACTCAGCATCTTTCCTGTGAATGAAACAGTCACAGAATGTACAAACAAACAGTCACTATGTGTGTAACCATGGTTCAGTGAATTTTCTCAAATCCCACGGGGATTTCGTGACTTCCTGCTTCACAGCCAACTACCTTTGCTAGGGTAAAAATCATACAGTCATGCTTTACAAAGGCTGTTGAACATAGGTCAGATGTGAAGGAAGGTTACATTACTTGTCTGATTATCACAAATACTGGCAAGCACAGTTTCATTTCCTTGGTAGTGGAGAGTTGCAATTCTACCTAAATTGATATACCAAGCTGTTCTTGGTCCTATACACATTAACGGGTTAAAAACAGCTATGAAAGGTTCAGCTTTTCCACCAATATCAGCATAACGCTGGTAGCACAAACAGGCTACCAGTACATTGCAGCAGCATTAAGAGAGATTTTGAAGCCATTTAGATGACACAGTGCATAAAATGATCACAGCTGCCAGCTCTACAATAACATTCCCCAGACTGCCAACATACTGCAAAACACTGTAGGAAATATTACTGGTGCACGTGGAGCCCCTGACATCACCTAGAACAGACCAGCAAGAATAATCACTTTGGTTTCTCTTGCCAAAGGACAGAAACAGTTATACAAGATTTTACAGCATGGGGCTTTTTCCTAGGAATAGTGATAAAAGAGTCACATATGACCAAGTCCATTCCATGCATTTTTTCATTCTAGTGACTCAGAACACAAACAGTCCCGTGGTCTCCTGACCTCTGCTGAAGTAGTGGGGAGGCTCACACCTCACTACACGCCTGAGGCTCATAGGCATAATTCTGACAGTCTCAGGAATCTGACCTAGCACCAGCTAAGCTTACTCTAAATGCCAGATTCCTGTGTCAAACTAGCAGGCTACTAACCACAAACCAAAAAAATAGCTCCTTTTTGTTTAGTATCATGCAACCTCTGAAAACAAACAGAAAAGAAGTCACTTGCAGATTAAAGATCACGTACTGAAACTGACATGCTGTTACGACAGCAATAAGGAGCACATTGATGATTTTGTGAAACAGCATTTTTTTCTTAAGCCTATGAACCCTGTTTTAGTACCAAATAACAAAAAAGTCATTACACGATCTGAACTTTATTACTTAATAAGGCTCAGCTGAAATTGTACTGGTTGGGGAAGAAAGGATGCCTTGCAACACAAAACAACGTCACATTCAAAAAATTGTCTTCATTAAATATCGCTGTCTACACAGACATCCTTTTCTGTTCTTTCAAATGGCATACACCTTTAGATCAAATGTAAGGCTAAGACGCTTGATTTCATACAAAGATGATGAGGCAGTGAAAAGGAGCAGCTGTTAAGAAACCTGTTTCTGCCAGGCAGGCTAAGACTCACATTTCCAGTTCTGAATTCTAAAAACAGCATTCCCTCCTTTCAGTGAATCAGAAATGTATTTTTAAAGCCTTGTCATTTTAGCATGAAGGAATCACAAAACAGCTGTGTTATGTGTAAGGTTTGCTTTCATACAAGCCTTCAACAAACAGTTGAGATGGACAATTCTCACTGCTGTGCCCTGCTGACTAGTTCCACAGGGAACAGTTCTATAACTCTAAAGCAGAAAAAAAGCAGCAGAGACAGCACAACTACAGATGATTTTCAAACAGGTCTTAAACACTGAAGTTTACTTGCCTGATATTGCCATCATCAAGGAAGTTGTTAACACAATAACAAGCAATCATCACAGCTCGTAAACAATAACTGAGTACAAAGCAGCCGAGGAAAGGAGCCCAAGACTAGCTGAGCCATCTGCAGAACGGAGAGACATACAGCTGATACCTGTCCCCTGGAGTTGGAGGAGGTACCAAAGAAAGCCTTCAGCTCAGTTTTGCCATGTAATGGCCAGAACTCAAAGTTTAAGCCACAGTCTGACAAGGGCACAGACTCTTAAAACACACAGAGTAACACAAAGCCACAGACATTCGTCATTTGAAAGCAAAAGAAGTGCACTGTATTTCATCTCCTCAATCTATCTCAGCTGTAAGGAAATCTGAGCCAATCAAGGGGACAGATCCAGATGATGGCACTAACTGGATGTGTTAACTATAAAATCCATCTCTTTCAGAAGCATGACAATAGTAAAATCTAAAGATCTTTGCAGAAAAATACAATTTAAAAGCAACTAAAAAGCCCAAATTTATTGTCAGGAAAGAAAAATTTGGAAACCTATCAAGAAATGACAGTGCTTCTGGTAGGACTGTGCCCTTCCTTGTAAGAAAGGCTGTGTTTTGTTTAAGAAAGAAGGAGCCTAGTTACATAAGTTCTCAGAGAAGCACCTGAGACATTATATATATATATATCCAGTCAGACTCAGAGGAGAGGAGAGACTGAAAATGGTTTAATTCCCTCTACTAGTGGAAACAGAGCCATCTTAAATGGAGGTCATCACTAAACATTCTAAAAGACTACCTCTAAACTGGCCTTAACCATCTTTTAGAGACACTCTCCTATCTAAAATACAGCAGTCAAGTAAGAAGCAGAAGTACCTGTACGAATGCTCCAGTATTTGGCACTGAACTTCACGGCATTGGGTTGATAATGACTTGGTAGCTCTCACTTGCCAGCACAGGAGTGGATGTCCTGTCCTACAGCCATGGCTCATACTTAAGGTTCCACCTGCTAGGCTACACTACAAGACACTGAAGAAACACAGTAAATGTTCTCCTAACTTTTTTTCAGTCACCCAGACATGGTGAAGGTCTCGCCAGCAATGCATGCCAAGGAAAGCAGCGCAGTGATCCTTCAGTGCACAGTGCAGATTAAGCTTGCAAGCACTTATTATGGCAGAAAAAAAAGTTTCACAATGAATAGCCCATTGCAGCTATTCGTGCTGATACGAAGAACTGCTAATGTTTCATACTGTCAGAGGTATAATCAATCAATAATCTCTAATGACTGGTAAGAATTCCTCTTCTAGACCTTCAGAACCAAATACAGACTATCTGCCAATTTAATCTAACAAAAAACACCAGGAATTTGAGAGAAACAGATTTAATATCTGCAATCTTTTCCAACGTGGAAAACTATGTTCTCAGAGGGTTTCTTCCATGTTCACCGAGGTAACTGGTGGCTCAGAGCTGTACTAGTAGATAGTCATGAGTGGAGCTCCTGAGGGGTCAACACGAGGTCTAGTACTTCCCAGTTTTCTTATAAATCATCTGGGTAGCACAAAGGAATCAGCATTCAGTGAGTCTGCAGATGACGCAGAATGGAGAGGAGAGTAACGGTGGACAGAAGAGCCACTATTCAGAGAGACTGGGGCGGCACAGCAAGGTCAGTAAGGACCGCATGGCATTTAACTCCAGCACCGTGACAAAATAAGCACAAGCAGCAGCTCTGGCTGCTCCATCAGTACTGGACTACAAGCATCTACACCAATCAGGAGAGAACTAGATGCAGAGTTTTGAAATCAGTCTAGTTCTCCAGCAGTTACAACTTCCAGTTCTGACAGACAGGACAGTACATACCCTTCATAACCAGGTAATTCATTAATTTCATAACTGCAAAGACAAAAAGCTAACAAAGAATAAATACATAAAATTGGAAGATTCTCATCCGGTAAGTAACATCTAATTTTGCACTTTGAATGCTTATCCAAAAGATATTCTCATAACACAGATGGACAAAGTAGCATTTAAAAATGAATCACAAACTGCAATACAAATATATGTAATTCATTCCAAATGCAAAGCTGAAGACTGAAACTACAAGAGAAGATGGTGGTATCTGAAAATTTGTTCCTAAACTCAGCTGATTGAGGCCATGTAAAATATCAGTACTAAGTAGCTGCAGAAGCAGAGATGTCTGCAGAATAAGATCCAGGCCTGCACACTTTCCTTCAGCTGTAGTTTCCACAGCTGTACAGTCTGTGTTAGATGTAGGAATTCATACTCTGGTGGTACCATAACAGTCAGGCTCCCGTGTTCCTTCTCTCCAAAGATGCTGTTCCTTTGGGATTAGCCTGCACAGAATCAGAGATTCATCAACTGATACACAGCACATTCTCAGACTTGATTTTTTTTTTAGACCTAACTATGTTATTTTGTTTTGTGTTTCCTTTGTTTCAAAGTTCAGATATTGGTGCACAAAATAAACATGCTACCCCTTCCTCTTTCTCCTTTTATCAAACTCCTTTAAATGGAACTTCGTTTAACACAAACTGAAGTATACCTTTGTACATTTGCCTCAAATTAAAGAGCATTTAATAACACGTTTTGCTACCAGACCCACTTCACTAGGTGGAATTCTGCTGAACTGTTACTAGAGAAAATAAGAATGTAATTTGACTTTAAATACAGAAATTGTGCTGGAGTACAAAGCTGCAATTTAGGTAAAGTAACAAACTCACATTAGATTTTAGTCCACGATGTTGCATAATCCTCCATTTTTATTTCACCAATCACGAGCTGTTGAAAAACAAGGCAATCCTTTGGGAAACAGAAATATCCAGCAGCAAGATGATCAAAGGCATATTGTTGTTTTGCTGTATCAGGCTCTCAAAGTCGAGATTTGGTTTTCATATGTTGTTAAAAGTAGCATTCCTCTTCCCATCAAACCTCATCAGGATGTGGCAGACTATAAAGGCAACTTATATTAAGAATTTCCCGCTGTTATTGCTCATGTTCAGACACAGGAAAAGGCCGTGATCTTGAGTTAGGAAGCAACAACCATTAGCAGAAACAACCTATCATTACTTTTCAAGTCCATGCAGATCTAGGGAGCATCTACACACACAAGTCACAAAACAACTGTACTATTGCATCCAAGAGCTATCCAAGTGACTGTATTTCAATCCCTCCTCACAAGGAATACCCCAAGATTTGTTTCAGCATCACTTTCCTTTCTAACAACAGAAATGTTATTGTGCTCAATCTGGCTCATAAAGCCATGGTAACTGGTACATGAACTTTATGAAGGCATGCTCTACACGGCTGTGAGAAAACAAGCAGGCCACAGCTCTCAGTAACATGTGTTCTATACACCTAATGATGGAGTTCAACAAGTTCTTGTGCTGTATGAACAAAAGCAGCCCTCCAAACAACTTAGAGCACATTACCCCAGTCCCACTTAATACAAAAGAGAACAAATCCAACAGAATTTGTTGTTTGCTCCACACTGCCTACATATTCTAAATGGATAATAAACTACAATTGGTGCATATGCACACACACACACAATAATATTAAAAGACAGAACTCTTCCAGCTGCACCGACACATGGGCATATAGAGCATACAGTTGAAACTTAAAGAAATGGTATAAAAAAACCTAAATTCCACACAAGTTTTGCTCAATTTTTGTGTACACACACTGAAAACTGCTTTGACTCCCCACACAGAGTTATCTCACAGAAATGACTCACAGCTAAAGTATTCCCATTAAGAGAGGTCACTGGCTGGATTTAGGATTTTGAGTCAGGAAGACTTGTAGCCTGCAAACAACTGTAAGCCATTTCAGCTTGTCAGCAACATATCACTGCAGCTAACAGAAGTGGTGGCCAATACCATAACAAACTGAATAATATTATAAATACATCTAGCAAAAGAAAAAAAGCTCAGAAAATGCTTTGTATTTCACAAAGAATAGATTTTAATGTACATTCACTGCTTAAACCTCCTTAAAAGAACTTGTCCTCGGGATTTTAAAAATCATGTACAACCCAGTAAACAAATAAAATAGTTTATTTTTACTCTATGATAAAAAAAATTCAACAGCAAAACTTCCACGTTATGTAGCAGAACTCCAATCAGATGTATGCACTTTGTCCCCAAGTAAAAGAAGTGGAAGAAAATCTTGAAGGCTTTTGTTTAAGCACATACACAAACACCCCACTGGAACATCATTCAAACAGAAATTGGCTCATTTTAAAATACTTCTGTGATTTAAAAGGCAAACACGGGAAAGAATTTACTGACTAAAGAATTCCTAACTTTTCTAAAATCAGTTCTCCTAATGAAGAAACACAATTATACACATAATACATAAAAAACACCCAGAAATCCAGAAAATAATTACAAATGCATCACAGCTTACAAGGTGCTTCAATACTGACCATTGTAAGAATTTCATTTTTCTTACTAGGAAACTGCAACAGACAGTCAGTGTACTCTTTTTCTAACCTCACACTCAATTTGGCTCAAAATTCTAAGTGAGCTGCTGAGACTCAGCATAGTCTTGTTTTTTTTTTTTCCAGTGACAACTAAGGCAAACCTTAATACCTGAGGTAAACAGTACCGCATATTGCCCTGCATTCTGATAGGAGATTAGACTGTAACCTTTCAGTAATGCAATAAAAAACCATCAATACTCATTTTTGAAGACATGCTAGAAACCAAAGTAATTCCTGGAAATTGTGCTGGGGAAGCAGAAACTGTTTCATACTTTGCTTATTAGCAAAGCTTAGGCTTTCCAGTGCAAATTTATGGCACGTACTTTTCTATAAAACACAGCTTTTGTTTCCCCAGACTCATTTGCTACACCATCCTAAAAAGAGAATGTGTTTTAGTGAATAATTGTAAAAAATTGGAAGATATTATGTTAAAAATTTAACTAGATAAATCTCTTAGCTATACCACGTAAAGTAAAATATGATTTAAAATTGCCAGAATACAATTCTGTAGTGATTCTGGAAGAAGTAAGCAAACTGAAGAGTTGCTTTTCTTGTTGCTGTCATATCAGACACTGTTGTAGACCACTGCATCTTCACGCTTCAAGCTGTAGTTATTCTATGAAAATGGTGAGGCTAACAGGTCATACCTTTTCCGCTGACTTCAACAGGAGGCACTCATTTTTTTTGTTTGCTTGTTTTACACCCAACTGAATTTAAGATTTTTCAATTGAACCGTGCCCACTAAGGTAAGAAGGGGTTAAAGGTTTATAGAACTTTTCAGTGTTCCTAAATATGGCTGTGGAGCTGCTTCCCCTACCGGTTTGTTCTGGCTCCTTTGAAACTTCAAAAGCCCTCAGATTTGTTGTTCCATTTTGAACTTCTCCAGTCCATGCTTAGCAGAGTTCAGACGTTCCTACTTCACCTGTGTTTTGTTTTGCTTCATTTTCCACTTTTTCTTCATCATTCTTTGTTTGCAGTGATTCCTCAGCTTCTTTGCAGCCACACCTTCGTTAGGCTTAGCTGGATTGCCTTTTGTTTCCATAGTTACTGGCTCTCCCTCGTAGGGTGTGTCTGACTGCCCTTTCACCCCAGCCATCTAGACATGTGGGGAGAGAGGAAAAAAGATAAAGAGTAATCTTAATCTCTTTCTCTATTAAGCAAAGACGTAACTGCCTTCAGAGAACTGCCTTCTAATGCCAGCCAGACTCAGGGCCACATTCAGACAGGATGCTCTTCCTGGCACCAGTGGCATCTCACCACTCCCACTCCTTTCATGCCCAAATTTCCCTCTGGCAGAAACCAAAGTACACGAGGCCATCAGAAACTGATGTCCAACTTTACACTGCCCTCATATAAGGTCAGAATACAGCTAAAATGTACAACTGGCACAGAAAGTGTCAAATTGGTAAACCTGCACTGGAAAAACAATAATGCCTGAGAAGTTTCCTGCTGGTACCTTGTCGTGTTACCTGCTCAAAATATTAAGAGCTAAGAGTGGGATCTTTGGGAAGTTTCCACAGCATGATATGCACTGTTGAATCATCACTGTAAATTACAAAGCAGGCTGAGGTTCTGAACAGTTTATTTAAAAGATTCTATTAAAATTCTCTTTGGATACAAACAATTCTGCTCATGATAAATTCTATTGTTATAGAAACAATAGCAGCAAAAAGCAGATGTTAGGAGTAAGCCATCCATATAAACAATTATTACGCATGTCTGAGAAATGTTTCCTAACTAAGAAGTTACTCCTAGGTGCTACACAAAGCATACCTACCTCTGCACTAGGCAGCATGCTGCTCTTAAACACTATTGCATAGATGCTGCTAGGAATGTTGCCCCGTGTAGGGAACAGCATACTACGAGAATTTCCCTATGCCAGGGAAACCACCGGAACTGCAATCAAAGTTTTCTCAAAGCTAAAAGGTGTTCAGAACAACCAAAGACAGGTGATTAGCTGTTATCTAGCTGCCTGAGCTAACACACCTGAAAAGACTAAAATGAAACCTTTTTGCTGCAGAGAATTTGCCATTATCCATACATGAGATTTGTTCCACATCCTAATCAACCCAGAACAGATTCAGGATACTCTGTGTGCTGAAATCAGGAAAGAACAGCATGAGGAGACAAAAGAAAGAACTTAAACTTCTAATAAAGATTAACTTCTTTGGGTCTGCTGTCCTGTAGTGTTATGCCACAGCTAACAACAGAAAATCTCTTTTTGACGTGGGTGATTTCCTTACAATCTTTGCTGCCCACATGAGATTTCTGGTACAAATACTGGAGCTGAGTGCACAGAGAAAGGACTAACCTAGATTCCTCTCCTCTGTCTTGTTACTTATTTTCACAAAGCTCCTCAGAACTCATCATCACATGCCTCCAAGGCATGTCAGTTTTTCACTGAAACAGTCCAAGATTTCAAGATTCTGAGATTTGGAGTAAAGAAAAGGGAAAATGGAGGGGAAGTGGGGACTTGAGGACAGCAAAATAGTTAAAATAGTTTCAGATCCTTCCTGAAATTGTCTGAAGATAAAGCATATTGATAAAAAGCAACATCAGAGGCAACACCAGAAAATCTTTAAGAATAGAAATACTGTACCTGTTCCAGCTGTACTGAAAGCCTTAATTACAAGGCTTTTAAGTAGGGCAAATGCTGCATCATTTTCACTGTCCAAAAGTATCATTAGCCCACATTTTGAAGAGATTTTGCCAAACAGGGTAAAAAGTGTGTTTTTTTGGAAAAACACATCCATATCATGTAAAACTGGAACAAGAGCTCAATATAATTTATCACAAACTAGACCCTGAGAGTATAATTCATCTCACCTGACTGCACCTGTCTTACAGTTGCACTAATCATCCATAATTCTGTAGTCACTGGGGAAAAAATAATTACAGCATGAGTCCTGCAACCTACTGAAGAGATCTATCCTAGTTTACAGACGGATCCCTATTAAAGCATTCCACTTCTCTCTGCTGACAGTACTACAAGCTTCAACATTGCTTTTCCATACTGTAACACTTAAAAGCTAGGTAAGATGAATCTCATCTGAAATGCCTTTCAGGAAAAAGGCATTCCTGTTCCTGGCTGTGGATGCAGAACTCTAAAGGGTCTCTTCGAACCCACAAGATGACAAACAAATATATCACCTATAACCAGTGGATTGGAAAAGATTATTTCCAAACTGCTACTCTGTTTTTCCATTAAGTGCAACACCGACCTTCTGTTTCCCCGTGGCTTCTTGGGGCGCAGGCGGAAAGGTGCATGGGACTCTTCCATGTTTCATGTGATAGGGCAAAGGGAGACTGGGATCCAGTGGCACCCAGGGGACTGAGAGCATGGCAGGTACTGTAGGCAGATCACCATGAGCCTTATGTAGGTTATATGAAGCTCTTGTTGGCTTGTCAAGGGAACTCTTGTAGATTGTAACTGATGAATCTCCTGCAGCATGAGTCAATAGATAAGAGCCCTCCTGCAAACTAAAAGGATATAAATTAAAAAAAAAATGTTTTTTTGTTTGCTTTGTTAATTGTTTCACTTTATCTGACAACCTGAACAGGATAGCTAGTAATAGCTTTAATGCAGAAGCAAAACATCTTTAGGTATTTACTTATCAGTCCTTGTTTTATAAAAAGACTATAGACACAAATGAGGAAGTTAAACTGCATTAATAAATTAAATTAGATCTTGCTCATTTATATTTTATAATGGCAAAAAGGTCCAACCTCTTCTGTCATGCCACCAATATCTGCCTGTGATGTCACAAACAAACATAATAGATGGCATTACTTCAGAGCAGCCCATGTACATGCAAAGAATCTTGCAGACTGAAAGCCTCAGAGTAGCCAAAGAAAGAAAAATAGGGAACAAGAGAGAAGTTGTAACAGTGTGCAGATGAAGATATATGCTGTTATTTGTAAAGTTAAGCAGAAGGGAACATATGAAGGGAACTTTGTTATTGCTAGCAAAAATCAAAATTTGAAGTGTCAGCCTACACACTATTACAGCTTACTCCTATGTACTGTTAGGCCAGCTCAGAAGTATCCCATCTCCTCTCCTGAGTAAGTGGTTCATAAAAGTCAACTTGTTGTTCTTTTGTACCATTTATACAAAACCTTCAAACCTAAGCACATTTTTAGGTGGCACTGAGTTATGCTATGCTAGACCTAAAAGAATCTCTGAAAGATTTCATGTATCCAAAGACACAAAAATCAAAGAGCAGACAACCACTGCACATAAGAAACAGGGTTGCATGGGCACAGTTGGAAAGGAATATAATGTACAAAAACGAAGCACTTACTCAGACACTTTCTTCAAAATGTGATGAAGTATATTCAATGAATTTGCTGGCCTGTTAAAAAAAATTACAGTAAAAAAGTATTTAAAAAAGTAAAAAAGTAAAAGCACTTAAAAAAGGAGTATCTTGCAAGCCTTGTTAGAACTTCAGATTCATCATTAAAAAAATACTCACTTAATCAATCCAAGTTTTTCTCTTAATATTTTTGGAGAAATCTTTTCTAGCATAATAAGTTTTGATGTCAGACCATCAATATGCCCTGGAAAACATTAATCAATACATTAAAAAAAAAAAAAAAAGAGAGAACAAACAAACATAAAGGCATAATTTGCAGACCTAGAGCATTCTAAAAGCAGTATTTTTTCTTGTTTCACAGTGTAGAGGGTGGAAAGCATCTGTCAGTGTTGCACAATAACTGAAAATGGAATGTACAGTTGTTTCTAAGCACGGGCATTTGTGTGTGGGCTGTCTTACAGATCAAGGATGGCCCATGATTCCTGCAAATCTCACATCTTGTGTGATGTCCAGCATGTGCAACCTCACTTTGCTGTGGCTTTGCTCTTGTCAGCTAGTTTATATCTTCTCAAATTTTCCTGATGCTTAATGCTACAATTCCTTACAGCGTAGATGATAAGCTCAACTTTTAAGACAAATTTACCTTGGAGCTGAACACACTCGTTTCTCTGTTCTGCTGTGTTATCTGACCATGGATATTATTTGGTTTTCGGAGTATTCTGTATCTTTGTCTTTGGATTTTTTTTTCTTCCAGTGAAACACAGCTTACAATTCTGGCCTTGTTCACAGCAAATTTGCTAAGACTGTTTATCCCTCACATAACTAAGGGCTTTCCCCAACATACTGCTATAACAGGCACAGGCTAGCCCAAGTTTTCACTTGAAAAGCAATAAAGATAATTACCATAGCTTGTACATTGATGTAGTGACTGCATCTTACCAAGAGAGATTCTCTCTCAAGTTGAGGTTTTTGCAGAAAACTGCCCTATTTCAGCTTCCATAAGAAGAATCAGAAGGAGAACACAGTATAATAAAAATAACCTACTCAGTGGAATTTACTGCACATGCTATATATCTGTCCATGTAGGAAGTCTAAAAGTCTCAACAGTATATTTAGAACTGCTAAACAAAATTATTTCACATTCAAGGCTAAACGTTACTCAGCAATCTGTTACGTGATGATCAAGTACGAACTCTCATTTGTAACAAATTTGAAATGAAATCAGTTGTCCTGGTTCACTTTTAAAACACCACACACGTGTTACTTTTCTTGATAGCAGTGTTTTCTGTACGACTAAACACTAAGTTTAATATTCTGCATTGCTAACTATGAAGAAAGAAACTTGAAATCATTAAAGTAAAAAATCTGTGTTGCCCATTATTTGTCAGCATCTTCTCAAAATCTCCGTTTCTAAACTCGTTGACAGCATAGCTGGAGAAAAATACCTATGAACTACTCATACTGGATATATATTACTGTAACCTTTATTTCAGAAGTGACTGACCAAGTCCACTTGATGTTCAGTAAGTTACCTATACAGAAAGCACTTTTTTCCAAACAGTCTTCAAATCATCTTTATTTAAGAGTCATTGTTATTCCATTCAGGTGAAGGTAAACTATGCTCAGGTGCTTAATGCAAACAAGTGAATTTTGGGGGTAAAGCATTCCCAGCCTTAATCAGCAACGCCTATTACAATTCTTTTTAACCAATTAAAACAGGTACAGATACTTTGGGAAATGTCACAGCCTTTTTGTACGCATGTTATCCTATTTGAGCAGCAACAGGACTTAAAACGACTGAGCAAGATGCTCTACAGAAAGACAGCACTCTTTGGTTGGTGTGAAGATGATACATCTGCTTTTGAACAAACGGAGAGTCCATTTGTCCAGAAATCAAAAGCCCAACTTAACGGCACACCTTGCACAGTATGCAGGAGGCAATACCTCCATTTCCGTTTCCTTTTTCATCTGCTGAACTGAGGCACTGTGAGGTACTTCCCTGAGTCACACAGAAGAACAACGCTGGAAAATTATGGGGCACTATCCAAGGTCCAAAGAACTTTTCTCCCATACCTATTAGCAACGCAAAAGGTTGCTAATACAGTGAATTCAAATCCTTTCAAGATCCAAGAACGCCTAAGCAATTTACCACTGATATCTGCTACCCATTCAAAACCTCAGTTTGAAAGGTTCTCTTCAGATCTACGCGTTCCTAGAACTAATTGAATAAGAACAGAAGCTTGATAGGTGCTGTATTATTAATGGTAAGAGCAAAGTTTTCAAATAGTTTTTTTCATACCTTCACACGTTATTGGGTAAATTTGAAAAGAGCAGTAAGTCTATGGCTATACTATTGCTGATTCAAACATCCCATTATGATAGGACATTTCACTTATTTCAAATTATAGCATGACCTAAGAAGACACCTAGATCATGTCTGCCTTTCTGGTTACAACAAATGTGTGATAGTTCAAGTCTTGCAATGAAAAAGAATGAAATATTCACCCAATTTTAAGCCATCCATAATACAGGGATATTATCACCACTGGGGAACTGCCACTTGATTTTCAGGAAAAAAGAAAGCCTTTCAAAGAGTTGCGTAACTAAATCAGAACACTTGCAAGACTGGATTTTTCAGAGCTCCCCAGAAATATAAAATGAAAGGCAAAATCAAAGCTGTGTTCAGCCTGGACAGGAGAAGGCTCTGGGGACAGCCAAGAGTGGCCTTTCAGTACCTAAAGGGGGGATGTAAGAAGGAAAGGGGCAGGCTTTAGCAGGGTCTGTTGTTACAGGACAAGGGGAAACGGTTTCAAACTAAAGGAGTGGAGATTCAGACTGGATGTAAGGAAGAAGATTTCTACAATACAGGTAGCGAGGCACTGGAACAGGTTACTCAGAGAGCGGTGGACAGGCCATCCTTGGAGATTCAAGGTCACGCTGGACAAAGCTCTGAGCAACCTGATCTAGCTGCAGGTGTCCTGTCCATGCAGGGGAGTTGACTTGATGGCCCTTAAAGGTTCATTGTAAATCAAATTATTCTATGAATCCTGAAGTAGAATGTGGTAAGTTTCCTATTAATAGCAGTTGTAGGTTCAATTTTATACAAAACTGATTGATGCCTTCCAGGCATCTGTTAACCTAGCTATATTAGAAATTACATACTGGTACCAAAAATCCACAGTCCCCAGTTTGCCTATCTGAATAAAACCCATATTCTGCAAGCACCCAAAGTTACTCATACACCAGAAGTCCAAGTCAATACAAGCAATATTCTAAATCTTTTTTTGTTTGTTTAAACAGTGGTGGGAGGGGGCCTTCACAAATGCTAGGAGAACTACGATAACCAGTACAAACCCCTAAAGGATTCCAGGTTTTGCTGTTGGATGAAGTGCATCCAAGAACCGAAAACCAAACACACTGCAATAATCAGCGTCTCAGCTTCACTACGGCTTTCTCCCTAAGCACACAGAGCTGTCAGAGGCTGGCTCATAGGAGCCTGCTTGCTCAGGGCTCCACACCCACTCCATGGCTAACAGCTGCCTGCGTGGTACAGTGGAGACTAAGGAACTTCTGAATCAGAAAGGGATGACAGCTCATGCCGGAACAAGAACCGCTCTCTCCTACAATCCTGAGAGCCTCAGTAAACGGGTGTTGGCTGCTGAGCTGTGTGCAAACTTCCGTGCCCTAGCCATATGCTAAGTGTCCTGTTACTGACAGATTATTAGATAGACATGCATTCTTCCAGCCTGCATGCCTTTTAAGACAGTCAGCCCTCTCTTTACAGCTACATTATTTCCTCACACTGCTTGTGATTCTGGAGAAGCTAATAAACAGAAACATTTTCTTGAAGGGGAGAAATATTTCAGTGTAGTTTAGTACTACTGTACTTAAAAAGCAAACAAACAAACAAAAAAAACAACTTCAGGACCTTGCATCAAGTTCACAGAATCACAGAATTGTAGGGGTTGGAAAGGACCTCCAGAGATCATCGAGTCCAACCCCCTGCCAAAGCAGGTTCCCTACAGCAGGTCGCACAGGTCGGCATCCAGGCAGGTCTTGAACATCTCCAGAGCAGGAGACTCCACCACCTCCCTGGGCAGCCTGTTCCAGTGCTCCGTCACCTCACCTAAAGAAGTTCTTGTGCACATTTGTGCGGAACTTCCTATGCTGCAGTTTCCTGCCATTTCCCCTTGTCCTGTCACCCTTCACCACTGAAAAGAGTCCGGCCTCGCCATTCTGCCCCCCACACCTTAGATATTTATAGACCTGGATCAGGTCCCCTCTCAGTCTTTTTTTCTCAAGGCTGAACAGACCCAGTTCACTCAGCCTTTGTTCATAGCAGAGATGCTCCAGGCCCTTCACCATCTTCGTGGCCCTCCGCTGGACTCTTTCCAACAGATCCCTGTCTTTTTTGTACTGGGGAGCCCAGAACTGGACGCAATGCTCCAGATGAGGTCTTACCAGGGCAGAGTAGAGGGCGAGGATCACCTCCCTCGACCTGCTGGCCACGCTCTTTTTAATGCACCCCAGGATGCCATTGGCCCTCTTGGCCACAAGGGCACACTGCTGGCTCATGGCCAACCTGTCGTCCACCAGGACACCCAGGTCCCTTTCCGCAGAACTCCCCTCCAGCAGCTCATCCCCCAACCTGTACTGGTGCATGGAATTATTCCTCCCCAGATGCAAGACTCTACACTTGGTTTTGTTAAACCTCATCCGGTTTTTTTTTGGCCCAGCTCTCCAGCCTTTCCAGGTCTTGCTGAATGGTAATAGGTAAATAAATGGTAAATTAGAGAAGAAGAATAGGAGAACTTTGTGCATAATGATTTAATAAATTTGGCTTTGTGAAGGTTTTTAGATCATATCTGATTTCATATAAGCCTTACAGTTCTGTGATTAAGATGCAAAGTTCGTATGTAAAAACTAGAAAAAAAAAAAAAACGAACTCAGCATTTCTCAAATAGTATTCTGACGAGCTACCAAGAGCAGAACGTGTCATTCAGTGCTAAAGTGGAAAGGTTAGGCAACCACAGGCCACAACTGCTGCCATAACAACCATAAAAACAGACAAATCTTTCTATAACAGGAAGCGAGGCAGTCCCGGCTCCAGAACATTCACTCACTGTAGAGGATTGCCCTCATCCCACAGCAAACATTAAGCATATTCTAAGATGCACTGTGACGTACCACTTGAACAGATGGTCCTTTTAAAACTTAATTAATCACTAGATAACTGATATCAAAGAGCTACACATATATTAAAAAGTTTGGTAAAGTTATCTGGCCCCGTTCTTTATATGTATCATTTTTCTTTCTCTCCAGAAAGAGGAACAGACAAGCTTTCTTGACTTCTAAAACAGTCACTGTACAAATCTGAACGTAGCTTTTTTTTCCTTGTAACACTGCACTCGTGTTTGGTCTTAGTTGTGCAGAAAAGAGACTTTACAGTAAGACATCTTCTAATAACATTTTTGCTTTTCATCCCAGTTTATTCTATTTTCCATGCTCCGAATTACAGATGTAATCTCTTCTATACAGGATTTTTTACTGCTTCATTCTGAGTATTGATTACTCTGCATGCATAGGCCCTATTACATTTTTGAACAGCAGATGGGAAGGAGATGAAGGACAAGTTTATCATACCCATCCCTTCGGGATATTTTGACCACATCATGTACTGGGAAATGAAATTTCACTGACCAGTTAGGCACAGACAACTTCTGTTCAACTATCTGAAAAACATCATTACATACTGGTGTTCAGAGATCCTATGCAATACCACATCTATAGAAAGCAGTTTTAAATAAACCCATGCTACCTATTTTTCTTGTTACTACAAAGACAAAATTACTTCCAGTATATTGTATTTGAGACACAAATATTCTGTTTCCAAAGCTTGCAATTCCTCTTATTTCTGAATAACAAAACAAGCCATATCTTGCTTGCTTTTCCTCATTCTCCTATATCTTATCTGTCTGCATGATATTAGTGCTGAATTATAAACACTATTGTATGTCTCCAAAGAAAAACAAGTTATGTTTGACCTTCTCCCCTGCTACAAGTTCAAAAGCGAAGAGATCTGTATTCTCTGAGCCACATACCCAATCATTTCTATTTACCAATTGGCACGTGATAACAAATTGATTTAAAATGATTTCACAAAATAGCATACATTTACAGTTCATTTTTTAATCGAGAAGAATTCTCACTGCTCTTACATTACAATAATCTGTGTTGCATTTGACTTATTAAAAAAAATCAATAATTGAAGTCACGAAGATCGCTAATTTCTGAGAACTAAGTTTGGGTTATAAATTTTTCCTTGAAAAGCAAACAAATGCAGTTCTTGCAAACAAAGGTTACTGGATGTTATCCAGTGAAAACCAAAGTTGAAATGTCCCCCTTCAGCACCCAAGAGAAATTTTAGAAAAAGAACTTAAGATAAAAGTGAAAACCAAAGTTAGAAAACTAAATAAGGATGTATGGAATATACCTGCCATAAACACCTTCCTCTTCTGTTATTTCGTGGAGGTTTAGACATCCACATGTCATACAAGCAAGCACAAATCAACACATCGACTTACCAATATAAAATAAGCATTCAGAATGAAGCATGCTCTCTGTCCACAGCTGACATACTTCACTTTCTGTAAGAGCTTCAACACCATAATAGGCTTGGTATTCCAGTTTAGGCAACAGGAATATTGGAATAAGCTATCAAAGCAAACACACAGACAAAAATCAGCATGCTGTGCAAAAATGATTGTTGCAATAAGCTGCATTTTGACACTTATAATCATCATCATCTTCCACTACAACTGCAGCAACAAAGATGTAACAGCTTGTGCCCTATGAAACCCACACAACAAGCTTAAGGCTAAGGAGACCATGCATAAAGGAAGGCAAAACAGAGAGGTTAAAATAAAACAGGAAAACACTAGGCATGTTTTCACAAAAAAATAAACTGATATTAAGCCGCTACCCATGAAACTTATTTTGACATTCTCACTTTTATGCTCTACTGCCCTCTGCAGGAATTTAGATATGCAATTATGACACGGATTTGCCCGTTAGAATTCTGCCTTTTATTCACATCAAGCAAAGCCAAGATAGTTCAAAGCAAGACTATGAGCATATAATTTTCACAAGTAAAAACTACTAAGATCTATTTCTATTTCAATAAAGTACAAACACCTTACAAGCTGTTTACCTGTCTATCATAATTCTGGTGTTTTGGGGAAGCCTATATCAGATCAAGTTTGACAAATGATTATATGAGGACTCTTGACAAAACTGTGAATTACTGAGGATTCCAGACTAAGTTTTCCTTCTCCTGTCATAATACAGAATATTGGATTTCACTTGCACTTAAAGCATTTTAGCCCTTCAGACACACAGTTTGCTAAGATGTATTCTGGAGCCTTTTCAAACAGAATGTTTTTATGATTCCAAACAATCTTGAAGTGTTTGGAAAAAAAAATTTCTACGTTACCTTTTAAAAACAGTTCCAAGAGGCATCATGTTACATGAATAGAATTATTCATACATATTACTGAAATGTAGCCGTAGTAGCAAATGCAGAATCACATTTAGAATCTGTTCTAATCAAGTAGGTTAAAAAAAAGAGCCAATTCCTCACCTTTTGAGCTTTCTTCTTTTTATTGAAACGTGACAACGATCTCACTTTCTGCACATTGCAACGCACAAGTAACAACAGGTCATCCAAACTGAACAGCTTATACACAAGGTTGCCATCCTGAGGTGCTCTATACTCTCCAGGGTCTTCCACAAGCATCTGAAGTTCATCTGGCAGCTTTCCTACAGAAAATAAAACCAAAAACAACAAACTTGGGCATTCCTCACTTTGATGCTAATCAAAGGGCTTTTTTTGAGGGCTTTTTTTGCCCTTTCCGACAGTAGTGGATTTTTTAAAAGCCATTTTGTTTGATAATAGTTGGAGGTGAAAAGCTTGCTCATTATGCACAGTAAGTCACTTGTTAAGGCGTTTGTTTTTAAAAAAATAATTCCACAAAATGCCTACAACGGCTTTTAAAGAATGTATTATTAATTATTCCCATATTTTATCCTGCTGTTGAATTTCTTACGCAGAGCATTTCGTGCAGATGGAGGGGAAAGGTGATTTTTTTCTTTCAGTTACTTTCACTCAGCACAAAGAGCCCACAAAATTACTTTGAATGAGAGACGTTATCCATTTATTAATTACAGAAGCAGCTCAAGCCTCAGGTTTGGCTGGTGGCTCGAGGCTCCATTCCAAACTGAGTTTGTTTCAATTTCAATTACGTTAACTTGCATATTAAAAAGAAACTTGTTCAGATCTTAAGATGCTGCTTTGAGGTTGATGGACACCCATATCTGTGTCCTTCACAGATATTTTAACGAAACACCAAAACCACAAAATACAAGCTCTGATGTTTATTTATCCAATTCTGCTTTTGTACTGCAGACCTGTGGAAATACATATCAAAACTACACCACAAAGAAATATTGCTGTAGCGCTACTAATAAACACATTCACTATTATACTTACTGTTTACATTCATCTTTGAATGAACGCTGTGTGATGTACTAACATTCAAGTGACAAAAAATAACTTTCTGCTTGTTAAATAATTAACTTAATTCCAGCCTTCTGCCAAAAAGACATGTAAAGCCACTTATCAGCTTGCAATATCACTTCCAAGCTGTTGAACTCGGTTTTCTATTTGTTCACAATACCACATTTCAGTTTCTTAGCAATATTGGTTTTATCACTCCGATTAAAAATAAATAACACTTGAATTCCATGGTCTGGCTTTGTGAAAAGATAAGAAATTGGAAGAGCATCATGCTGCTTAGTCCTTTAGATGGGAGGAGAAGAAAGAGACATGTCTTTGACCAATAATTAAAATCCGGTTGACTCAAAGGAAACGTACCTAACAACAAGTTCAGCTCATAAAAGTATTACCTGTGTTAATCCATCTGCAATGGAAACAGTTAAATAATTAATTCCTATGTGATAAAGCACACAGCTAATCAGAAAACACCAATAAAACATGTTCTCCCACCAAAAAGCACTGATTCATTGGAATTAAATATTTGAGAGAAGTGTATCCATGCTGATCCAACTGCCCGCTTTCCTGCCAATTTACCTGAAGCAAGGGTTCCTAGTTTCAGTTTTACACAGCTCAGAAGCTACTCAGGCAAGTAAAAAGCCCTCAAACTTTATGGCCCCTAGGACCTTCTAGTAGAGGTCTGGGCTGCATTTCCAGCTGAACACTGAAAACTTGGAGAAGTGCCTTGTAGTGAGTTCTCAGCAGCCCTCTGGAATAGATTTGGTAAGAGCTGATAAACAGAAGCTGAGGGTGGATTCTCAAAAGTTGGACAAGTCAATACCAACTTTTCTTCAAAATTTTAATTACATAATTTGATCTACAGAAAAAGTAAAGTAATTCCACTTTCAACTGAGAAGAAATGATTTTTGTAGACCTTCTGACAGACCAGACTGCTCAAACATTGAAACTTCTATGGAAAAGTAACTAATCACCAAACAACTTCTCCTTTCTCAGAAGCCTTGTTGTTTCTATAATTTAAATTAACATTTCTTATTCACCTCTATGGATAAACAGCTCCACACATTCTCCCTTATTCGTGCAACATAATACCTGCCAAACACCAAGTATTTTTGGGGTCATAAAAAAGTCATATCTGAACAAATGTAACAGAGCTACAGAGATACTACAGATCCTCTTCAGGCAAGGGAATTAAAATGCTTTTCAGTTGAACTGAAATTTTTCATTTTTTCTCCACAGACAACAAACATTACTACTCACTCCTTGGCACCCCCTGAAAAAGGCACGTCCAGGTATTCCTAGATGAGCCATGAGGATTTGGGGCAGGGCCCAGCACAGGTGCTGTGTGGGAGATCACTGGTGGCTTTGAAGACTGAGGCACGTGAGTTTGTACAGCATTAGCATTATCACAGCTCACTGCTGGCTGCTCATGGGCTTTTTGGGTAGGTGACTTGAGGAGCTCCGTTTGCATTTTCAAAATCTGTCCAACAGGATCAAATTCTTTGGACAACCTTCTTGCAGCCTTTCTGGAGGCATTTTTTCCCTGATGCACAGTTTCTGAGCTATCAGCCATGCTTGCAGATGGATTTGGGGTGGGGGAAGGTGACTTGCAAGTCTGGACCAAGGTCTGAGAAACAGCATTTGGAACAGTTTTTTTGCATTCAGTATTTTTATGCTCTATATCAATTATTAAACGATCTTCGTCGGTGTCACTACTGCATAAAGGAGCATATATCTCATTTTTCTGTGCAGCATGAGAGTCTTTTTTGCAACTTACAGCAGGATATAAAGTATTAGTTTCATTGTCTGATACTTTTTTGGTCATGACATCCTGTGCTTTCTTCAACTCCACCTCCTCAGAATGAAAGTTTTTATGAGACCAATTTCCTTCAGGGCTGAAGCATACATTGCCACATGATGGAAGCTGCAATCTGGAATATGCTGAAAATCCCTGCTCAGAAAGAGGAGTTTTTCTCTCTTGAGCTTCACTGTTTGTGGTAGATGTCAGTTTTTTTTCTGGTTGTAAGTCACATGACAAAACTTTATCAGTGTTACCAACTGAACAAGTGTTTTCTGTTTTAGAAGTCCGTGAAAGTTTGACAGCTGCTCCAAAAGTTTCCAGTTCTGTAAAATCATCATCAAAATCCATCCCTGCATCATCTGTAAATGGAATCTTCCTGCACTGGTAGGTATCAGCAGACACCTTAACAAAGGGAGAAAAAATAAATATTGCACAATCAAAAAAGCCAAGAAATAGAATGCATTAATGACAAATGAGACACTACCAAAGGGGAAACCTGAAAACTGTTGTAGGATCCAAATTTTCACTGTTGAGTGAGAGGGGCAGCTAGTGAACCAAATTCCTTCTGTTTCATGTGAAATGTTCTTAGACTGTAGGTATTAAAAGGTCTTTCAAAACAGAAATAAACTCCATAAAGCTTGTCGCGCCTAAATAAACCCATTAAAACATATTTTAATGAAATAAACATTAAAGCTGAGTTGAAGATATAATAGAAGCACTTAGAGGAACTGGACAGACATCCTCACAGACAGTGCCCGAAGCCCAGTAGTTAAAAAAAAAAAACAACAAAAAACAATCAACAGGAGACCTAAATTTTCCTCCATTATCACACAAGTACCTTAAAACACAGTTTTTTTTTGTCCCCCCCCCCTCCAAAAAAGAAGTGAAGCTACGTACATCCCACTGAAACAGATTGTCCTCATCTGGTTTGTCCATCGAAACATCGGAAATCGCAATGTAAGACTTCTTAGTTGCTAGGAAGTCTGCAGGAATTTCATGGAATATTTGGTTCCTCTCTCTTATTGTCATTTCCTTTTTCAGGAGAGGTGAGTCAACAAAAACCACTTTAGCTGCTTTGTTATCTTCTCAAGAAAGGAAACGCGTATTAAATGAAAGAAAGAATATCACTTTAGAATTCACGCCATAAATCTTTCAGCTTCCAAATATATTACAGTCCATTCCACATTTGCAAACAGATGAAAAACCATGCTCTCATTCACTATCAGAGAAGTATGTCCAGCTAGTTTGAATTATGATCCTGAAGCACCAACACACAACACATTGACAGTTGATCAGATTTTAAATGTCATACTACATAAGGAATTCCTAAAGAACTAAGGATTCAACATTTCTCACATGGCACTATGAAAATAAATGTACCCTATTTTCCAAAAAGATTTTCTTCTTCCTCTGTTCTGCATACATTAACTTTAGTAAATCTGACTTGGGGACTGTTATTTTCTTTTAAAGATTCATTGCCCAAAAGCGATGGCTGAAGTTTGTATTTCTTTCTGATCAGTAACTAAGTTAGGGCACTTTTGCCTCCCTCACTGCTGTTTATAACTTAAACATGAATCATAATTAAATTCATCAAGAAACAACAATGACACTCTGGCCAATGTGATATAGAAATCAATGGCACGCTCTGAACGCGTGGGCCACCTTATCTCTGCTTTAGAAAAATCTGAGTGAGGAAGAAAAATATATTAATGCAAGAGGTGGGTTGAAGTGGTGGGAGCTAAGGGTGGACAGGAGAAAATCTTTACGCAGCACTGTATTGCTAATGTACTTCATGTGACTCTTTGACTGTTAACTTTGAAGCAAAAAAATTAAGTCTGAAAACTATAAAGGTGACAGGAAAGGAGCCACGCACAACATTGCACAAAGTACTTCAATTTGATGTAGAGAAAGATCAGAATTTCTAAGACTTGCAGATATTTGTCAACTACTACCCAAAAGTTTGCCATACAGATCTGTGTGTGATGCACACAACATTGACATTTCAAGACAGCTTCCACTGTAATTCAACTAGCTAAAAACAGAACGGACAATGAGAAGGGAAATCTATACGCAAATTACTGATGGGACAGTATTCAGATGAGCTAATCAATTTACTGAAAACATTTTTTCTGCTAATTAGGAAAAAGGCCGTACTCCATGAACATTCATTTAACAGTGATGGAAATTGGTTCTTTTAATTGCAGAAGTCACATGCAGTTATTTTCTTCCCAAGGAGTTTCCTGTTTTAGAAAGCAAAAAGGACATTTAACTGACTTTGCTTTTTTCCAAGTGGAAAATAACTGAGCGTCTCCAAACTCAATGTTACTGGCAGTATCTCTAGAGGCTGTTGCTATTCTCAGTAACAAGGTAGGACAAGGTGCAGAGAACTATGAAATGACCTTGCTATTAGCTTTCCTCCTTGAGAGCAGAAGGAATACTATACCGGTGGATTTTTAACCTTCATTTCTGTGATAGCTGAAATTAAAATAAACACAGTTCTTCAAAAACAAAGGCCTTGGACTCATTAGCCAATAAAAATCATTTATTTTGGATTTCTGTCCCTTCTGATGTCAGATTTTATTATTTTGTTTGATTATTTAAATTAAAAACCATGGAAGTACTCGAGAAACTCATTCCTGCATTCTAGGGGGCAACTTCTCAAGAAATGCTAAGAACCCTAATTTGTAATGACAACTATGATTTTAACTAACTTCAGGTCTGGGTTTTTTTTTTCCCCTTTAAATCAAATCAAAGTTAAATTATTTTACTGTGTGAACAAATCTAGACTATCTTCTCCTTTTTCTCAGTTGATCTTGCTTGATTTACTAACTTTCTGTCCTTCTGTCAGATGAAAAGGGATTATGAAAAAATATCAAGAACTTCCTGGACAAAAATGTAGTTTTTATAGCAAAAAATATACTATACCTGCAATAGGGATCATCTTAACACAAACTGGAATTTCCCACTGTTCCTTGTAGTTTAATCCATGATTATTCAGCAATGTAAATAATGACTGGTTACTTAGAACAACTTGAGGGGAGTATTTCAAAGCAAGCTTTTCTGCATTTGAATCTGAACTAATATCCTAAACAACAAAAGAAGGTAGATTTTTAAAGGTTTTCAGGTAAGACAGGTAATTTAAATCTGTAAACAAACCAACAAACATGAATTAGCTCCACAGCTGCAGACACCCAACTACCACCACTGTGCCAGGCTTCAAAATCGAAGTAAACAGCTTTACAGTTTTAGCTGAATCCTACACCTCTAACTTGTAGCACAAGAAAACATATCTTGCCTTCTACCTTTCTATTAATTCCTAATAAATTGAATTACTAGGTCAAACAAGAACAAAGGGGTAGTGACATAAGGGAGTGCAATGCAAAAGAAAAAAGCAACACATTCACTCACACGTGTATCTCAGATGCTCTTACAAGTAATAGCATCATGGAGCAGCCTAACATTAAAGTATGATTAAAACTGCACATTTGTTTCAATGCAGATTGCCTGTAAAGAATGTCAAAGCAAATATAAAAACACGAAGCAAACAAATTCAGAATTGAAACAAAAGAAGTATAAAAAATTAGGAGTACGAGTTTCCAGGAAAAAAGAAGGTTGGGCATATTCATTAGGTGGGAGAAGAACAGTAAGAACCATGGAGATACTGGATGTTTGGGAGCATTAAGGGCCACGAAAGGTAAGTAAGAAAATCTAGCAGTGCTCTTTCTTTGTTCATCTGAGACAACATGAGAAATAACACATTGCTCTGAAAGTAATGCCCCCTATTTATTTCCAGGAAAATTACAGAGATATAAATAGCACAATAGCACTACACGATAGAACAAACACTCTGCTACAACAAACACTCTTTTTCAACATAGTGACCACCACTAGCTATGCATTTTTGCCAGCCACAGAGAAGAGCCTGCATGTCATACGCCAGGCATGGCTGTCTGGAACGGAGTTCATCTTTCATGTTGCTGTTACGACGGCAGAAACACCTACTGCCTCACTGTGCTCACATCCACTGGTTGGTCTCTATAAACATTCAGCAATTGTCAATGAAGGTCAGTGGGTGCCATTTTTTTCCCCAGGGAGGAATTCAGCTCTACACCTTTGCTTAACACGCACTTCCACATCAGATGCCATCCTGTCAGACTGTCCCTGTGCTGCCATTTGTCACACAGCCACAAAACGTAACAGAATGTTGGCAGGAAGGTTCAGCCTGTACTGCCATACCACCAATATCCACCTCTGACATTGTGAGGCAAGATAATAAAATAGGAAGCACTACTTTCAGAGCAGATCTCATATTTTACAGATCTAACACCTTTTGTGGAATATTATTTTCCTGTGTCATCTCTACTGCTTTCTTAACCAACAAACTTCTTTGCAGTCATAATACCTCTGTTGACAGGTTGGTTTCTGATATAGAAACAAACTCCTCAAATAAGTGCACAGCAAACTATCTGAAATAAATAGTCAAAAAACAAGTTCTGCAGAATGAGCAAAACAAATCCATTTCTCAACACAAACAGCAACACCGGGTATTTAACAGTGAGGTAGAATGGAATCTAAGAATTGCTCAACTCAGGAATGCAATTTATATTGTTTAGCAAAAGCGACAGTTAGATAAGGGACACCTAACTCATTCTTCAGAAAACTGAGCAGCCTAAAATATTTCTTGACCATGATGCACCAGCGTAACAATTGCGATAAACCAATTTTGGAAGAAGGCAGTATGACAGCTATACATTAAATACTACACAAACAACGACACAGTGTGCACCACCACACTACAAGATGTGTAAGAGTAAGATCAAAATGATGACATTATGCAGCCACAGAAATGAAATGGTTCTTTTCTCCAATATGTGCCATAAAGATGACAATAAAAATGCTACTTACATTGTGGATAAGAGAAGCCTTTTTTTCTGGAGTTATAATAGATGTAACGGTTTTATAATCTGTGCAGAGCTGAACAGGCATGGTAGGGAATGCTGTCTTCGCATATCTTGCTGTACCCTTGAAGGAAATCAAGCAGGACCAGGAAACAATATTAAATGAAATCATGATGACCCAACATTCCACTTTTTGTGATGAAAGTTATTAAGAACTTATGGAGATGCAAGTTAGTGTTATGTCAGGAATTAAAGAAGTACTATTAACATCACATTTTTAGGGAGCACACAATAATTAACAGCCTTTCTGCCAGAATAACTCCATTAGTTTTACTGAAACGTTTTCACTGTGGATTACAACCCTCTAACCCAAGAACTAAATAATACTTATAAAATTTAAATCCTTGCATAATATGATCTGTGTATAGTTCTACCTATTTGAGAATAACACCAGAAGAATAAGTGTACATAGGATATTACCATTACAAGAAGACTTTTTTCCAGCTTCAAGGTCAATTGCGTGTTAAATTTTCCTCCCATAATGCTCATTATCTCATGTAACATGTAAAACTCAGGATACTTTTTCACATGTCCAATACAAGCCCTGAATAATTCCTAACAGAAACAAACAAAACAAAACAAAAAAAGCATTTGTATATTTCATAAGAACTTGAATATCTTTATTTTCTGCATCTGCAATAGTTACATTAGTTTTACTTCCTGTAAAGAATACAGAAACATTTAGCAGATCACATACTTGTTCAACCAATATCATCCCGTAACAATCTTACAATCACTGGTATCAGAACTGAAACACATTCTGAATTCCCATCAGCCCTCCACAGGCAAGTCTAGCAATATACGCATGCAGGCTTAAATCAGTTAAAAAAAAACAAAAACAAAAAGCAAACAAAAAAACTCCCACTAAATTCAGTACTCTGAATTGTGTTAGAAAAGGTCATTATTTGGCTTTCAGGGTTTTTTTTGTTGCCATTGTTTAATTTTTCCTTATTTTTACAGGGAAAACTGGTTCTTTGTATTACTCACTACCTAATTTTATACCAGCCTGGGAAAAAGCTATAGAGGTAAAGACATAGAAGGATTTATATGTATTCCAACTTGCTTTCCTGTCAGAAAGCATTTCTGTTTTAATCTGTTGTAGGAAGTGTTATGGCACTTACTAGAAGAGACAGGAATTTTAGTAGAAAGTATTTAACTACAACACTTTAAATAAGGCATCACACTGCACTAAAAAAAATAAATAAAAAAATCAACAGCAAGTCAGCAAGTCAACTCAGTAATGTGAAAGCTGATCAAACCTGCATTCTGGAATTTCTTACCCAAAATGTATCAAACAAAGAAAGATAGATAAATTACATTTGTGTTCAATTGCACAATCATCAAACTGGTGATTTAACACAGTATGAATTTCCAGACAGCTATGATTACAGCCTGATTAACCTCTGATTAAAGTGACTTTGCAACATACTTCATGTTTTGCTCAATATATGCCCCCGTAGCATACATTCAGTATCAACTTGTCAATATAAACACACACTTACAGTGTAATTTCTTCCTTCACAAATATAAAGATCTCCTGCACTGTAATGCTGACTATCTTCATACTGTATTGTATTCAACAACCTTACTCGTATCCTGTGTTACTGCCCCAAACTGTGGACCATGCTGTGCTGGACAGCATCAGTGGAACAGCAACCTTTCATGTCTCGCTCCAACTTCAAATCAGCAGCTCTGGGAAACTGCATCCCACAAGCAGTGTGTATGCAACTTCATCACAATTTCAATATCATTGTTGAACAGCAGAATTAAACACAGCATCAGTAATTACCTCAGTATAAAGCAGAGCATCTTCAGAGATACAATCATAGTCCTGAGTACAGCTCTTCGCAGCATTTTGGGCGAACTTCATAAATTCTGCAACCTCACTGTTTACTACTTCTTTCATTTTCTGCGAGGAGAAAAAAAAACAAACTCATTTTTAAGACATAATGGAATCCTAGGCTAGGTATGTAAACAGCAAAATCTTCAGAGATGTAGCACAGGTGATGGTATGAGGAAGGGCACAGCTTCCACTTGCTGATCAATCTGGCAAGTCTTCCCATGCATTTAGTTTCACTTAAGTAAAAAAGAAACTCTGCAACATTAGGTCTGCGTCCTCTAAATACACAGCAGGCTTATTTTGACCATGCATAGGTGGTTTAAATAAAACAGAATTAGAGAACACTGGTGGAGCAAGTTTACATGATAGAATGACAAAGGTATCTGAGCTCTGACTTGATAAGCATTACGCTGTAAGTAACAGCAGTGCAGTAGGTATTGATCTGCTTAGAAAAGACACTCCCAGTGATACAGTGCAGAACAAAGGAAGTGGCATTAATAATGATGCACTGCACACCAAGTAGTACAGTTTGAAAACATTTACCATATACAGGATTCAGATAAAATAAAACGTACATGAAACAAAGTATTTACACATTGCTGACCAAGCAGTAAGTGTGGACTTGAGCATTTCTACTACAAAAAGTCTGAATGTGGCAAGCATCTAAGGTCAACATGTAGGTTTTCTCACATGCTGATGAAGAAAGTTCTGAATACAGGGTGTTGACAAAAATTGCATCAAAATATACAGATTAAAAGGAAGTTCAGACACATAGAATTTGAAAATACTTCTGCTACACTTTTGTTTGCTCTTCAAAGCTGAAGAAGTTGTACAACTCTCCTCTGTGATATTCCTATGTGTATATACACACATTTACACTTACCAGATACAGCAGTAACTCTCTTTGACTTGCTGCATTGAGAGGAAAATGATTTGGTGTTTTTGAGAACTTAGTCATCAGATATAAATATGTTTTCTGCTCCTTCTCAGTCAGACAGGAGGTAAATGGATAGGGAAGTCTAGGTTCTGGAAAAGGATGATCATCAGTTGTGGTTTTAGTCACCACCCCAACTGCATTTGTAGCCTGTATGTTACCAATCTGTTTGTTTTCTGAAGAATTTGCCAATATCTCCACATCTTTCTTTGCCAATCTGAAAGAAAAGTAACAAGTGAAAGAACTGACATACTTTTACCTAGAAAATAGTATCTGCCAGAACTATATGATAAAGGTAGTCTCAAAACTGTAAATTTCAAATTCGGCAAAATGCACTCTACCACCCCAACTTACAGCCTACACTCTAAGAATTTTCCTATTCTGAAACTTCATGTGAGCCAAACTTACTTTTAGAACCAACAGCAGCTTTGCTACTGATTTCAATTAAAAACAAAAATAAACGCACATATTCATTTACATAATGGATATTGAGGCAAAAAGGTACATTCAAAACTGATGGAGTGCTCTGGAAAAACACATTAACAGTGAAAAGGTACAGTTTCAACATTTCCTCATTAGCTGATGGTGGGTATTTAGAAAAAAATTGCACTTGGGAAGGTCTATCTTATGAGTAAAATTTATGATAATAAAGGAGAAAAACTAAATACAAAAAGCTTTTCTTTTACTGCAAAAGAAGTAAAAGAAAAGTACTTCATTTTAATGACAGGAATCCCAGATTTCAGTGAAAATTTTCCCCAAGAATAGGGTATACAAGTTTCATTTTCATTTCTGAACACTGACGGAAATCAGTGGCTAGAAATTACATTGGGCTAAAGTAAGAAATACTAATGGCCCTAACTAAAACAAAGCAGTAACATCTAAAAGCTGGTTCTTATAATGACTCCAGTAGGTGAAGGCCATCTCTATCCTAATCTAGGTGAAGGCCATCTCTATCCTAATCTATTTAAAGTGTTTTTCAGAAATAAGATATTGAAGGTAAACAAAATGAACATTAACTGTTGACCCTGGAAAAAACATATTTTTAAAATACAATTTCAGCAGGAGAAAACATCTCAAGTGTTATTCAAGCCCAACAGTATCACATTTACAGTTCTTAATAATGCTTCACAGCTGTCTCTCTGAATATGAGAATATGTCCATCCCTATGGCACAAACTGGCAAATTTAATTAAGCTGCAGCAGCAACAAGATGCTGACTCAGATACGCCAATGTTAGAATGTCAAGAAATTCTAGCAGCTTAAATTGGCTGTATTCAGCAACGAATGAAATGGCAGCACATCAAGATCATTTCAGTATGCAGTGCTGTCACAGTCTTCATCAGGGTGCAAACAAAAATAATCTGACAGAGCTTTTCTGTCCACATTTACAGCATTATACTTTATTTGAGCTGACGGCTTAAATTTTCCCCCTTCATTTTATCAGCAACCTGCCTTCACAGCTTCTATGGTGAGTGAACATATATGTTACTAAATATTTATCACAAATCTCAATATACAAATTGACATGTTTTTTCCAGCTCTCACGTCCACATTTGCACCAACAGGTTACATTTCTTTTCCTCTTCCTGATGGCCACTCAACCCAATCCACTGATACCCTTATGTTATCGTTGCAATCTCTTCCTGGCTATAAGCTCACTTCTATCCAACAGAACTGAACGTAATCTCACTCCTAAGTATAGTCATACCTACTCCAGAAACCCTTAACAGCTGAAAGGAGATTAAAAAAAAAAAAAAAAAAAAAGAAAAAAATACAAAGCCTAAATATCATATAATATTCCAGCTATTGAAATCTTGCAGTGTGAGTCCTGTGCTTTTCATCATGCCAAAGAAAAGTTGATTCTATTTCCTCAATTTAAAATAAAAGGCATCAGAAGTGTGCAGGCTGTACCATCTATGCCAAAATGATTTGCGTGCACAGCATTTCAGCTCCTATTGCTCGTCTAACACTTCATACAATTCCTTGAGTAGTCAAGAAGCTAAGTGCAACTCCAGGGCAGCTATTGATTCTACGCAAATAGTGTTGGCTACTTCCAAAAGATACAAGTAACAAGGATTTCAGTGTACAGTATCATCAGCCTGGTACAAAGTGAGATCACAGGAGACCAACAGCAGGAGATAAACACATGAGACTGGGTTTTGGTTCACAGGTTACAGAATCTTTGTGAGGACTAAGTGCTTCATAACTTCTTGGTCTGCAAAACCAAGCAAAAAAAAAAAAAAGACACCAAACGGCCACAAAAAAAAATCAACACAACCCTCCCTCCCCAGAACAAAACAAATCCCCACAAAGAAAAGCTCCATCTCTCAAAAAAGAGAAAAGACCACAGGTCCCAACCTAAACTCCCTCTGCTTCCTGAGGCACCTCACGGGTAAGGCACAGAGCAGCCGCTACAAGGCAAGGCACTCCTCACTGGGCAGCACGCAGCTGTCTGCCAGGCAGTAACTGCACGTGTGTACCAAGAGAGTGATGACAAACAGCACCCAGTCGTAACAGAATGTACCTTTTCGATAAATTCCACAGTTCCAAGAGGCTCGGAGCCAGGGAATATTTTTCATACGTTTCACGTGAGAAAAACACTTCTTTGCCATTTTTGGGTGAAACATCCCTGTTGGTAAAAAGAACGCTGTGATATATAACATTTAAAGACAAAAATCTGATCCCAAGAAACAAAGAGCAGTATTAATTACAAAATAAAATAAAATAAAAAAATCAGAGCCCATCACTACAGCGTTTTCCCATTTCTTCTCACAGAATGTATTTATACTACACCTAACACCCCGCTGGTTTTCAACACTAAGATAAGCATCCGTTCCACAGCCCCAGAAGATTAACACGGTGTCAGGTCCGTAGCAGAGGCGCAGTTTGAGCCCTCAACTCCCAGATGGCACCAGCCCACACACAGCGACCGCAACTGCGGGCAGAACGCAACTCCGGCGATTTCACGACACGGAGACTGCTTTCCACACAGCCCCTGAACGGCCGTTTTTCTACGGGAAGCAGCCCTTCCTACAGGGCCAACTAACTAAGCTACTCTGAAGGGTGCTAAGAAAGATTTATTTCCGTCGCCTTCGCAGATGAACTCAAAAACACTACATCTAGACTTTTTTTTTTTTTTTTCAAAAAAGTTTATTCTTTTCGAGTTCGAAACGAGCGCTATCAGCACTGAACAACGAAGGCAGCCGCCTCCCCTCAGCGAAGCCGCGACTCCCACTCCCCCCCAGAGCGGCACAAAATGGCATCGCGCAGCCCCCACCTCCAGCCCAGCGGCGGGGCGGAGCGGACACGAGAACCCAGGCCCGCCCCGCTCTCTCCTTTCCCCGCGCATGCGCACAGCGCAGCGGCATTGAGACCGGTGGGGCATTTTCCTGCCCTCCGCTCCTCAGATGCACCTCTGCTCGGCTACAGGGAGAGAGCGGGACTGTACTCACCAACTCAACAGCTGTCCTTCAGCCGCCATCTTAGAGCGCCTCGCAGGGAAAGGACCCGCCGGTTCATCGCCTCGCTGCCGGGCGGGCCGGCTCTCACGGCCTTGGCCAATCAGCATGGAGGCGCGCGGGAGCTGATGCTGTGAGCCAGCCAATGGCTGCACGGCTCGAGCGGCTGCTGGAGGCGCTGCGGGTGGCCATCTTGTGGCGGGCTGCAGCATGGAGGCGAAGCTGCGTAGGGAGGCTTGAGGCCTGCTGTCGTGTTCACCCTAGCCTGTTCGCCTTTACCTCGAGGTGATGAAGTCTGTCTAAGGCCTTTCGGCATCGACTCTTACGCTTTACTAAGGTGTGGTCCTGACCAGGTGTCATGCGCCTCACAGCGCCTGTTCCCGCCCTGGGTGTGTTGAGAAGCCGGGCTGGGCTCCACAGAGCGGTTAGGCCCTCGGGTTGGGACTGTGTGTGAGGGCTGTCTCAGGGTAGCTGCACTTCCCAGTTTCTCTCTTCTTTCCCCGTGGGCTTTCAGTTCTTTGGCTTGCTTCCCGATAGTTACCATCAGGGCAGAGCCACAAAAAAATCAACTTTTTTTTTTTTTTTTTTTTTTTCTGATGATAAGGCTTTCCAGTGTGGTAAAATGTGGAATTTATACATTGTCTATCTGTAGGTTCAGATAATGGAAACCTGTGGCATTATAAGAAAAGGTGATCCCCTGTTCAGCTCAACAGATGGAGAAATAAGGGTTTGGGGTATTGCAGAATGAAGGCATTAAAGCATTCACTGCATCCAGTCCTGTAACTAAAACTGGGGACTGCATGCTAATACTGAAATTCAGGGTTACTTAGAATACTTCATTCAGACCTGGGCCCCCACCACAAGTGCATGGAGCTGTTGGAATAAGTTGAGAGGAGAGCCGTAAGGATAGTTGTTGGGCTGGAGCACCTTTCTGGCGAAGAGAGGGGCTGAGAGAGTTGGGGTTGTTCAGCCAAGAGAAGATTCCAAGCAGACCTTACAGTCTTCTAGTACCTAAAAGAACCACTAGGCAAGCTGTGGAGGGACGCTTTGTCAAAGAGTGTAGTGAAAGGACAAGGCATAATGGCTTTAAACTGAATAGATGTAGATGAGACATAAAAAAGAGGGCTGTGAGGTTCTGGCACAGGCTGTCCAGAGGAGCTGAATGCCCCTTCCCTGGAGGTATTCAAGGCCAGGCTGGGTGGGGCTTTTGGCAGATCTAGTGGGATGTGTCCCTACACATGACAGGTGGTAGGAACTATGTGGTCCTTTAAGGTGCCTTCAAAGTCAAGACACTGTAGTTTTATGATTCTGTGTCCAAAGCCACCAACCAGAGAGTCTTTACCTAGCTTGCAAGGACACTGTCTAATTTCAGTTCTTTTGTTTGTTTGTTTGTTTATCTCAGACAGAGGCAGAAAGATTTTTATCTCCCATTGGAGATAAAAACAGAATCACCCAGAGCCCAGTCATGGAGTTAGCCTTAGAAGGAATAATCTTTCTTCAGAGCTGAGGTATGGTGAAGTTTACATAACAGAAGACTTATCCAGCTTGTGAATGTGTTGTTAAATCCAACTTTAGTCTACCATCTTCCTAAATTCTGTCCATTTTTCAATTGAAGTTATCTACTTCCTACATGTGATTTTTGTACTTCTGTGGCATAAGCATTAACATCAGGAAACAATTTCTTGCTGTGAGGGTGACCTAGCACTGATACAGGTTATCCGGAGAGGTTATAGAGTCTCCTCCTTGGAGATACTCAGAAATCAGGAAAATCAGAACCTTCCCCTTCTCTTTATCTTGTGAGGATGTATCAAATTGTAGCCCAGTATGTAGAATGAACCTGGACCTGGTTCTGAGAAAGCTACTTAGGGATGGCCCTGTTTGAGCAGGGGGTGGATCTCCAGATGATCTGACCTGCACAGGTCCCTACCAGCCAAACCCATACTGTGATTTTGTGACATATACTGGGGATCAAAACCACCCCATTCTAACCCCTGGTTCTGCTTTCCTTATTGGCAAGCAAGGGAGTCCCTGATTTGTCTCTCATTCCTCTGTTTTATTTTGAACAGCTGTCGAATTTTCTGAAGGTTAGGACCTCTCCTGTGAATTGAGAGATTGGGGAGGAATCCATTCTTGAGGGTGAGAAAATTAAACCTGGACTTTCACTGTCTTAGTGCTTATGTCATGAAGCTGCTGTAGAACGAATGGCACTACAGTTCTAGGAAAGCTATGGCTTCCATAACTTTCCTGACTTGATCAGTAGGCGATGGCTTCTTCCAGATTTAGTGCTTCAAAGCAGAAAGCTAACCCCTAATTCTGGATTGCAGGCAGGCAACCTAATACTGAGCTGTTAAAGCTCTGTCAAGATGAAGTGTTTTTGGGTAGAAGTCTAAGTAGAATTTTACATGTACAAAATCTTAAGATAGAAACCAAAGGTACTGCTGACATTTAGGTGGTTAGCACACCAGAGGAGGCTTGCAACTCTGAATTTTGATGCCTAAATTACATGCAAATTTTAACTGAATCCTCTCAAATCTAGCCCAGAGCACCATCTCCAAATTCACTGGGAATATTCTAAGACAAATTTCTTCTATTGTGCACTTGACACAATGTACTCTGATGTAGAACAAGATGACATTTTCAAAGAGAAGGAAACTGGATTGATCCAAGGTAATTCTGAGGATGTTTACACTCTTCTTGGCCAAAAGGGGAACTTACAAGGTGTTTGGGAATCTTCTCATTTCCTTGCTGTCAAACATTACTTTATTTACCTAACAAAAAACTGACATATGTGCCAAGAATCATGGCTCATTTTGTAAGGGTGGATTCCTTAAAGACTGAACCTAACACACGTCAAGATTCAGAAGAACAAAAAGGTGCTACTGACAATAAAAAAAAAGAAAAAAAAAAAGCAAGACAGATTTTTCCATTAGAAGCTGAAGTTTTATTACAGGATAACAGTACATAAAGCACATCTAAAATCGATGTGTTCAATGCACTTAATAAAGGTAATGTAATATTAAAGGTACAGTTTCTAAGTACAATATAACAACATTCATATTAGAATGAAAATTGGAGTATTTAAAAGACAACATTAAATCTCTTATTTTTACAGTCGTATTTACAAAATGAATCAAAATACTTTTTTTATCGGGACTGAGTAAAATAACAAACTGGAATATAAGCAGGCTATCATAAGAGTGAGTTGGAAAGGTCCATGAAAGTGAGAAGTTAAGTGACTGGGTAAAGATCATTAGCAAAGGTTTAGTACAATACCACTTTAGTATTCCTCTTGATGGCTTACGTTTTATGGTGGCTAGAAAAGGAATTTATACATACTGTACACATAACAGACAGCATACATTTACATGTACAGTATAATTTCATTTAAAGTTGTGTGTATTTACAGAAATCTGAGCATATCACTCAACGAGGTTTCTGAAGTTTATGTGCTTAATCCTCAAACTGACATGTATTTGAAATCAGTATTTATTCTGGTTTTGTTACGTTGAACATTTAGTCAACAGGGAAAATATGTTAACCAAATGATTTTGCATAAAGATATCAAACTATTAAAATTAAAATAATAGGAAGAACTTGTTCCTAGCATTACGTATAAGTTAGTAAATACAAATTTAAGTGCGACTCCTTTTCTTTTTTAAAATATCAAAAGGTGACTTAAATCAACAAGGGAAAACAAAATTGTCATGGCTTATATTTAAATAAGATTGTAGCTTCAAGAGGTTTTTATAATTATCCTGATAGTGTTTGCAATTAAACATTCCACTTATGAAAATATACCCACGGTGCAGTAAAGTTTGTATTTTATTTTTAGGACAACAGTATGTTTGCTGTTTAAAAAAAATTATTTATATATATATATTCCTTGAATTGAGGGTATAAAAGCAGTGCATGGAAGCCAAGAATCATGGCTTTAAAATTCACTACCTTCTATTATCAAAAAGTGCAGTAAACAGAAACAATTGTATTTAATAAATTGCTCAAAAATCTTTGCTAAAGATCTTATAAATTCAGTAATATTACAGAAAAATTCTAATAAATATTTAAAAGGTTAATTACCTCCTTAGTTAGATATTTGATATCCATCAGTTTTTAAGAATTAACACAAAAACAGTATCTAGAATGAAAGGAACAGGGGACAGGAATAATTTTAAGGGTACGTGACTATGTAAATTAAGGTATACATGACAAATAAAAACAAAACCCCCAGACCTGACAGAATGTTGCAAATTCCACTTCTTAGTTAACTTCAGTTGCTAATGGCTGACCTCAGATATGTATGCATGATTTATAAAGCATACCCAAGGACCGAATTTAGCCATCAATCTGTCACGGCAGATTTACAGAAAATTCCTATTTACAGTAACTGGAGTTAAGCGTGTAGGCATGGCCTAGTGACATCCACAGTTTGAGTGTGTGCAGATCCTATTTAAAGTGAAGAGGGAGGAAGGCACCCATCAGAGCGTCACCAGTCAATCTCAGATGCCACAACCAGATTTTACTCTCCGAGCAGCCAAAGAACTACCTCCCTTTCAGACAGACAGCATACTGTAAATGCTTTATTCTCGTAGATTTGATGCTTTTGTTTTTTCTGATACAACACAGGCAGACTGCTTTAGTAACCGAAAAGATAACAAACTGGACAGAACATTTTTATTAATGTTAATAATGTAGAAAAAAATTCTACATTTGATATCAAGTATCTGTACCGGTGAAGTAATTTTCTCCTTATTAAATATACTATAGAATAATTTATATAATGACACTATGCGTTTAAAGAGAGAACCATGTCCCAAATCTTGTACGCTGATACAGGTACGTGTTGGGCATATGTAGGTGTATATATATATATACACAAATATATATATATTTATATATAGTTATACTCAGTGAAATTAACAAGACCCAAAGGTGGTATTGTCTAGGAATAAAAGGGGTTTTTGTTTGCTTTTGTTCACAAAAGTAACTTATCTAGCACCACACATCAGAAAAACACAAAAATAGCACACTCTAGTTCTAAACAGCTATGTCTAAAATAGATTATATAGTAAAACAGATATTATACAGCATAATGTGGTATTTGATAAACAGATAAATATTTGCACTGTGTAGGCTGTTTATAGTATAACTTTATCTATACAGAATGAAAGCAAAAAGTTAACTGTATAGAGGTGAGCAGAACAACATTAAATATTATGACTCCAAAGCAGAGACGAAGTTAAGAGTTGAAAGAATAGAGCAAGATAAAATGTTTACAGGCCATTACAAGTCCTTAAATTAGTAGTAAAATAAGGAATCAGTTGCTCAAGTTTAAGAAAGCAGTAAACAAGAGATTGCATTTACATGCAGATGTCTAAAACTTGTATTTCTTTTAAATCTATGCACAAAAAGTCATTTGTTTTTATTGCTTGACATTCAGTTATGGCTAGAGTATTTTTTAACCTTTTTCGTACTTTGGAAACAAGAATATTGTTAAAGGTGCCATAAAAATGGACAACATTGAAAACAGTTTGCAAATAAACCACCTAACACTGCAGTTCTTTATACATTTTAAAAAGCCTTGTCTGGGGTTTGTCGTATGTTAAATATATTTAAACTGGGAAAATACATTGTAGCTTGAAGCCTCCCATTGGCCCAAACGTCCAATACAAAAACACATCTCCAGAAAAGGAGCAGGCAAGACAGTACAGTTACATACATAGAAGCAGCCAGTTAATGTCCTAATATTTCAAATATTCACCACTGTTCTGTAACTTGTTTCTAAATCAATGTAGAAATGAGGAACATTTTGGATTTAGAAAAGTGTACAGTACGTATGCCTTTTTGTGAAATAAAATTCACTGTATTGCTTATGAATTCTCTGCATTAGATAGGATAGCATTACAGATTGCAAATTCCTGTAAAGTTTATGCATTTACATTAAGACTCTGTGGGGTAATTTAGGGTAGTGTTTCTCAAACTGAAAGTCACAACCACTTGAAAATTGCTAAAGTGTTCAGATTACTATCACAAAACTGTACGTCAGGCAAACGTGGCTCGGTACTGTGTCAACTGCAGCAGCTCCGTTCACCACTGCAGACAAGCACGCTGGGCAGGGAGCTCATCCTGCTCACTGCATGCAGCTCAGCTCCCAGCGAGGAGGAGCAGGAAGAGCTGGCAGTTGGCTATTGCAGAAGCCATAGTTACTACTACTCAATACCAGCTCAGTTGCTTCGTTAGAAAAGACAGCCGGTAATTCCAGCTGATTCTCACTGCCTAACCCAGAAAAAGGACGTATGTCAGTTCCAACACATAGAGCCCTATGAAAAAATAGAGCCCCGAGGGAGTGTGCTTTCAGAGAGCTTGAGAAACACTGACTTACAGGAAAACAAGTGTACAAAGGACATAATAAACACTGAAAACATGCAGGTGTTAACAAAAAGGTGTGGTGTCACATGTCAAGTTGAATAACTTGATTGTAAAGTTCAGCTTGAAGAAGTAATGAGATTATGAGGGAAGACAAAAAAGTGAATATTGTGGCTTAACAAAACTTACAGATACTGATCTGAAGCCTTTATCATGTTTTATTTCTTATTTGGATAGCCTACTTATTGCTATAAAGTTATTGCTATATTCTACCGATGATAAAGGCAAAAAAAAAAACCAAAACAACAAAAGAAGACAAACAGCAACATTACATATGAAATAGGTAGAATACAGCTTTTATTTTGATGTTAAAGTTCTATTTAGTACCTGAATAAAGTTCCAAAAATAGACAGTATATTAACCTACATGTTAGATATTCTTCCCCTCAAGTCCAGTGACTTAGCATTGTTTAGTGAGCTATTAACACAGTACTAGGATTAAAGCACATACTGCAACAATTTTTTGACAAATACTCATTTTCAACTTGTTGTTGTTGTTGTATTTGGTATCCTTATACATTTGCCCTCATTTCCACCAAATGATTTACTGACAGGAATATTTAAGCAAAAAGAAAATAGCAGGTTAAAATTCAAATATATTCATGGAATGCAACTTTTAAAGTAATGTTAGCATTAATGATGAAGATCTATTTTGAGTAGTTACTGATCTCCAGCTAAGAAAAATAAATAAAGATGCTTCCTCTTTGCAATCTAAATCAGCTAGCACAGGTAGAATTTCAGATCATGCTAAATACTAAGAGCAAATTGCTTCTTATTTTGGGATATTGGATAGTAAGTGTTGTTTCTAACATTTGTATTAATAAATTTATCTACTTGGGGACTTCAAGAATTTGCAGGAAAAAATCATACATTGTTTATACAGCTTGGACTGGCAACCTGTTTGTTCATCAAGTGCAGACTGGGGAATGTCTGTGTCAATCCTTAGAGCCCAAAAGAAGGTACTGTCACGTTTGGATCACTCCCTACAAAGTTATCTGTAGACTGCACAAATTAGCAGTATGTTGCATTGATCAGCAAGTATGTGTAAGATACTTTCTGTTGGGAATCAACAGTAGTGGGGATTTTCTTGTAGCGGTGATACCAGGACACCAACTGATCAAGAGTCACAGTTGCTAAGCAACATCTGCCTTAGAAGGCCATTCCAAGCTAAGCTAGAGTGTCAGCTTGGGAAATATTGAGAAAGGTTTCCCTAATTATTAGCAACATAAACAAATGGAAGCCACAAATCCAGTGGAAAAAAAATCCAAAACCTCAACCTAAGATACCGGAGAACTGATATTTTTTGCAAGAAAAAAGCCATCTTTTTCACTCATTTTTCAGAGAATTTCACTCTCTTCCTGATCTGACTGAAGTCTTGAAATCTTGCTCATTTTGTACACAGTTGCTTATTTAATTTCCTTCTTGCGTTTTCAAAAGGATGTGAAGTCACAGAACAAGACTAATTGTGATAGGCTCCCAGCATCACAAAATTTGGCACTTAGACACTTACTAGACTTCGCTGTTTTTTGCAACTGTTGTGATCATTTTAAATTGCTGCAATTGATGTACGAGATACGAAAATGACTTCAGTCTTTTTGTTTCCTTCCAGTCTTTTTTTTTTTTGCTATACCACGAAGCATAAGAGACAGTGAGAGACAAGGTCTAAACTGTTGTTGTTCTCATAGTCTATATGACATTATTGCAAAATCTAATAACTGCCTTTCCAGTCATATTGTACTACCATAAACTGCTTTGTTTCGTTTGACAATCATTTAAATACTGAAAACCAATTTTCTATTGCAAAACATTGAAATTAATTTGGAAAAACACTCCAATGGCTATAAAAACATCCAGAGGTTGTTTAAATTAAATTTCAGTTGTGAACTATTAATGGGCCAGCATTAATTTCCTTCCTTAAGTACAACTACAAAACCTTTGCATCGTTTGGAGTATTTTTGTTTTTTACAAAATAAAGACCAATGAGCAGATATTCTGCAAGACTGCATCACAGAATGAGGCACACATTGAGCATTCGGTTAAAAAGAAATCTGTCCAGTTTTTCTGTGCCTGTGGGGAGAGGGAGAAGGGAAAGGAAGAAATACTCGCATTTTTTTTCTTTTTTTTTTTTCTTTTTTCTTTTTTTAAAATAATTTGTCCCACCAGTAGTACTGGCCACCCTGTTGAAGAGTTTTAGAAGATCCCTGAGCACATTAGTTTCTGACTCTTAACCCCAGCTCCAAAACGATAGGGCTTCTGTTGTTGATAACGAGATGGATTGTCATTCACAGTTAAGTCAATCATAAGGTGCTTATATATTTACCCTTTTTTTCACCAATCAGCACAAAGAACTGTCAGAAAATAACTTTTATTTTTCTTTTTAAATAATAAAAGGGCACAAAATTATTAAACAATCAAAGTTTTGTGACAGTGGTTTAGGATTATTATCTGGCTGCCCCTCAACAACAGACAAGTGATTCAATCGACATTCCTTAGCAAAAAAAAAAAAAAAAAAAAAAAAAGGCAAAAAAAAATCCTGTACAAATATGTATTTTTCCCTGAGGGATCAAGGTTACACCCGCAAGTGCTCTATGTACATATTGCACTGTAGAGGAATGAAGAACATGTGCAAAAAAAGCAACAATGATTGAAGCTTACTAATCAAACCTTTTAATCATGACTGCTATGTCATCTTGCATTTTGGAATGTCGGAACACAGCTATTCCTTAAATCTACAATGTAAAAAAATGAAAAAAAAAGAAAAGAGAAGAAAAGAAAAAGAAACACACACCTCTACTATGGCACATTCAATGAAATAAAAAGTTTTCCAAAGACAAATAGACAAATTCCATCAAGAAAATAATACAAAGTTCGTTCATTTGTTTTTTTTTTCTGTTTTTTAGAAAAATTACATTACTTTCTTTCATTGTTTCACATTACAAAATCTTTTTTTTTTTTTTTAATGTTTACACAAATCACATTTTATTGCAGGAATATTTCAAGTGCCATCAAATATTTATAGAAGGGTTAAAAAAATAGAAGTCTCTCTAAAGTGGTCCAGACAAGGCTTTGTATAGAATAAATCTTTTTTTCACCTTCTATTTTTGACTTAAGTATTTTGAATACATTTTCTTTTTCTCCATTGACACTTACCAGCCTAGAAGCAGCCACTCACACACACCCACACATACACCATGTGCGCACACAACGCTACTCTCTCACACACACAGGTAGGTGCACATACACACACAGAGATCTTAGTATCCATACTAAGATAGACAAGCTTTAATAAAGAGCAACCAAACTTAAGAACAGCCTCCCTTTTCTCCTAATCCCATCGTTTTTAAGAGTCAATCAGTGTTAGAGATGTTGAGGTGTATTAAGGTAGTTCAAATGCCAGTATACTGTACTACCTCTTTTCTAGAAAGCCCGGGAACATCTCTGTGGAAAGATGAAAACCCAATGAAAATCTCTTTGCAGACTCTAGCGTACAATCATTCAATGGCAATGTACTACTTTGTCTTCAGCTGTCCTCACGTTTTTGTTTGTTGTCAGCTGGACAGATCATGAAAATACTTGTGTGAATCCACTTACTTCCAATATGCTTTTTTAAACTGAATATTGTGCTGATTGTCTGACACCAGGCCATAGTCGCAGAGGTTCTGCAGAGTGCATTTCCACTGCTGCACCAGGTTCTTCCATGGCAGCCATTCTGACCAGCCACTCTGAGGCTATTTGACATCCCCTTTGCCTCATAGGCAACCGCAGTCTTTTCAGTATGTCTGCCATGCTGTATCCCCTTTTCCCCTCTCTATGCCAAGCAAAACGAAACGAGTAATAGTCTCTTGCCAAGTGGCTGCTAGCTGTGTTCAGGAAGGCAGACTTACTGGGGTATGTACACACAGCCTGATTTTAAAAGGTGCTAGTTGTCCACAGGGGCTCCCCTTGACAAAAATGACAGCACGTAGGTGCTGCACAGCCTGGAATGGAAGATCATGTCACAAGCCAATCCTGGATACAACAGGCTTTCAGCTAAGGCCCCATGTGGAACCTTTCTACACTTATGTATTTTATTATTAAATACTCCAAAATTCTGTGTTGTCAATGACTTAAGGGTGTAAATACTCTGAATTAGATACCAAACAAAACCACTGGTATCTACAGGCCTGCTAAAGTAGTAATATTAATCAGGAATAGATAAGTAAAGGATGTGACTGAAAATTAATCCCAAAGTATTTTGCCTGGTAGTCTACTTATTGTCAAAAGTAGGAGCTGTATCTTACTCTCTAAAAAAGTACGAATCTTACCTCATTATTCATTAGTTGACACTGAAATTAAGTTTAGTTGATCTTTAAAGGACTAGCACCTAGGGCTGGTCATATTCCGAAAACGTCTGTTTGTTAAAAAGACTGCTTTAAAAATAGGAGCACATATTGGAATCAAAGTACCGTATCATGCCAGCTACTCCAATAAAGTAAACAATGATTCTAGGAAAAGTCTATCAGCGAGAATGCAGTCAGTGTGCAGGGCTGTGAGCTGCCTCCTTGGAGCAGCAGGATGGAGCAGCATGAGGCTGGCTTCCTCAAGCCCACTCGTGCCTCCATCCAGGTACTCACAGAGGTGCAGGTGTTCCTGTGCCGTTCTCCAGGGCTACACTGCTTTGAAGGGCGGAGATGCCATGTTCATCTCCTCAATTTTGAACCATAGAAACAGATGAGAGCCAAGCGCTATGATGAAACACTTTAATAGATGTTGTGCTTCTGTGGCTCAATTTGATCCCAAAGGTAAAATTTCCAAATCATAGAATAAAACTTTCTGTTTTAGACTACTAGCGTAATTCTACCTCTCTTCAGTGTGCTTCTGTTCTTCAGTTCAGCATTACTTCTCAGTGACTAATGTAACAGATTTATTATTTTTGGAAATTAAAGCAGTGGAGCACATTGCTGTTTTTTTTTTTTCTTCTTGCAACATATTTCATCAGAAAGTTGCAGGCACACAGGCCTACAAGCCTCCTGGTTGTATTTCCTCATCTCATCCAAAGCAATTACAGACCTCTGGCTCGAACAGTCACAGTTTATTTTGTGATATTGTTCACTGTGGATCTGTTCCCTTCAGAACTTGGTTTAATTTCTAATCCTGCTAAATTTACTCAGTGACAGTTGGTACTTTCTATTAGTCTTTCCTCATCTGTTAAACTTTAAAGTGCATGTATGTAAATAATGAGAGCAATGGTCAGCACTCCATTCAGCTACTTTAAATAGAACTGCTGGATGTTTGAAGAACATGGGTTCTAATCTCACTTAAAACAAAATTAAACCTATGAATTTTGATAGGATAGAGTTTGGAGTTTTGAATGCATTGTTTACAATACAGAGTACAAAAGTATGTAACATTATGTATAAAAATGGGCTTTCCACATACATGTCACACACATACTTTTACTGCAGATACAGACTTGAGTAAATACCTTCAAATCTGGATTTATGGTGGGTAGATGGATGTACACTTTACTGGCTTGATTTTCAAGGATGACACATTATTCTATCTGTAAGTGATCTGTAATTGCTTAATTTGATCACAGAAACTCAGCACCTTTGAAAATGAGGCTTTTGCTGTGCCTAAATCAGAATCTAGGCGTGTAATTTTAAACATCCAGATTTGAAAGATTTGAAATGAAAAATACTTGCTAAATTAACAGTTGAACGTCTGATTTTAATTTAGAAAATTTCCTTTTTTCCTTTTTTTTTTTTAAATCTGTGTAACCATTTCAGGATATGACCAGCCTCTCCTTAAAAGTAACACGGAAAACAGCAGCATAAATACCTCCCAATGTACCAGTACCTGCCAAAAACCTTTTTCAGTTAAACTTGAATTTCTGGTGCACATGCAACACAACAATGAACACGCTAGCATTTAATTTAAAGAAAAAGGTGCAAAATGAAAGTGCCTTATCAATTCAACAAGAAAAGCTATACCAGTAACTACATTTTATATTAATTAAAACAATATATAAACAATATCTCTTTTGCTATATATAGTCTTCATGCCCATTTACCCTGTAATATATTATAATGCTATTGTTGCTATTGCTATGGACCCTTTTCATGCCGTTCTGTCTACTGGCAAACAGTGGTAGGTGAAAAAAATCGTCCTTCATGAAACAATGAGCAAGTTGTGCAAACTGATGCTTAAATCTCTGCAATGCACACCAGTCGCTGATTACTAGGTGGACTCTCTGGTTCTGATCAACAAATTGATTGTTCTGTCAGAAGTCTGGGCAGTGAACTACGAGAGAAAGCAACCTTCTGATACTAGTACCCTCAGTCTGTGTAAACAGAGGTCAAGGATTGAGAAGTTGAGACAGAAAAAGGGTCCATATTTGTAGGCAAAATGGAAATCATATGCATGAGAAAAACAAGTTCAACTTTGTTTCATTGTTTCCCATCCTTCGCCTGACCCGGACCGCCAAGAGATGTGCAGTGTGTTGGCTCCCTAGGTCTGTGCAGGGCCATATAAAGTGTCTTGGTTTTCTTTACTTTTTTTTTTTTCTCTTTTTTTTTTTTTAATCTTTTCCTTTCTTTTGTTTTAATGTTTGTACTTCAGACATTCTAGAAGTGCTTAGGTGATACGTTTACCCATCAATTTGCATTGCTGGCTCAAATTCTGAAGTGAACAGCTCCTTGTAAAGTGGAGGAAAATGAAGTCGTACAATGTCTGGGTATATTGCTTTAAATGCGATAAGCTTTTCTGTATGTCGTCCACACAGTGCTCTTAAAGTAGACACTTTGCATATTAACTGTAAAAAAATGAACAGAAGTCACACAGTCATATATGGAACAAGGCCTCCCAGTCTTGAGCTCAGGATTAGAACTCTCAAACAATTTGAGCACACTTCAGTTGTTTGCTTTAGCAGTGACATATCAGATGTGTAATAACGGTTAAGTTTCGTATATTAAAAACAAAAACAAATAAAGAAGCCACTAAAAACTTACTGAGTAATGCATTAATGCTATCTGTGAAATAGCTTTTTCTTTGGGTGTCTAAGAAAATGTATCACTTGCCTACCTATGTAAGCCATATCACAAGCTCCAGATCAGTGTGGAACTATTTCATGGCTGAATCTTTACTCATGCAACTTAGTAATTCTCCTGGAAGAAGGTGTGCTTGATTATTCTTAAATATGCTATATTATGGAGGGAACTTGCAATACAATGGATTAGGCTACTTTCACTTATGCCAAAAAAGGTAAAAGATGAAATTGTATTAAACAGATCAGAACAATCTGTCCTTGAAAAAATAGGACTAGGGTGCTCATTCAACTTAGTGAGTACATATTTGTATCGAAGCACCTGGAAGAAATCTCCTTCTAGCAAAGGAATCCAATGCATATGCTGGGAAAATAATTATACAAGCTATGAAATGAGGACAATCTGGAAAGCCCAGATCTTCATACTGGGCTGTACTATCCTGCTCCTAGTTGTAGTTAGTCTAAGTGTAATTAATTCTGCGTTGTGAAACTAAGCATGAGCTTCCCTGCTGTGTGGAGTTCTAAAAGGAACTACATCTGTAAGGAAGTGCCTTCACACTGCCTCTGCATTTTGAACACCTAATTGAAGACACTTGAGATTACCATAATAATATGTAGTATCTTTTTTCTCTTCCCTAGCCACCAATAGTTAGAAGAAGTGCTGAGAAAAAGGCTTGTGCAGAACTTCTCATGACGTACTGAGAAACAAGGTTAGTTTGGGTACTGTGTGCCATCACAAGCTAGTTGTCAAGTAGACACAGGTTTCGTAAGATTTAATCTTACATGTAGTAGAAATAGTGCTCTGCGTGGCAGAGGTGTTATTAAGAGAAACAAGATAAAAACCTTGATGGCTTTTCATTTAGTTCAACATGAAAAACATTTTCAGACCTTTATCAGCCATATTCGTAGTACACCATTCTTTCTCCCTTTCCTGTTTTTAGCAAATGATTTCAGCTAAGTACCTTGATTGTGAACAAAGAATTCTGGGTTTATAAATTAAAAAAATACTGCACAGAAGCTTTTACACTATTTATAAGAAAGTGTGCTTTCACAGTCACATGAGATGGCACAATATGATTTGTACCTTTGTTAGAATTCCATCTTCTCGGTGGTTCTTCTGTAGGACATGCTGAAGTGCTAGCTGGATCTTCTGTTGGAGTTTTTCAATTTTTACCTTCTCCTGAAGCCATGAACGATCTAAATACAAATGAAGTTAACACCTCTAGTAGTGCACACATCAGTCACGGTGCATCAGGAAATAGTCTGTTCATTTTTCCTATTTGCAACCTTCCTTCCACTTCAACAGTTTTACAACCCTCAATAAGAAGATTGCAGCATATCTGAGTAAGATTCATTAATTATTTGCTAATAAGTTCTTTAAAATGCAGGATATTTACAAAATGAAGCTAGCCCCCTTTTAGTGAGAAATGCATGGATCACATAATGAACAAGTAGTTGGTGTGGATCTTCTTACTAAGATCTACAGTGGCATACAAAAAAATCAGAACAAATATTCAGCTATTAAAAAAGTGCTCCTAAACTTCTAGCAGAAAAGGAGTATTAGGTACTACATCTGTGGCAGAACTAAGGGATTCTGTGGCTTAAATACTAAGAGACAAGGCAAACATATTTGCAGCATGGCAACCAGCATGAGAACGTATTTATGATGTAGTAAAACTCTGTTGTAACAGATTCCTCCAGCATTTATTCCTATGATGGTTTAAAACTATATTTTTCCTTGGGTATTATGTCAGACACAAACGGAATTTCGGCACTAATATCTTGTTTCGCCCAACCCGATAAGCCTTCCCAGTACCTGGAGCACAGTGTGAATCTGTTTGAGATGAAGCTACTTTATTCATGGCTATAGCAGACCCAGGCTGACTCTTGTATGTCTGGCGCCATCATTCCCATACCTAGTTTCACAAAGGTGACAGATACCTGAGCTACCATGGTATGCAACCACCTCCATACATTTGTTCCTTGCTAAAACAGCAACCCTGCTTAACAGCTCTGAGCTGGCACTGGACCAAAAAGAGGTGGACATTTCATACTGTGTGATAGCAGTACTATTTAGGAATACATTAAAATGAAAGTGAACTCTGCCATAGAAACCTAGAATAAATACTCTGTCTCTTACCTGCTGACATTAAAACAAATGCAGAAAACAAAGCTATCTCATCTTCTGTCAGGTGCATAGAACATAAACTTTTTCCAAATTCAAACACAAAACTAATGAAGTCTTCACAACCTGCCAAAAAGAAGGTACAGCTCATGCCAAACTGTTTGAAATTACTTCAAAACTACACAGTTGCTGATTTAGGTGAAAAATGGATGTAAAATACTTGATAGGTAAATGCTTTTCCCCTTGAGGACTGATGAGATCTCAGTTAGGCTTGAACTTCACCCCATTCCCACAGGTCCCCAGCTATCACATCCTGGTACCTAGTACTTTGAAGGTTTTGTGCATTGCGTCTTTTCTGTGCTTTTGGGGTAAATATAGATGAAAACCAAGCCATTTTCAAGCTCAACGCTGTTTTGGCTTTGTTGCCTTTCTCCATGAAACTTTCTCGTGTTACTGTGGACTGGATGTTTGAAATGTATACTTGAAAAATGCCGATTTTATGAATACTGAGCACACAGAAGAGGGAGGGGGAAGAGGCATACAAGGTACATGCAGGAGCAAAAGGAGAAGTGAAGGTCTGAAAGTTTTTCATGCAGAAGAACTGTGCCTCCTTTCATCCATTCTCTTGCTCACACAGGTGTAAGTCAGGTTACTGCTGCTGTTACACATGCTGTTATCCATTACACAAAAGCTGTGCCTTGCTTTGAAAGGATTGCAACCTCTTTGGAATAGGGTTCTCCTCTGCAGATCTCAGCCCCCAGCTCAGCTTAAATTTCTGAGTGTACTCAGTAGCAGCTGAAAGTTAGGTTTCATTGCAACTACTAGCAGATAGAAGCCCATATCTGATACTGCATTCTCTGAATTGTTTCTGAGTAGAAACAATTCTATTTTAATACTCTTTCTAGTCAAATATTTTGAGGTGTTTTGAAAAGGCAGAGAGTACTTCAGTAATTGTATGGCTTTCTTCACTGCCATATTGCTACTGTCATTTTTCACTGCCCTCCAGAATGGCTTACGTACCAAATCCATACCCAATTAAATTCTTCCTTTTAAAATTAGCATAAGTATGCAGAAAAGAAGAAATAAAAAGGTAAACAATGGTTTAATTAAAAAAGAAAAAGAATTAAGAGTATTTCAGTATTTTACCTGCAAATAACTAGATTTTGCATATTCAGAGCAGTACTGTCAGTATATCTGAAATTAAATTTAAAGTTTCTCTTCCTTTTCAACTGGATACATCAAGCTTTACATGAGTTAAGACATCTGGGCTTCTGTTGTTTACGAGCATCTCCAAGCTGCTCTACCCTGATCTAAGTAAGGAAAGTGCTGGATTTCAATACCAATAGTCCTGCATTGCAAGGAGCTAAGGTGTTCTAACTCCTGAAATCAGCTTGGCCTCAAACACAGCTGGCAGAATTATTTACAAAATAAGCAGTTTGAACTTTTTAACTGTTTTTTTATTTGAATACTACAGTCTCTATTTTTTTCAAGGCAGCTGTCCTCGTGCTTTTCTACCTTATTGTTTCTTTGTGTGGTTTTAAAATACAACACTTGGTATTTCCTTACCTAAGGACTTGAAAACCTCTGGGCTAGCATACTTGCCATCAAAGTAGACTGTGTTGTTCTGGGAGTCAAAGGCACGGCACATTCTGATGAACACAACCTCTAAAGACCCTAAAACAGAAACAATGTATGTTTGACTATTTAAGTAGAGAGACTTCAGTTGCAAGAAGTGAGATAAAAGTTCCCTAGTGCTCTGCTCTGCTGAAGCACAGACTGACTAGGGCAGTAGGTTTCTGTGGTATAACAAAGAATAATTTGATTTTACAGTGTAATTATTTCCCATAAACTCCTTTACAAGTTTTTGCTAAAGTAACTTAGTTAATGCTAATAAATATTTTTATTAGGATAATGAAGTCTCTGAAGTCAAAGCAGTTCATTTAGATCTTTACTCATGAAGCTCTGACAGCTTTGTTCAATATTTGTAAACTGCATTCCTTCTAAAGTATCTTGCATAGAACAATCTGGACTTTAACTTGAAATATATTATTCACTATTCATACGCCTAATAAAGAAAACCTGAATCCAATGTTTTCATTCTTTCACACTTAATTGCTCCTGTAGTTCACAATGAAAATTTCATATGCAGACTTGAACTTATCATAGAATCACAGAATGGTCTGAGGTGGAAGAGATCATAAAGATCATCAAGTTCCAGCCTCCCTGCCACGAGCAAGGACACTTTCCATTAGGTGGAACGTGTTGCATCCAGAGAAACTAAGAAAGTGTATTACTTCAAACAAAGACATAGAGGTTTCTTTATTTTATTATTTTAAATCACCATTCAACATATGTATATATATACTTATATATATACATAATCACTCTATATAGGTAGCACTGTCCTCAGTCAAAACTAATAGAAGTAGACCTTAAAATTCACCCACATACCTGCTTTTAAAAGCACAATTTGATCATTTTGACACAGCTCCATAAAGCCATCAATGCGTTTGGCAAATTCCACTACATACTGTATAGCTTCTGTTATTTTGACTGCGCATAATTGCCACATTACCTCCCTTTGCTGTTTGAGAGAGAAGAAAAATTGAAAAGTTACTAATTAAAGTTTGGAAAGCTCATTGTCATAAAATAAGACTTAGCTCAAAAACTAAGCAGAGCAAATGCTCTTCAGCAGTCCTGGCTACAGTCTGCTTGTACGAAAAGGGCCGTTAGTCTCAAAGACAAAGCCTCATGAGGATGAGTGAAAATGCAAGCATGTAGAACTTCTTCAGTGATGGCAGAGAGATCCAGGTTGCATATTTTTATGTCATAAGCCAAAAAAATCTAAGTATAATGATGCTGGTGATTTCAGTGGTAATTCTACTTACTGCATCGAGAGAAAATACCAACTTATGCTAGCAGTGCACAATCACATTTTTCCTATCAACCTCTCTTTTTTGTCCTGAATGTAAATTATCTAACAAGCTGGTCTTCATAAGGATACATATAAAGTATACATATATGAAGATCATCTTGTTAATAACAAAGAAGGCATGCAATTAGTGTTCTTCTCAGATGTTAATAATAATTCAGAATGAGAGTACCTAACAAGTGGAAAAAATATTCTTAAAGGTTAAGTAATTTTCTTTTGGTGGAAATGAAAAAAAAATATTCAGAAGTGTGCTTTAATAGTGCTTCTCAAGATAGTTTTCCAAAAGTAGCCACTTGGCAGTAGTGCGTGGATGGAAGGCACAATGGAAATACAAGCACTGAATAAATCGTGTAGTACCTACTGGAGGCATGGCAGCGCTCTGCTGCTGTTCTACAGGTGAAACTGAAACACTGTGACAACTGTAGAATGAATCAGGGATACAACCAGGCACCGAAGGCAGGAAATCTGAGTTCTGAGTTTTTAATATCAAAACAAAATGCACCATGCAAAATTATAAAGTGTCAAACAAGCCAATGGCTTTTTGACTGGCTCCTATTCAGGTTTTCAATTACCAGATAGGAATGGAAACAAAGTAAGACTGATGCATGTCCTGGTATTGATCAGTATTTCACAGGTCAGCTGTAAAGGACTCTACAGTTACAACCTGGTGCTTCAAACTAGTTTGCTGTTGCTGTTGTTGTTGGGGGAGGGGGGAAGTGGGAATGATTAGGGAGATTACAGTGTAACAACAGTAAATAACATGCCATGTTGGAGTGAAAAAAAGTTCTCTAGTTTCTTATCCAATTTTATCAATTACAGACAAATATATTTCCAGAGCTTTACATTTCCTCATATTTATGGTTAAAATCATAAATGCAAAATCACAAACCAAATTGCAACCATCCTGCTCATCTTGATTCTAGCATGTTTTTTGTTTCATTTTTGTCCTGAAAACACACATAAATGTATATTCCTGATAGTGAACAGAAAGCAGTGAAAAAGTGAATTTTGCAGCGTGTTATGGAAATACCATGCTTTAAAAAAGCATGCCACTGTTTGGCATGCTTTTATACCTTGTTCTGATAGTTCTCAATTTCTTCCTGCAGAAAAGTCTGCCATGTTATCTGCTGTAGCTCCTCTCTCAAGTACTGGCAAGTTTCCATGTGAGACTTGGAAATATTCTGTGCAAGATGTTCTAAAAGAAAGACCAGAAAGTTACACACATTAAAAATGAAAAGCTATACCTTCAGACATGAGAAAATGAACATATTCCAGTTGCAACTGGGAGCCACAGGAAAGCTTAGGTGTTAGAAGAAATGCTTTAATTTAATATCTCCTTGGATTTTTTTTTCCTTAAAAATAAATTAATGCAAACTGCTAATACTGCAGTAAACAAAACAATTCTGGATCTTAACATACCTTGCCTAGCTCGTAATGGGCCCAGTGCAGCCATTAGAGGGCACTCTGTACACACACACACACTCACTCTCACAATGCAGCTCTGAGATTTTAATAGTTACACAAAGCAGAATCCTTTCACTAGTTTGTAAGATGCTTTGGTGAACTTTAATTTATTTTTGAATGAAGAATACTGTATCTGGGACAAACTTACTTCCTGGATGGCAGTTTCTTCAAAAGAAAGCTTGCAAGATAAAAAAGCTTGAGAGATAAAGTCAAAACTCAGTGAAACCTGGGATCATTCAAGCTGCTGTAAACTCAGTAAGTGGTCTTGCTGCTTTTAGTTAAAAAAAAAAAAAAAAAAAAAAAAAAGCCAGCTTTGAAACCTGGGCTCAGAATTATGCTATGAATTAATATTCAGTCTTAAAAGTCTTTTATTTTTCTTTGTATGTGTCTCGTCTCATATTTTGGCACACGACAAGTAGACTTGTCTCTGCAGTTGGTACTTCTGCAGATTAGACCACCACTGAAAGGGAAAGCTTAAAGCCACAAGTGCAGGATCCTGCATCTGAGTGGGGGCAATCCCAAAACATCAGTTCAGACTGGGTGATGAGTGGAGTTGAGAGCAGCCCTGCAGAGAAAGAGGTGGGCGTAGCGGGCAGATAAGGGACTCTATCTGGGAGTGACAGGACAAGGGGTAATGACTTTAAACTAAAAAGAGGATAGGTTTAGATTAGATATTAGGAAGAAACTGTGGATGCCCCGTCCCTAGAAGTGCTCAAGGCCAAGCTGGATGGAGTTTTGAGCACCCTGATCTAGTGGGTGGTGTCCCACTACTTGTGGAAGCTGAGTAAGACTGGTGATCACGAACATGGGTGTATAGCACTGAAGTGCAATATTTGTTTACCAGTGTGTACTTAAACATTTATTTTTCTCACTGTCAGCATCTGACAGCATTATTCCTTTGCCCTTGAAGGATACAGAAAGTAAAATATTACCATGTTATTCACTAACCTCAGCCTCAGTTCTGGACTGTATTTAAGCACACACACTTAAATACTTTCATTGAACAGCCCCACCTTCCTAAATTGAAACCTCAGTCTAGCAGACAAACATTCTTCAGAGGCTGTTTGGCAATGTCAATGCTGGGCACCCAAATCACGTTCCATAGGGTTTAAATGCAAGCACTGTGTAAATGAGGGTAAGGAATATGACAAACTTATCTTACACTAGTGCTCCAGACTGAATACCTGGCCTAAGAAGGAGAAGCCTTCTCTTTTTTTCTGTACTATTAATGTTCATCTTTTAGTAATTCCCATGAGAATATTAACAATCACTTATTGAGACAAAACTGTAAGCGTAGCTTTTATCTTATTTTTTTTTCTTTTCGGTTTTACTTCATCTGTTACTGAAGGTATTTGAACTCAAGTGAGATGCAATGTTTTTGGCTGTCACAACATATACTATTGCAGAGAACTGCATTCTGCAACATAAGGACATGAAAAATCTTGTCCCTTCCTCTCTGCAAAAATTCTCAAAAGGAACATAAACTAAAGCAGAATTTCTCATCAAATACCTGCCTCTAATTAAAACCAACAACAAAAGAGACAAACTTTATCTTGAAATAGACAATTTTTCAATTTTTAGGTTGTTTTAATAATGAAATATGTAGCCAAAAAATGTCATTTAAGCAAAACAAATGTTTTAAACTCCTGATTGCTTATATAAATACTAGAATCTTAAAGCCATTTCTCTTACGTCCTGTTTCAGTTTGCTTATGACCACTTGACACAGTGCTCTCTAACTTAAGACCCGGATGCTAACAAGTCCTCGTAATGGAATTCAGCCTTCCTATAATCACTGAGGGAAAGGTTTAAAGAAAAATGTGCTAATTAATGTGGTCATTATATGGATCTTAGGGAAGCTGTCAAAACATGCTACATGGAAATTTTTTCTCAAGTCTGGAGCTAGATTCTCTTCAGCCACTGGAAAGGCGAACTGCCCTCCGATTAGACCGATGTTTTGGTTCCACATTCCCCAGGTACAGATAAAGAGCAGAAAAAGATAGTCCACGTAACTTTTTGTTAAGAAACAGAGAATTAAGCTAATAAAAAAAGATTAAATGTTAAAAAAAAAATCATAAATAAAGAAATATTCCATTTCCTCAGCACAACAGATTATCTTGTTAATAAGTATTCAGAACATTCTATTATATGAACTGAAAACAAAAGCAACGTTACTAGACCTGATCTAGTACAAGCTTATGTGACTTCTAGTCCACTTCTGTAATGTGTTCAACCACGTACCACAATTAATTAGGGTATTGTGCACTTCACAGAAGAATGCCCATACATGCTCACAGCTGTTTTGAAGCAGCATTCTCGCTATCACCTGGCTAAATGTGTCAGTTTAATCCAAGGGGTACTATCAAGACAATTACAATGGAAGTTTTTCTCTCTCATTACCTAATTCTGCCATGGACACAGTTGGAGAGGTCTCCCCATTTGTAAAAGAACAATAAGGGAAGAAGCCCGATGCTGGTGTGTAGTCACATATTGGTTCTGGTTTGATTCCATTAATATCAAGACCCGACTGATCTGGAGAAGGTTGTATGTCTAAGTAGAAGCTGCTAACTGCAGAGTCTGCTTTGCTACCTTCAGGGGTATGCCCATCAATGTAATTACTGAGGTCGTCGTGTAGCTCTGTTAACCCATTGGTGGTGATATTGTACGTTGGTGTTAGTGGTTCTGCCTCTCCTGGCTGCTGCTGATGATCTCGCTGCTGCTGCTGCATTCGATGTTTCTGCACCTCCGCATACAGGCTGTCCCTCTGCTTTTTTGACATTCGACCAAACTTCACAGCTGAAATGCAAAAACAAAACGTTTCATTTCTATTACTCCAGTAGTGAATTTTGTCTTGGGTCTTTAATACTACACTGAAGGGCAGAATATAAAATGTAAATCAGCAAAATGGGTAGACCTAAGAATCGTTCCTGTCAATTACAGGTAACACAGCAGCATCACGTACTCTTTCCATGTACTTAGCATGCTACTGAAGACGACCGTTTGAAGTTACTATTTCAGCTTAATTCATTAGCTTTCCACTTCTGTGCCTAAAAGATTTTCTTTTATATCCACTGTATTGACTGTGCATATCTTGTGCATTCAAATCCCACCTAGGAAAGAGGAGAGATGAACTGTTCAATTACTACCAGCTGCATATTCATAATTCCTAAGAGTTCCTAAGAATACATTACACGATTTCTGGGACCAGTGTCAGCTGTAAAAGCCTCATAGTTTAAGAAGATGGCTTGCACCTTATATTCTTTTACAGAAAAGCAAACATACTCCAGGAACTAGTCATTACTAGTACTAGTCAGTACCGTTTCAGGTTTTTAGTTTCATGCCCAATAAAAAAATAAGACCATGTAATTTACGAAGTAAATGTAACCTGAAAACTTATCTCCTTCTTCAGGCCTCAGGTATGCATACAACATGCAACACTGCTGTCAAATACAGGCAAGAACACTTGAATTCAACCTTCAAATTGGGTAAGTGATGGCAACTTCATTACATCTTTGGAGGAGGTATACTGATATCAGCTGCAAATCCAGTTCTAATAAGAGTTCTATACGCTTCCATTTTACTGATAGGTGGATTTTGTCATTACACTAGGCATAACTTTGAGCTCAATATTAATAGCACTGGAACACACTTTCTTCAGAAATCTATCATTGACAAAAAAGCATACCACAGCATGGGCTTGAAAAAACACTTATTTTCTCTTTGTATTTTTTCCATTATTCATTTTATACACATTTAACTTCTGTGTAAACTGTTAAACAGTTCCGGTCCCTATCAATATAGCGATGTTACTTGCAGCTACAGGATGTCACAAATTGGAAGGAATACAGAGAGGAAGTATTAACATCAGAATAGAAACTGCATCTTCAAGTGACCAAAGACAAAGCACTCAGCTGTGAACTACAACAGAGGAGCAGAAAACCAACCAACAGGAACTTCATACATCCCCTAATTTATATGTATTTATCTAAATATTCAACACAAAAACCACTCTGATCTCAACAATCAGCTTGATGCACAGTAACTTTTAAATCCTTTGTTATTTCAGGTGAATACACAGTATACTCAGTATTGTTTTACTTTTTCTTTTTGCATTTAAACTGGGATTTAGCAGAGCTTACCATCTCGAGACATCCCCACAGCAAGGCATTTCTGTAATCGACAGTGTTGGCAGCGGTTTCTACTGGTTCGGTCAATCAAACAGTTCTTCTGACGAGGACAGGAGTACGTAGCATTGCTTTGCTGACTCCTTCTGAAAAAGCCCTGTGATTGCATTGCAAAGTACAAGTCAAGAAGCTGTTAACTAATGGAGCGAATAAAAACTCTGAGAGGTAGCATACCTAACTGGAAATGAAGTTCAAGTGCACTATAGTCACTAAAGGAAGTTAAGAGGTTTTTTTTTTCCCTGGAAACAAACAAAAACCAGTAAAGAGTAGGAAACAATAAAATGATGTTATGGCATATAAAGAAATTGCACATTTCTTCACTGATTTTTACAGATTCTATGTAATGTACGGCACACTGATTATTTCCAAATGGGGTAATTATAAACCTAGGTTTCCTTATCATTTCTTGGTCAGCGTGGATATCCAAAACAAGAAGGATTCAACAGCTAGTTAGTTCAACCTGATACACTTTTCTGCTCTTAGAGATGACAGTAGCAGGCTCTGATGTTCAGTCTCACCAGTGTATGTACGAGCTGAAAAATACACATGATACTGAACAGTTCCCTCTATAAAGAATAAGATATATATATTTTTAATAGTTCAATGCTGACAACTGAGTTTTCATTCAACTCAGGGCAGGGTTTAGATTTGTAAGAGGATAAGGGGGAAGCTGAAACAAGTTCTATGTACTTGTTTTCCTTTTGAGTCAACTAGAATGGAAAACCCTTCCCCAAAGAAAAATTAACGCTGGAAGGCTGAGCAGTAGATACAACTTAGTTCTCTCCACCAGAATGTGCTCATTATTAATCACTATGCCAGCTGCTTGTTTTGAAGTTTATTTCATCTTTTTGCCACAGACTGCCCAAACATAAGCTGGTGTGTGTAATACCTACTTCACAAGGATTCTGGGAAGGTGTAGTCATTCTAAAGAGGCATCTGAGATCAGTGAGCACGGTGTTTTAGTTTTATGTTGCCACATAATGGATTAATTAACACTGCTGCAAAGAAAATACCTCCTCAGAAAGGCTGGGCACCCTTTAATTAAAGTTGGACTTTTACCAATCTTCTGTTTATTTAAAGACCGTATTCTGGAGTCCCTCAGCACATGCACACTCTGTCCAGACACTTGGTGATATAAACAAGAAGGACTTCTGCATGACAAGTAAGAGACTACCTAGCAAATTTCCTGCAGACAGGAGAATGACAAAATGCTGAGTTAAAGCCATATGCTCCATATTTTGAGGAGGGAAAAAAATCTTCATCGGTTAAGCTTTAATGGTCAAAGGTGAAGTATAAAAAAAGGTCTTGGTTTCTATCTGATCTTCAACTAATGTCTGTCAATAGAGAGGTGGTAAGTCACTTAGACTGAGAGCAGTGCACATACTGAGCTCTCAGTGCATTTCTTAAAGAAAACCTAAAATACCAAGGAAATTTCTAGGTATCATTCCAACATGATTGATCCCTCTGGAGGAACCAGGTCTTAGATAAGTAGACAGCTTAATTTCCAGTTCTGTTCACATCTTTTGTGGAGCCTGTCACTCCAGTGCATGCAAGGACAATGCAATTCACTGGAAAAACAGGATTAAGTATCAGCATGAGCAATGATTTACTGATCAAGGTTCTGCATCTCTGCATTATCAGTCCCTTACGATACTCAGTTCTCTCAACACTTCACCAGTTGCCCTGAATGACGTGCTCATTGATGAATGACTGCATTACATCGTCTGCCACCGCTGAGATCCTGTAAGTCAGCTTTATCAATATCTAAGCTGAAACTGGCCCAATAACCTCAACTATCCCTCCGTTTTCTTTTTACTGGGACCTGTACTGTGTCTGTATTGCCAATTAGGCCTATTTCTCTCTATTAAGAATATTCCTGTCAAACAGGATTATTTTTAGTATCATAATGGAGAAAATACTGAGCTTTTTGCTTCTTCCAGGTTTTCCCTAGGGACATAGCTGCTCAATACATTTTAGTGTACAATGTATCAGCGAAGTTACAGCTCCAAGCTGAGTTTTCAGTAGAGCAGAGCTGCCTGAAACTGGGGCCTTTAAAAACTCTTCAATTTCACAAATCAGAGATGGAGGTAAGTGCTTTTAAAGACAAACCACGCAGTATTAGTGGGCATGCTGAAAACATCAGTACTACCTAAAGCAGAAAAAGCTTGCCTCAAATCTCAGAAGTGAATCTGAACTCTTCTAGAGCTCAGAAATATTTTGAGATTTGGGATGGCAGTAACAATAAGGTTAAACTTCATTCAAATGAAGGCTTTTAATCACAAAAAAATTTCGATGTTGTTGACATTTACCTGTGATTTTTCTAACCTTTTGGTGGTCCTTGGTATCTCACATCATTCTGAAAATACGTGGCGAAGCCCCTTCTTACAGGTGCCTTTGGTGAGTAAATACAGTTTCCCTACTAGTTGCTTTTTTTTCTTCTATTAGGTGAAGGAGAGACACTGTACTGTGTTGTTGTGCTATTTTTTCCCCTTTGCCAGAGGCACAGAGCTAGCTGTAATTTTTCCATCAGGAAGGAGGAGGTGTATGCATGTGTGGTACACGTGCATACATTCAATCATTATGCAAACCAGCCAGAGCCACATACTCTTAATTGCATGCATGTTCAGAACAACCATCATTTGACATTCATCCAATTGCATAATGGGCCACAGGCAGATTGGACCCCTCTTGATCAAACAGACCAACAAAACTGTTCCTGCACTAAAAGATGTCACCATGTTACACTGCTCTCTGACTGATGGCATGGCTTGAGCCAAGGTCCCTGGTATCAGTGTGTTTGTGAGTGTGTGGAGCCCTGCCGCCTTCTGATGTCAGGATGAAGAGGCAGCTGATTTTGATGAGGCGTCATTGAGCTTTGCCCATCTCCCTTTTTATGTTGCTGTATTAACACAGTGCCAGAAGAAGTGAAGAGCAGATTACAAGCCATCTCTACATTTCAGACTCCTATTTATATACAAAACAATATATGGTTTTTCATATGCTGCCAAAAAATCAAGTTTGGAAAAAAAGGGCGCAAGAACTTTTCATCTGCAAGTCAGTTTGAATAACAACTTGTTAAAAAAGAACTTTGAAATGTAAATAGCAGTTCTCACAGTCTATTAATAGTTCCAGTCGCTTTACTGTTCAATGGCTCTGTACTACAGACGTCTGTGTCTAAGCTTCCTGCTTCCAAGGGGAAAAATCCTGTTGTGATTCTCTGATGTCACAAATTTCACCACACAGACTCCTTCTCCAGTGCAGCATGGGTTGAAATGCTGATCTCATGTTTGGTCTTTTGACAAATTTTCATTTAATGAATTGATTCCTACAGTTCATTAAAATACCCACTTCCATTTCTGTATACACATATGTCTTAATTAGCTGCTCATTGGCTGTTTAATTACAAGAAAACAGCTGACAGCTGCCTTGCTGCATCCTAATGGCAGACGTTTTGGAATGACTGTAAGCAAGCCTGTGACAAAAAAGACTTATTCATAATCCCATGATTTATGGCTAATACTTAAAGTCTTCCACGTATCATTAAGTTTTGCAATATTCTGAGCAATTAACAATTAGTTGGGAGGGTTCGTTTTTCTATAGCAAACTACATCCAATTTTCTTCAAAGAAGCATCAGAAAAATATACTTTTGAATGTAAGAAATGTAAATACTCAGAGTGGATTTTAACCCTTTTATGACAACAAACATGGTTTTAGTTACAGGGGAAAAGAATACTGTGAAAATATTTTAAAATGAACTGTTAATAAAGTATTTGCTAATCAAGTTATAGCACCACTGAAAACAGACAAAAACATTCAGTTTTACCTACATAATAAATCCAGGAAATAGATTTTGTTTACCAGGTTATAAAAGGCTTACGAGCCCTTTTTGTAACATAGCTGATGAATTTTCTGAGACTTTTTATTTGAAACTGGTTAGGCAAAAAATTTAAAAATTTCAACAGCATGAATTAGAGGTGCATGTTTACAACACCACTGTGACACTCTGCGTTCAGTAACGAAAAATCAACCACTACACAAAGTGGATGTCTCACTGGAAAAAGAAACGCAAGATGGGAAATGATACCAAGTACGGTTTTCTGAAGTAACAAATAGGGATGATCCTTGTATTTGCAATGAACACCATTGCTTGATGTCTAAAAAGATACAGGAGACAGAAGCTAGGAGTTACAAATCTTTGAAAGTAACAGAGATGCTCAGCAGTGTCCTGCATGGATGGTTTTGAGATCAACTGCAGGCATTTAAGGAGAGGTGTCATACTAATACAATTGGGGGTCATTTGAGCATGAACTGTTGCCGTTGACAGAAAAATCAAGTAAACTGCATCTGCAATTTGAAGACAGTTCACTGACAAAATATTTGTTTCAAAGTAAACGCTCTGCTGTGCCCTTTTGAAACATTCAAGTGTTTGCTGACATCAATTTCTCCTTGTAGCGTCAAAGATGCTGTTGATATCTCTCTTAAAAAATTTGTAAGAAAGATGCATTTACTGATCTGTACAACTGTTTCAGTTCTGTCTAATTCTTCACAACATGTCAAACAATATCTACTGCCAGGGGGCAAGGGAGCAGAAGGGAGGCACTATGCACAGTTAATGGCCAGAGGCCAGAACTTAAATAAATAAATCAATTAATCTGATAACAGGTCAATAGGCCAATATGAAGCAGAAAACACTGAGCAGAACCTTTAGTGTGATAAATGAGCATGGCTGTATACAGACCAGTCTCTTCTCTCACCATAGTGCCTAACACAGAGCAAATGAGTTCCTCCAACAGCTGAACAAGTGCTCCATACAGATTTTAGTTTTTTCAGTAGTGCTACTACAGTACTTCTACTTTCAATATTAAATATGGGAATAAACTGTTATTTCTGAGTTATGCAACAGGGAGGCATTCTTCACCTGTGTTTCTAAGTTAGGTATTAAACGACTCCTCTTCATCTCTGTTGTGTGACATATATTGGATATCAGCAATGGTCAGATAGGAAAGTCTTTCAAAATTTTCTTTATTTAGCATAAGCTCTCCACAGGAGCTCTCCTAGCTCTAGTATAAAACAGAGCTTGGCTACCAACTTCATTTTTCAGTTAGGGGAGAAAAAGGGGTGGCAATATTATTATTATTATTTTTTATGCAGATTCAAATCAGACAAATAGACTGATTGGTTGGGAGTACTCAGTGACTTTTGTGTAAAACATAGTCAATAACATCATAGAAACAGCCAGTAATCTCATAGCAAGCTAGGAAATTAAAACTTCCAAAAAACACTAATTAACTTCAATAAATGTCTTCAACTCTTGTGTATGAAATGAAACATAGCAAGAAAAACTGGTTTGAAAACTTTGTTATATAAAATGGAAGGGCTAAAATATTGCAGGACAATAAATGGGATCAGCAGAAATCACTTTAACCTGAGCTGTTCTGTGATTCCATACATGACACAGATTAAGTTTGCAAAGTACATCTTTACAACTAAAGCTTTATATTTTAAATGAATTATGTTGCTGATAGTTATTAGTATTTAAACAATAGTATTTAAGTTAAATTTGCTATTAACAAACATTAACATTCACACTGAAAGGGAATGAAAAACAGTAAGGGAGCTGAAAAAATCCCACCTTGCTGCTGCTTTGCTGCCTGTAGGTCATCCCTGACAGGCCTGGCTTGAGAGGGCAGCAGCACAGCTGTTCCCTTGTGATGATTAAGGCCCTGATCCTGCAATCTGATGCACGCAGATAGGTTTGTACATCTGTGCAGAACCTCACTGACTTCTCTGGGTCTATCCACGGAGGAAGAAGTTGACTCCAGCAATCAGTGTAGGGCTGGGAACTAGCTCTTCATAACAAAGTAGTTTTTATGAAAGAAGGTTTAACATAACATGAAAAGCAATTGTAAGCATGCTCAAACCTGCAGCAATCATAGCCACAGAAAACCTGGGAAATGCATTTCAGGGGGAAAAAAACAACACAAAAAACCAACAACAAAAACAAAAAAAACTCCAGACCAATAAACACCTGGCTCATTTGGCAGAAGCCACGTTATGCCAACTTTTTCACCAGCCAAAATAGTTCTGCTGGGTGAGACTTTGTTGACATTACTGTGGAATTGCTTAGCACAAACAAAATCCATCTGCTACACTAGGGTATTTTAAATGCTTCTGACCACTATCTTGTAAACTCTTCCTGTCACTTGTCCCTACTAGAGCTCCCTTATCTTTCCCTACTTCCAGGATCTGGCAGTAAAGAATAGTGAGCTTCAGATTTATTTGCCTTCTAGAAGGGAAATAAATAAGTTTATATCCATTGGCTTTGAAATGCTGCTTGAAATTGTATGGCTATTCTGCTACTGCAAGAGAAGGAGAAAATGCCTAACTTCATTCTGGCTTTTTTATTCACGCATACACCGCTTTCAAAGTTCGAATAGGTTCCAGTGTGCTTCATTTCAGCTGAGCAGACTTGCTTGTTCGTCCCCCCTTCTGCCCCTTCACACCAGCTGATCATTCTGGAGCAAACGGCGGGCTGCACAGACCTCCAGAGAGCTCAATTTATATGGAGTTTGAAGGAATACTGTTTGTTCTAATATGTAAGGAATTCCATATGCATTTCTCACTACCAGCTAGCATCCCTTATTCTGGCTGTTGGGAGGCACAAAAAAGACTCTTCTTCTAATAACTCATGTTTGCATTATTCCTGGGAAACCAGTCACTCAGATGGAGAAATAGATATTTCTCTCACAGCTGCAGTGCTAAGCTCTTACCATTTACACACTAACTAATGTCACTGTGAATATGGTTTGTGCTGCTGCTGTTTGTGGTCATCCTGCTGCTTTTGTTGGGGGCTTTTCTCACATACAGGGCTTAAGAGAAGGCAATGCCAAAGACATGCATTAAGATGAAGCAAAAGGTAATATAGTTGGCAACTTTCCTTCCCTTCAGCAGACTGTTCCTGTTCTGCAGCAAGCCATGTTGAGAAAGCCCTGTTTTCTGTACAGACGAGCGTTAGCATTATGCTAACCTCAGTCTGTTGACAGTGATGCTCATCAGGGATCTTGAGGCAGTCTTTCAGGTATACTGGTCCAGACCATTTAAAGATTAAAGGGTCTTGAACACTGAACGTAACGTCATAGTCTTCTATTCATACAGCTCAACTGCCCCTGTAAATGTCTGCCGCTTTGCAAAGTTGATGTGTGATAAATGATGTTGAACTAACTGCAAGAAACTTTATTATCAAATGCACTTTTAGTGGATTTCCTAAATTTTTCCATAGCAACAGCTGTCAAAAAGGCATGATGTGCAGTCCTGCATCATTTTAACACTCTGGGGAGTTTTTCTTCCTTTTTACCAATACTTCCATGAGACTGAGAGAATGTGAGAACAAAAACATTAAAATCTTCCATAAAAAAGAAAAGAGAAATTGCTACATAGATTAAAGATAATATCAAGCATGTCAGGAGAGCACACTAAAACCTAACATAAATATAATTTCTGAAATGTAGATTATTAGTAGAAAACCTATCAGCATGGGACTCCTACACATACTTGCATTAAGAAAGCAGCAAGCTACAGCACAGCTGTACAAACTGTCATTCCCAAGCTAGTGCTGTAACTCTGTACTAGTAACAGAAAGCAATGATTGGCTTCACAGCACTCTGGACTAATGCAAGCACTGTCTGATACAGTTCTTGGTTGTGAGGGACAAACCATACCAAGCAAAACATACGTGCTCATAATGTAATCCTTTTTCACTACAGCTTCTAAAGGTACAAATCCAGAAAAAAAAATAATCTTAAACCTTAACATAACAGTGAGCTACGCTGCAAGAAATAAGCACTGCTCACAGTGCTTTGAACATACATGTTTAACACCTGTAGCAAGTGGAATTTGCACAACAGCATCTTCCATGCAAAACAGAATAGATTTTTAACTGTAGCAGGCTGCAGAAGAAAACCAAGAAGTCAGAGAGCTCTCACCATAGCTATTTCAACACAGATACGCAGCAATTTACAAAGCAAAAAATGGAGAGGGAGAATCAAGAAAACCACAACTCCCTCTCAAGGGCATCTGCAGAACAGATTATTTGAGATATGCTAGAACTGGTTCATCTTTTTATGCTACTTAAGCTTTTACTGCTTCTTCATAGAGAGACAGTTTAGAGCACATGCAGCAAAACTGCATGATTTTTTAAGCCTGTCTCTGGGGAGAAGGTGTGTCACAAAAATGCCTCTTAATAACCCAAATGAAAACAGTACTTCAGACTCACCAATTGATTTCATATTCTTTGAAATGAAATCTACTGATTCAATTTCCAAGTAATAGTTGCTCTTTAAAAAAGGAAGGAAAATAATCACTATTCAAAGGCCAAGCACTCTTTCAAAACTTATTTTTTTAGATCCTTACCTTGCAGCCTTCACATGTAATGACACCATAATGGATTCCTGATGATTTGTCTCCACAGATCTTGCATGGAATAATTTCAATTTGAGCTGCAACAGAAGCACACAACCAGTTAATTACATTTTCTTTTAAACACCTTATAAAAGCATTCCCTGATCAGCATTTGTACAGTGAAAACTAATAACCTGCTAAACATTATACTGCATTAACTATTCATTGCTGAACTCCAAGGGTCCCCTAGAGCTTTGGACTAAATTATGGCTGCTCATTATATAATAGCTTTTGGGTTATTAAAATGGGTCATTTGAGAAGGTGTTTAAGAACCCACAAGAAGGCTGGAATCAGCATTTCAAAGCCAAAAAGAGTCGGAGAGTTCACATTTTGGCCAAAGAGCTGGGAAGACACGAGTGGTTTCTTCCAGTCTTAACTCTGGCTGTAGCAGGTCACTTTCAAGTTTGTCCTTCCTGAAAATGAAAGTAACTTCTTTACCAGAGAAGACTTGATCATGCCATCCAGCTCACATGACTGGCCAACACAAAAGAGAAGCACCACGGTAAATAGTAACTGTATTTTACACAAGAATTCCAAAATTCAAATAGCTACACTGAATAATCAGTATGCATTTGTATATTAGCTCCCACAGAGCAAATGGGGGCAAAAACACAGCAGTACTCTATTCAAAACACAGGAAACAAATGAAATGACTTTGTCTTGAAAACGCCATAGAAAGACATGATAGGAAAGCTCTGATTTTTATTTTTTCCAGATTTCATATATATATGTAGCATATGTGATATGCTACGTAATACAGCATATGTAATTCGGTTTACTGTGTGATAAAACTCTTTGTATGTATGTCTAAATCACAACTCCTCAGGAATATCTCTTCAGCTGCTTGTTCAGCACATCACTGAAGTCATTTTGCAAGCCAAGTATCTTTTATATAGCATCATACCAAGGCATTAGTTTATAATACCGAAGACCAACAGTCAACATTTTACCTATGCTTGCATGTGCTCTCACAAGCATACAGAGCGTACATACCACGTAGATAACAGAATCCTAAGAATGCACTTCCTGTCTTGCAACTGTGTTGGGTTGGGCTATATTAATTTTCCTGAACCAGATTACACTGAAAAGGAATACAAACACAACTCTAGCTATGTTTCTAGCTGTGTGATTTATTAAACATCAGAAGTGCAGTTAATCTCCTGCGAGGAACTGAAATCCATTCTCAAGATGCTTGATTGCCTCAGAGAGCCTTTATTTCATCCAGTTTATGGTTATCCAGACTGTGACAACACATAAAATCACATCTAAGATAATGCATTAGCTTAGCCTTGCTGTACTCTCAACAAGGCATTCAAAAAGTCATGTCCACTCTTTGAAACACTGTATTTTACATGCCATTAAATCCCTAACCAACTGCTTGTTGTTAACAAGAATCATCTTATTATAACAAGAATAATCTCCTAGTACTTCTCTGTGCTTCACTTCACTGCAGCACAACACCATAGCTCCAGGTCAGGCCAAATCAGAAGACTGCACAGCACTGACTGTGCTAAAACACTACTTCAGAATATTCTCCAGACTGCATCAAATGCAGTGAACAGATCACCTAAGTAGAAGAAACCCATTTGTTCCTAAGAACCTAATAGCATCTGAAATGCTCTGCTGAGGAAAGCAGTACCCAACAGCCAAGGGACTACGGTGTTGTTTGCCTGGTATTTTCATATCAGCAGCTTTCAAAATATTTTTGCAGTACAAGACCCCACTCCACTCACATCTGCTTCCGTCATAAAGATTTTTGCATTCTTGACATTGAATCCCACACCCTCCTTGCAGCGACAAAACAAAAGGCTGAGATTAAAATGTCTGTTTAGGATACTTAAGTAAACAAATACTTCTGCCTTGCAGTCCTCCAAAAAGTGTTTTCATTTCACCTTGCTCTCAGCTAACACATTAAATAACATGAAGCAGGAAGTGAAATAATAAGAGGGTGAAAAAAAAAGTGTAAGTTATTTTATTAATTTGTTCCATGCATTAATTATTAGTAGTGCATCATACGTTTACAAACAGGTCTTATGAGCAGAAAGGGGAGTATAACTCCTCTTCCCTCACTTAACACTTAACATCACATTACCAAATTGAGTAACAGACTGAAATTCACTGAAGTTCAAAATTTGTGCAATGTAAAGTTCAGATTCAAAGAGAAATCCCATGGGTAGGCTCTGGAATAGATCTGTTGATTCCCAGTTATGCTTATTCAATCTCTGTTTTTCTACTCTGCTACAGGAAATCACTGGCCTTCTCCAACTCCACTGACAGCACAGTAGTGATAAAGCTCACCTGGACAGCTACATGGTAATATATTTGTTCACAATTCGCTTTTATATACATAATTACTGCCTTATTATGAGGAGGTATGATATAATTGGATCTTGTTTATCTACAGTCTCCAGCATATTAGCTAAATCACCCATGAAGCCTGTCTATGCAATCTCCGTCTCTTAAGCAACAGGAGATTTGCAGAGTATTTCTGAAGGAATGTAACATGCCTTCAAAGTCATGGCCTAAAGCTAGCTCACTAATAGTCTAAAAGGTGCAATAATTAGTCCCAAATGCATTTGCCAGGGTGTGTTATTGTTGGAAGAGAATCTACACAGATTCACAGTTTCCATCTCTGTCAGTATGTGCTGACCACCGGCCATATGAGCAGCAACACAAAATCCAGAATCATTTTAGAGTTCCAAATTTCCTAGAGCTTACTGCACCTTCAAGGTACTCGCTTTCAAGAGCACACAGCATTTACAACTACAACTTAATGTTTCACTTCGAGGTACAGAACAGTGGGATGAAATTCAGAAGCATAAATTACTTGGGACTGCCACAACCAATTGTATTACAAATTAATGCATGGAAAGACATCAGATCAATTACTGCTCTACGTGGCTGCCTTTGCAAATCAGCTCATTGAAATGGAATCTCTGTCACAAGTTCATACACTTTCCATATAGCATGAAAGGACTTAGATACTTTAAACTTACTAAATGCAAATTGCCTCTGCCAAGATTATGCATTTTTCTTATAAGGGTGAAAATATTTTCCCCACTTATAACTTTGACATGCAAATATGTACTTGCTAAAACCTTGTTCTTATGCAAACAAGGCAGGTGGGAAATATTTTTACATGTCAAGAATATGTTCCAACTTGGTTTCTCACATTCCCTGAGTTACTTAGAGCTTCCTGCCGAGTTCAAATTAATTGTACCTGTTCTGTGCTTACATATATTTATACAGTATGTTTTCCAAGATTGTATAAAACACTGTAATTCATGTTTTAGACTAGAATTAGCCTAAATTACAGTTTACAGTTTCTGTCTCCAGAGGTGGTGCTCAGGCTGTTCCTGGTTCATGCATGACCAAATTATTTCTTAAATATCAAATGCAGAAAAAAATAAACTCTTGTGGTTGCTTAGAAACCGCTAAGATACCCAGGTGACAGATGTCATTTGTATTTCTAGATTAAAGGCCTGAGAATCTTTCACACCCTGAAATAACAGTGCTTCACAATACTCCCAGTGATGTCCTCTGCCAAAGGCAGTAATGAATAGGAAGAAAAGACCAAACAAGAGCAACAAATACAAACTTAAGCACAAAGACCAACCTCAAGCACTGAATAAATTGCTAGAGAAATAGCTTATGAGGGAAACAAGTAGCCAGTAAGGGCCAAAGGCAGTTGAGTATCAGAGGTAGTAATTGCTATGAACTCATGTCAAACACCAGGCAAACTAGTCTTACAGTGAAAGGAATCTACATCCATTGAGACCTCTCTATGTATGTGATTTTAATATCATGGACATGTCCCGCAGCCTCCGAGAAATATACCCCCCTTCTGCTGTAGTATGTAAGCCTGCATTTTACAACAGGAAAACTGAATGCAGACTCTTTGGTCTGGTCATTATCGGACAAAACAGTAACGTGAGCCCAAGCACTGCAAGGGAAAAAATGTTTTGTCCACTGAACTATTCTTCTTCCTTCATCTATTGTGTCTTTACCTGGCAATTTTCTTAAGTAGCTCTGGTATGCTTAAATTACATGATTATCTCCACCTAATTCCTAGTGACCATGCCTACCAGACAACCAGAGGGAGAACTAAACAACATCTTTTGTTGACGTCTGTAACAGAAGAATTTCCCTTATTCCTTCCTACTCCAGGCTTCACTTCTTTCCCTTCCCTGGGCTTGCCTGCCATTTTCAATCTATCCCCAACCAACCCCTCCAGACTGCCTCTCCCTTTTTACTATCACATCATGAAATGCTGCTTTGTTGTTTCTCTGGTTTGAGCAATAGCAGGAAAACAAATTCTGCATTGATAAGGGAATGTTCTGTATGAGTTCATCGTAACAGTTCCTTCCTTTCTGACTACTTGGGCAGACTTCAGTCAGGACAGGGCACTGTACAGCCAGGTAAAGCAAGGAGCATCCTTCTCCCCAGTTCTGACATTTAAGTAGAAACACACAGAGCCTCAACACAGGAAAACATATTATCAGTTCACTCGGAGGAAAACACTTTTCAGACGCCTAATTAAGGTGTCTGAACGGTATGTTTGCTTCTGGTGAAATATCTGTCTAGGAATTTATATATATATATATATATATATAAATATATATATATAAAATTCCTCCTCATGTTTTCCCAGTGTTATTTTAAAACTGTAAGTTCACACAGATCATGTTATATTTTCCACTTTGGAACAAGTATGAAACCTCAGGTTTGATTTCTTGGGAAAGACTTTTCAGTGCAAGCAAAAATTGGTCCCATTCTTTCATGTCAGGTGAGATTCACCTAGCTGACCTGAGCTATCTAGAAGGTCAGGTAATTAGCTCACGTCATTGTGTTGGCTGCTGCTAGAGTCATGAGGAAAGGAGAAGGAAAAAGAATGGGAGGAAGCAAGATAGAGAAAGCGAGAGAAGGGGCATGATTCATCTCACACAGGAGAAGCGAAATGAACCCCTAAGTGGAGATGCCTCCTCTTCAATCACCAGAAGTAATTTACTGATAACTAAATTACAAGCCTAACTTTTAGAATGTGAAAGTTAGGTGCATTCTACTGCCTCTTTCTAATTCTGCTTCTGTTTTCTGAGTTAAAAACAGCATTATCTGGAAGGAAAATTGATGTAGGCGGTGCTCCTTTTCCCATCTGCAGTACCTACAGGGCCAATCACCTCGGTGCACTGACACTATTCAGGTAGGAGCACCCCCCCTTTCAGCTCTCCAGATACAGTATGAAGAAATTCCAGGTGTATACCCTCTTTTATCACTCAGTTAAGACTGAAGCTTCTTCTTAGTTAGTCTGTCAGACTGGACTTGAATTCTTAAAAGCTACATGTTTGGGCACTGAGCATCCCTCTCAGATGGTGAAAGCCCCATGATTGGAATTGCTGGCTGAACTGAACACTCTGCTCAAGGCTAGATGTGGTGTGCAGTCAGGACAGGAGTTGGGATCTCCTGAGTCTTGAGGTACTGCTTCAGTAGTTATCCCTTCTTTTGCTTCAAGAAAATTTAAATTGCCTTTCCTGAATGTGGCTTACACATCTCTCGCTTCAGAGGGCATGCAGAACTTTGCAGCTAATTCAGAAGGGCTTTGAACAAAATATGATACATACACAAATTGGGCTAACTTGCTTCTAAAGAGATGCAGTCTGTGCCAGACGACATTGCTAGTGCTGTTTGTAAGTATATTGATTAAATTAGGAGGCATACATATTCACTGACACATTCATACATATTCATTGACTCAAACAAGGGTACTGCATGTAATGTGGTATTTAAAGCAACATAATATCTGATCACAAACTGAATTAACAAGGAATGATTTTACTATATAATATTCTAATCTTCCTGCATTTTCAGCTTCATTACCTAAATAATTTGCTCTGTCATGTACCCTAAGTAATTTGAGCTGGCTGCAAATTACTTGCCTCTGAACACCTGCAGCTTACAAACACTGCAGTTCCACTAAACTAAAAGCTAGTGGCAGCACAGCTCTGCCCATTCCATTAATACGTTATGCTAAGTGACCATCTGTCCACTCATATATATTAAAATATTTAAAGCCTGTGTACTTCTAAGGCTGACATCTGGTTGGTAGATGTCTGAGGCACTTTTAGAACACTGTTTTGATCAGTAGCTGATGGAGACAAGCTCTATTTCTTTTTTTTTTTTTTTTTTCTGTCTGTTCCTTGCATGAAAGGTCTGTTTATTCTATGTGTAATCCTCCATGTAATGGCATTCTGGCCATGAGCAGGACTGCTGGATATTGTGGTGGTGTAGCTAGTAATAAGTCATTCCTGTGCAGAAATTAAAAAACCTGCTATCATAGCAATCTGTGTCTCATGGTTGGATTTTCTAGTGTCTAGTAAGGTTAAAATCACAGCAGCTTTCTCAGCTGTACAGCTTCTCTCAGGGGAGCATTACTAGGCTATCTTTCTTCAGTTGTCACACAACTTGCAGGAGCACCTCTTAGGGATTGCCAATTCTCTCCAGCTTACCAGAGGTTCAAAATTGTTTTGGAAATGAGGAAGACCGGGGTGCTGGGCAGAAAACTAGACAAACACAACAACCTCTCAAAGGCTCGTTTCCTTAGGAAATCACGCTAATAATAAAACGAAATAAACAGAGGGGTTATACTGGTATGAATCCTTTGAAGTCCGTGGGTGTGATGGGTGGAGCAGAAACGAACATGGCCAAAGTACTAATTAAAAGTAAAGTATGAGCAACACCTCAAACACACAAGGCAGAAATGCTGCAATGCCAAGGCTAGATCTTTGGGCCTGAACACAGCTGGATCCTTACTTAGTAGGCCAATTGACAGAGCGCAGCACTCCATAATGCTAAAAACATTCTGCTTCAGAAAGTATTAAATGAGATGCATGATAAATAGCATGGAACAACAACATGAGTCCCTTGGGGCTTGTAAGACTAACTTTTAGGAATAAATCTAAATTCTTTCAACCTTTGTTACTGATCTGGACACGTCAAAGAGAACAGTGCAGTAAGAGCTCATGTTCTTATGCTAGGACCATTTACACTTTTGCTTATTGTTCTACTTCAAACTTGGAAATTTTACTTGAACATTTTAAATGGAAGAACCTCAGCTTGCTATTACATTAAGCATGGGCTTCAGCAAAGACACCTGAACACATAATGACAGGAGGTTCTATGGAAAATAGTTCAGAATCTCTAATAAGCACAGCTATTCCTGTGAAGTTGTTGTGGTGAGATCTCTGCATTATTAATGTTATATTAAAAAGAAAAACTCTTGAGAAAAACTTTAATAGACCATCAAAATATTCTTAACC